CACTGCCAACGGCCACACAGATAAGACGCAGCTCACCTCGCGGTCGGCTCGGCCACGAAAGCCCCGACGAGGCATCGTGGGAGCTTTCACAAGCATGATTGCGAGACTATCCACGTGGTATCTCATCATCACCTTCCTGTTCCGGTGTCCCAATTCGCTCCACCAGCTCAACCACGACTCCCCGCGTGTCTGCAAACCCTACCTGCAGACCAGGGCCTACGCAGCGCCCTATCTCGACCCATACTACGAGACGTACGTCGCCCCGCACGTCGAAAAGGTCAAGCCCTACACCACACCAATCACAACATTCGCCCAGGACAACTACGCTACATACGGTGCACACAGGGTTGAGCATGCCAGGAAATACGCAGAGACCCAGTATGAGAAGTCCATCCGGCCCCAGCTAGAGAATGCCCAGAAGCAAGTCAAGGGACAGTACGACGTGTATCTGGGCCCTCATGTCAAGAAGGCGACTGACGCTGCTGCTCCATACTACAACGACCTCAAGACTAGCTCCGAAGACATCTACGTTCACACCCTGCTGCCAGCCTACGAGCAGTCCAAACCGTACCTCCAACAGGGTCACGCTTATGGCCACCATGTCCTCGTCGACATCATCTACCCCCACGTTCATACCGCAAAGGATGCTACCTGGGCCTTCATTCTTCGCACCGTTTGGCCCCAATTGCGCGTCCTATACGGAGACAACGTCGAGCCTCAGCTGGTCCGCATCTCTGAACGTCTAGGCCGCTACAGGGATCAACAGAAGATCGAATCTGTAGTCTCTGCTGTTGATGCTGAGACAGTTCTTCCCACTGAGTCTATCAAAGATACTCCCACCATTGCCAGCTCCTCCGCCTCTATTGTCCCTCCCAGCTCCACTGAAGGGTCTGGCTGGGGTGTCCTCGACGAGTTCTTTGGCAGCGAATCAGCCAGCACCGCTTCTGGTGAGCTTGAAGCAACCCCCGTGAAACCCTCTGAGCCTAAGCTCACTGGTGCTGAACTGCAAGAAAAGCTCAACCAGGATCTCCGCGACTGGCAGACTAAGTTTGCCACAGCGGCAGACAAGGGTTCTGAAGATCTCGAGGTACGCGTAGCAGAAATCACAAAGCGACAAATTGACAACGCTGTCCATGGACATGGAAAGGCTTTGGTTGTCAAGCTAGAGGAGACTGCCGACTCCACCATCGCTAAGCTGAAGAGCTACATTAAGAAGACTGTTGAGTCTCTTCCGGAAGACGCTACAGATGTCGATCTAGAGGCTGCATACGAAGAATGTGGCACCAAAACTCGCGAGTTTGGTCTCACGGTCAAGGAGCGCGCCCAGGACATTCGTGTGTGGAAGGCATCATACGACCAGGAGACTGATTCACTAGTGCAAGCTGCTGTCAGGAGCACTGTCGAAGTGCTCGAGAAGATCCACAGCCTTGGTCTTCAAGAAGTAGGCATGCGATGGGTATGTTATGCTCAGCTTCCCTTTCTAGAAGCCTCACTAACTAACATGGCAGGCATGGACTGATGGCGTTACCTACAAGGACTGGCAGAACTACCACAAGCTAAGGAACACCCTCAACGAGTGGCAGGCTGAAGTCGAAGCCGTTGGCTCAAGGCACGAAGGTCTTCGCCTTGCCCACGAGGAGTCCAAGAAGCTCGAAGACAAGGCCATGGCCATTGCGTCGGATATGGTTGCTGAACTGGTGCGCTTGAAAGACGTTTCTAAGTCCAAGATCTGGGCCGGTGACGCTAGCGACGACTTCTCTGACAAAGTCTTCGCCCCTCGTGTCCGCAAGGCTGCCCAGCAAGTCATGGACAGCGTCGAAGGAGCATCTTCTCAGGTTGCTGAAGCAATCCAAGGCAGTTCGACACCACTTTCAGAGAGCATTGCATCATCTGCTAAGAGTGTATACTCTGAGGCCTCTTCAAAAGCATCCGAAGCTGTTCAGGGTAGCTCAACCCCCCTTGGTGAAAGCATAGCCTCGTCTGTCAAGGACGCAGCATCCAAAGCCTCATCGCAGGTCTCTGAGGCTGTTTCAGGCAGCTCGACCCCACTCACCGAGAGCATTGCATCATCTGTTCAGGACGCTGCGTCGAAGATTTCCTCTCAAGCGTCCGAAGCCGTTCAGGGTACACCCTCATCTGAGAGCTTGCTGTCCCAAGCCTCCTCCAAAGCATCCGAAGTGATTGACGACACCGCTTCCAAAGCTTCTGCAGCCTACGAATCGCCTAAGAAGGTGTGGAGCGGAGCTAATGCGCAAATTATCGCAGAAGCAAGAGAAGTCGTCCTCGATCAACCTCTGGATGACGACGAGGACGACACGTACTCTGACAAGTTGCAGAGCGCGGTCGCCGATGCTGGAGATCGCGCGGCTGAAATCAGCCGAGCGGTCAGCGAAGCACTACTAGGTGCTACCAAGACCCAAGGTACTGTCGAATCCGCTTCGTCAGTCGCGAGTGAGCAGTACGCAAAGGCTCTCGCCGCAGCCTCAAGTGCACTGTACGGTACCGAGCAACCAGCCGTTGAGAGCGCCACTAGCGTTGTAGCCGACAAGTATGCTCAGGCTGTGACTGCGGCATCATACGCGATCTATGGCACCCCAACACCCACGGCGATAATCAAGACCGTTCAGATTGAGGCAAGCTCGCGCTACAACGACGCCGTCAGCGCGGCAAGCAAACAGTTGGAGAACGCGAAAGCTCAGCTATCTCTCTTGGTCTCTGGAGAGCCCCAGCCAGCCCACCAAACCATGCTTTCATACTTTGAGAAAGCCTACTCTGATTCTCTCGCAGTCGCCAGCGAGCGACTGTCCAACGCTATGCAGTACACTGAATCTGTGAAGAGCTATGCCGCTGGCCCTACTCAGGGTTACTTTGAATCGGTCTCCTCCATCGCATCCTCTCGCCTCTCTGAAGGCCTCAGCCAAGCTTCCGCTCAGTTTGCACCTCAATCCACTGGCGTTGCTGATAGCGCTCGTCGACAGTACTATGAAGCTATTGGTCTAGCCCACGCTCGGTACTCTGAGTTTGTTGGCGCTGCCTCGAGCGCTGCATACGGTCCTCAACAAGGAACCATTGAATCTTTGGCTTCGGTTGCCTCCGCATCAGCAGCTTCTGCTGCATCAGTAGTATCTGGTTCAGCTGAGTCCGCGGCTTCCTACGTTTCTGGTTCAGCGCAATCGGCTGTTTCGAACGCCCAGGCTGCTGCTGAGTCGGCCGCTTCCCAAATCAGCTCTGGTGTTGTCGGCTCTGAAACCCCTTGGACTGAGTCGGTAGCCTCCCAAGCCAGTCAAAACTGGGAGGCACTCATTGCTCAGGCGAGCAGTCAAGTCTACGGGCAGCCTACGCCATGGGTAGAGTCTGTATACTCTCAGGCTGGTGCATATGGTGCGCAGGCTACCGCTGCCGCCGCTTCACAGTATGCTGAGGTTCAGGCTCTCATCTCGGAGCTTGTCATCGGCAAGGAGCCTGACTTCACTGAGAGTGTCATGAGCCGTTTCGCGTCCGCATACTCCACTGGTCTGCCCGCAGCCATGGCCTCCGCACAATCATATGCAAGCGAAGGTATCAACGCTGCTAGCTCGTATGCTGGTGATGGTTATGAGGCCGTCACTGAGGCTGCTGCTGACGCGTACGCTTCTGCCTCATCGGTCGTCAGTGCCGTTTTTACACCACCGGCCATGATCGAAGACGTTCTGAGCCAAGCTAGCGCTTCTTTGGATCTTGCTGTCGAGAGTGCTTCCATCGCTCTTTATGGAACGCCCAAGGGTGCTGCAGAGCAGGCCAGCGAGTCGGTTGCGAGCGCCTACTCATCTATCCAATCTCAGGTGAGCGAGAAGTTCTACGGTACACAATCAGCCCAAGATAGCTTTTCATCAGCCGCCGTATCTGCCCAAGCTGCCATCAGCGCAGCTATCTTCGGTACGCCTACCGCAGCGGACTACGTTGCCTCAGCTACAAGCGGTGCTGGCGGTGTGTACAGCTCCATCTCGTCTGCGGCCAGCGCCAACACCGAGTATGTCGCGTCTGCCGTCAGTGAAAACGCATCGTACATATCCTCAGCAGCCAGCTCCGCAGTCTATGGACCAGAACAAGGAGCTATGGAGTCTGCAAACAGCCGCATTGCCGACGCCGTGGCCGCCGCCAACAGCCGTATTGCCTCCATGTACGCAGCTGCTTCCGGTAGTGCCGAGGAGGCTGCCAGCAGCATTTCCAGCGCCGCTACTCAAGCCACTCAAGCGGTGAAGGATGAGTTGTAGGCTATCATCTGATGAGCCTGCTCCTCATACCTCCTATCACCACCACACCCCAATACACCATACCCCACAGCACATTCGCTACGACACGACATCAATGTATCGTCACCACACCCTCCATCATCCCCAACAACCACTCTCTTACAAGACTGGACCACCATCTCTCTAAACACAATACACGATCTGCAAGCAAAGCCAGTTGATCTGGCTTGGACTACGAAACTGGGAAAGGAAAGGAAAACGGACGAGGTAATGCCTATGTATGTAGCTATGAACAGTCTCCCAGTTTCTTGTTTCTTTACTACCTGCTCTTTCATTTGAAGATTAGCACTGGATTCCGTTGGTTCTTATGCAGCGTTGTAGTCTAGCACTAGTCAGTCTCTGCGATGGAAGACTAGCAAATGTGATATACCCTTTTCGTTCAAATGTTTTCGCTGAATCATGCATGGGGAACAAGTGATATATATCGTGATATCGTCTCGTGTATTGCTTTGTTGTTACTACATACAGTCCGTGAATCTTGATCCCATGACGCTTGATCGTCGTTCCATCCACCACTGGTATACCCTTTGCAAGTCCGTACACTATACAATTGCACCATTTCCATGTCTCATCTCGCTCTCTGTACCGAGTGGAAAAGTCGAAAGAAGTCGTTCTATCAAAATCCAAATAACGCCAAGAAGGGGTATGCTGCCTCAAATCATGCTCATTACCTCGAAATCATGCAGTAGAAGAAGAAAGTGCACGAATCTAGTCACTGTCGCTCAAGCTGTCCCTGCGTCCGACGGCACGGACACCGCCGCGACGGTAGCCGTCCATGACGTCTCTGCCACCACGCTCCCTCCTCGCGTTTGTCGGGACACCGACTTGAGAGACACTCTCCATGGGGTGTACGCTGCCGGCCTGGCTAAGACCAGGGATGTGGCACGGGTAGCTCATGTGGCCCTGGGAGTCACCGTTGGTAGTGGTGAAGATGTCGGATGGGGGAGGTGCTGGGCGAGAAGTGCGGTGTTGCTTGCGGGGCGACTCAGAGGTTGGGCGCGAGCGGGAGCCTGATGGGCGAGGACGAGACTCGGAGGTTGGGCGACCAGAGCGGGGGCGATCTTGAGATGGGCGGGCTGAGCGGGAGCGAGGGGAGTGCTTGTTGGGGTCCGAGTAGAGGGACTTGTCGGCGTTGGGGCGGTAATCGGAGTAGTAGCTCGATTCGGTGACTTCAGAAGGTGCGGAGCGCTCAGTCTTGGGGGCCTTGGGTGGAGGAGGTTTGGCAAAGTCGCTAGTGGAGACGCCAGTGTAGACGGTTGCATTGTCATCTTCGCCGGTAGTGAAAGAGTATGCAGCAGAGGGAGGAGCGCGACGGGGGCCAGATGGTGCCTTGCTCCTTGTGGGAGCGCGTGTGGGTGTGCCGGCTTCAGATGGGGCGGTGTACTCGGTGTATGCAGGTCCAGGGTTGTAGTCACTCTGAGGGGATCGGTACTCAATCATGGGGCGGTTGACTTCAGCCATTTCGGGAGCTTCGGAGGGTGTCTTCTTGGACCTCTTCTGCTCTTCCTTTGCACGCTTAGCCTCTGCCTTTTGTTCTTCCTTGCGAGCCTTCTCTTCGGCAGCAGCCTTCTTCGCAGCTTCCTTTTCAGCGGCCTTGGCCTTGCGCATACGTTCCTTTGCACGTGCTTCTTTAGCCTTGGCCTCCTTCTTAGGGTCCTTGGGTTCCTTCTTAACCAGTGGTACGTTACTCGAGACCTGAGAGCCGCCGACCTCAGAAGGTTGAGAGCCAGAATAGTCAGTGTACATGCCGTCGCCAACGCGGTTGAGGCCGCCGACACGGGCAGCCTTCTCCTCGCGGTACTTGCGGAGCTCGGGGTCTTTGTAATCGTTGGTGTGGTCGCGGCGGTGCTTCTTATGCCTTCGTCCATCTCCACCACGAAGACCGCCCTCGCCTCGCTCGGCGTCGCGGTACTCGCTGGCGTCGACGCTTGTACCGGTCTCGTCAGTGTAAGCAATTTCGCTCTGCTCGCCAAAGTAGCTGCCACCATGAACGACACTGCCGCCACCGAGCCTGGTGCTCTTGGTTGCGTTGGATAGTGTCTTGCCGTCTGGTCCCTTGCGCCTCAGCACAGTCGACTTGTAGTCCTCCCAATCGTTTTCGCGCCACTTGAAGCCGCCATTCTTGGCCCAGAAGAAGAACCAGATGGCGCCGAGTGCCAGTCCGACACCGATGAGGGCAAAGAGAGCCTGGAAGCCGGGTCCGGAGAGGTCGTTTGGTGGACGTGCGCCTGCTGAGGCGAGTTCCTTGTATGGTGCGGGTTGTTCACGCTTGACCATTGACTTGGCCAGCTGCAAAACATTCACGGCCATGGGCGAGAGTGCCTGCCCGGCGGTCGCAATCTCAGGATGGGGCGCCATGGTAGGCGGAACAGTCGTGTTTGTGTTTTCGCAGGTGCACGTTGATTGCAGCGTCGATTACAGCGAATGCAACTGGCAGATAATAGTCAGAGTGTATTCTGGGTGAGCAGTAGTAGCAATGTGTAGTGTGGGGTTTGGAATGTGGAAGCGTAGCCCCCGTTAACTTTTGGTTTGATGCGTGTTGGGCGCGGGTGGCTGGTGAGCAAATGCAGGAGGTTAGGACGAGGTTGGGGACGCGACCGACGTCACCCAAACAACGCGTTGATGCAGCAACAGCACGGCCTGGAACACCAACCACGACCAATGCCACGCGGCAGCCCTCGATTGATTGGATTCCCCTCTAAACCAAACGTTACAGCACACTTCCTTCTCAACAATTGCCCTTGTTTACCGCTGTTTCGCCAACAATGTACACCTGGAATCGGCGGTGTAGCCAGGCCCCATAAAGGGCTTGCAGCGCCCTGCATCCGACCCTCTGCGGGAGGTCCGCATCCCCGGACTAGCCTTATGTACCGCGTATATCGTAGCCTTTCTTTTGTCGCTCGTGCTCGTGCCTGACGCATACTCTTTAGTAGAGCCCTAGAAGAACCACGTCTTTTTTTTTTTTCTCTTTTACAGCTTGTCGTTGTGGACCAAGATCCGGACAACGACGCTGGACCCTGATTTTTGACATGTCTACAATCGTAGGGCGCAAGCTAGTCCTCAAGAAATTTTGTCTATTAACATGTCAAAAGTGCAAGGTCCAGAATATGGTTTATAATTCTCTTCCCCATATCAACTGCACAAACTAACAGCTCGTGAAAAGAAAAGTTAAATATGGCAACGCAGACTGTGACAGCGACCAACGTATTCGAACTTCAAGCGATACCCAAGACCGCAATCCCCGACCCTCAGCGGCCATCGCAAGAAGGCCCAATCTTTGGTCAACGCTTATCCGACGCCGAGTCTTCCACAGCGCCGTCCCTGAAAAGGGTGTCCGCTCTCCATACCTTCCTTACAATTTTCACCCCATCCTTTGTAGGCTTCATAGCCAGCTTTACCAATGGCATCATCACAGTCGGACTCCCCATCATCGCCCGTTCCATTTCACTAGAACGATCCCTATACCTATGGCCCTCCTCCGTCTATGGTCTAACATCTGGGGCAGCATTGCTCATTGCTGGTTCGATAGCCGATATAGTCGGCGCCAGGTCGGTTGAACTGACGGGTATCACCTTCCTCGGTATCTTCACGCTAGCATGCGGTTTTGCGCAATCAGGTGCCCAGCTTGTTGTTTTCCGGGCTCTACAGGGAGTGGCGCTTGCGTTGCATCTACCTGCGTCTGTTGCCATCATCACTGGTGCTGTGCCGTCGGGACGAGCGAGAAACCTTGGTTTCGCGTGTCTGGGATTTAGTCAGCCCCTGGGGTTTGCTGTTGGTCTAGTACTAAGCGGTGTTATGATTGAAAGAGCTGGATGGCGAGTAGGCTTCTATTTGACCGGAGGCTGTTTATTGGCTGTCGCTGTGGGAGCTATATGGACTCTACCTAAACTTCCTTCTCAGAACCAAGATGGTGTTGTTGCGCTTTGGAAGAAGGTTGGCAGGGAGATTGACTGGGTTGGTGGCATGATTTCCAGCGGCGGACTAGCAATTCTTGCATACGTTCTAGCGTATGTCCTTTCCGTTCTACCGTAAGCGTATAAGACAGCTAACAGCGTGTAGTATCATCAGCGCCGATCTGACAAGCATTCGTTCAGCAGAGACGGCCTCACTCCTCGCTGTCAGCATTGTTCTTCTGTTCGCCTTTCCAGCTTGGATGCACTACCGTGAACGATGCGGCAAACCGGCCCTTGTACCGAACAAACTGTGGAACAACCTGCCCTTTACCAGCACATGCATCATGGTCGCGCTATCCTACGGCGTCATGAACTCAATCGAACTCTTCTCCAGCCTCTAGTATGTATCGTCCGGAACATACGTGTTCTTGAAATGACATCGACTCAGTAGTATTTTAAAGCTGACCCTCAAAACAGCTTTCAAGAAGTCCAACACGCCTCGACGCTGGCAACATCCCTCTACCTTCTTCCAAACTTGACAACAGGTGTCTTAATCCAGATATTCGTCGGCCTCTTCATCCACCGAATACCTGCCCGCTGGCTCGTCGCCGGCTCCGCATGCATCTGCGCCCTCTCCCCTCTCCTAATGGCAGTCGTACCTCCAGCTTGGAGCTACTGGAAGCTCGCTCTCTGGACCCAAATATTTGCCCCTTTCAGCGCAGATGTCCTGTTCACTGTTGGTCTCATCATCGTCAGCGATAACTTCCCAGAGAAGACCCAGGCATTGGCGGGTGCTGTGTTCAATACCGTCGCACAATTTGGTATGAGCCTGGGTATGGGTAGTTGTCAGGTCGTTGCGTTGGGAGTACAGACCAAGAGTGGGAGTACTGTGAGTACCGGCCACGGTGATGGGGAAAGCGGAGCAGCGTTTGAGGATCAAGATGACGTGGCTTTGTTGAAGGGATATAGGGCAAGCTATTGGCTTATGTTTGGTTACATGATTGTTTGCATGATGATCGCTGTTATAGGATTGAAGAAGGCGGGCAACGTTGGACTGAAAAGAGAGTAAGAGCTCGAACTTTAGCGAGTGTTGATGGCTTCAATTCAATGGGAAACGAAGCAGGTTGGCTTTCACACTTGCGAAAGGATGACATATTGTCAAAGTCGATCCTTGAATTCTCAGCAATGCGTCCAAGGATCGGTTGCAAGACATGCGGAAGCTTCCAGAACCGAGGGCCTGGCCTAGCATTGCGGCACAAATATTGCGAGCAACGTTGCGAAGCACACTACGGTCCGAACAGTCTGGGACGTCATGTACTGTCGGACAGTGTGTCGAAAGATCATCTCGTATTCATCGTCTAGTCCTGCTTCCTTAAGCCAAGGAACTAAGCGTTCGTGCCAATTTGTCCACGCGAGCACCATCACCAGAGGGCAATAGGTGTGGAAACCGCATTCAGTGTGCTCGGATCTAGCAAGGACGACCTTGAAAGTAATTAAGAAGGGTATGAGAACACCGACTGGACGATCTCTGACAGTATTCAAAGGTTCTGGTAACAGTACGGCGTGGAAGTCGTTTTGTGGAGCATATGTTGTGGGAGGTATGTGAAGTCTTGTATGGCAGAATCGTGGTGCCGAGTCATATCGGACTAAGGTCAATTTTGGCTCTTGAGGTAGCTCTACCACGTTGTGACTCTTTATATGTATTCACGATTCGTCCTTTGAAAGCATGCTTATATCAGAGCTTGGTGTGGTTCACGCAATTCGTTATATCCTCGGTCGGTCTACGTGATAGGCTCTGTAGAGTTAATAAGAACATGCGCGCCTTGCTGATACAACTTTGTAACCTTCCACTGTGGAGCTTGGACAAGGAAGTGACAAGAGCAGATATTTCATATGTTTCTGAGATCGTAGATGTGATGGATGAAGATTGCCTTTCATGTGTGCTGCCAAGAGACCATGTGCACGTGCTTGCGCCGCAGCCGACTTGGAAAGCTTCAGCGCGCCGAGCCTCCTGTCGCCTTCCCTTGGCCTTGTGACACGATGACATGTTAACCAAACATTCATTAAAGACGGACAGCCGATCGCTTTCACCATCAACCGCTCGAACAGTAACATCTTACAGTCATCAGGCTCCACTAACAATCATGGTACCACGGTGACCAGCAGACAGCGTCCCGCGAAACGCAGCCAAATTCATGACAATCGTACCTTACACCATGGCACAAGACCAATGACCGTTGCCCTACAAGCTTCAGGTCTTAGCATCCCCAAAGGCGATTTCTATCCTCGCTTGCAGCACTCGAAGATCGCCCATGGTCTGCTTGACACTAAACGGCTACTCCCGGCTCCTCCAAAGCAGATGCGGAAGGTCGTACTTTACACAACCCCAGATTCGCACCGACCCCGTCGCTAGCACTCCACTAAAATCGAGATAGAGACAAACACAAAAACACCGACGCGTGACCATTCGTTGATGGCAAATCTAGGCTTTCATGTTCCTACTGGTTTAGGCAGTTCGTTGGCCACGGCTGTTTGGTCCCCCTGCAGATCACCGGCTAGGCGCATAATGCTTCTGTCGTCTTCGAGCTTATCGTAGTCTTGGGATATTAAATGCCAAGCTGACATACAGATTGTACCACTGTAATGGGAACAGCTTCCTTGGTGAGGATCTGCCCCGTGGGAGATTAAAGCCAGTTTGGCAGGTGGGCTGCGGGGGTGCCGTTACTGGATCAAAATGTGTTTGTCGCATGGCTACGCAATATGAGATGCTCTGCAACTATATAACATAGGTGCTACCCTTACTCAAAATAATTTCTTACGCTTCTCATTCACCGGTACTGCCATCACTTTGCGGCGATGAAGCTCCTCAACGTCACTCTGGCCTCTCTAGGCCTTGCATCCGCGGCTTCGGTTACAAAAAAGGTCAGCTACGACGACTGGAAAGTATATCGCGTCAACGTTGGCTCCAACGCTGCCAAACTCGACAATGTAATGAGTAAGCTTCAATTGGAGCTATGGAAGGGAAAGCCAGCGTCCAGTGACGTCGTCGACGTCATGGTGCCTCCTACAGCCGTGAAGGACTTCGAAGCATCTACCGAAGACATCGAAACCAAGGTCATGCATGACAACCTTGGTCTCTCTATCGCAGACGAGGAAACCTTTAGCGTATATGCTGGTAAGTGAAAGACTGTTTCTATTAATCTGTACCCTAAAAACTGACCTCCCTCTGAACATATACGTCATTCCTTTTCCTTGTAAATTTCTAAACACAGAACACTTTGCATACCCTTGGGTTGTAGTACGGGTGGGGAAAACTCTGAAAAATGCGCTCTTCAATACATTTGCTCTACAAAGCGACATCATGTGAACATGGCGCTAACATTGAATACCAGCCGGCGCTGCTCCAAGTGCTACATGGTTCAACTCGTACCATTCCATTGCTGACCACATGCAATGGATCACGGATCTCGCAGCTGCATACCCAAACAACGCTGAAGTAATCTCTGCTGGCAAGTCGGTTGAGGGCCGAGACATCAAAGGTATCCACATCTGGGGTAGCGGTGGTAAAGGGTCGAAGCGAGGCGTAGTCTGGCATGGTACAGTGCACGCACGAGAGTGGATCACGACCATGGTACTACCAACCCAATGGGAAACGTTCACCGCCATGCTAATACTTCTAGGTCGTCGAATACGCTGCGTACCAGCTTCTCACATCCACCGACTCCACCACAGCCGGATTCAAAAACTCATATGACTTCTACATCTTCCCCATTGTGAACCCAGATGGCTTCGCGTACACCCAATCGTCTGACCGCATGTGGCGCAAGAACCGCCAGAAGACTTCCGGAGCGTCTTGCGTCGGCCGTGACATCAACCGTGAGCACACCCTTTACACCTGCGATATGCATGTGGAATGATATACGCTAACGTCATGACCTTATCTCAGGCAACTGGCCATCTCACTGGGACCAGCGTGGCGGCGCATCAACCGACCCCTGTGCACAGGACTACAAAGGCCCTTCTGCCGGCGACGGCGTAGAGACTAAACTGCTCAAGGCCCAGCTCGACAGCGTAGCTGCCGGCAAGGGAATCTCGCTGTACATGGACATTCACTCTTACAGCCAGCTCTGGATGTACCCTTACGGCTACACCTGCTCTGGTACCCTCCCCAACTCTGCAAAATACGCCTCCCTTACCAGCGGCGCCATCGCCGCCGTCAAAGCAGTACACGGAACAACATTTACTGGTGGTCCCATCTGCCAGACTATCTACCAGGTCAGCGGCGACAGTGTGGACTATGCCTTTGAGGTTGCCAAGGCAAACTACTCGATGACGGTTGAGTTGAGGGATACTGGTAACTACGGATTTGTCTTGCCAGCTGCGCAGATTCTGCCTAGTGGCGAGGAGATGTGGGCTGGATTGAGGTATCTGTTGGCCAATTTGTAGTGTGAGTCGTTAGAACTGAGTAGTAAGTGGCGTTCAGGAGAAGTAGGAGACGTGAGAAAGGTGAATAACATGGCGTTTGAACAGGTGTAAGGAACAGCGAAAAGTCGAGTGTCGACCATGACAACGTGTATTTCGCGTGTAGCAAGATATCGATTATGTGAAAACCTAAACTGCTCATTTTCAGTCACAATTGAAGAATGTGTCAGATGCAATGGAAAAAAAATACTCGATTGTTCTGCTACAAAGGACTAGCTATGCATGAAAAACAACTGTGTCTGTTTTTATTAGACATGACGAGAATGCATTTCACCTGGCTGTGTAGACACTCGAACCCTCACCCCGTATGTCCACTGGTCAAACAAGCCTGAAGCCTCCTTAGGCTCTGTGAATAGCCCCCGTCAACCCATCAATGTAACCTTCCATGGTAAGACAGATCTAGCAGTGAGGACCCCGCGTATCCTCAATGCAACGGGAATATCGACATTCCTTCAAGGTCTTGAAAGTGCCATTCTCGTACAGGAAGACAGCGGTTATAGAGCCATTGCGTCTATTGATGATGCCGCAATGCTTTTCGCCCTCGACGCAGCAGTGAAAATCTGGAGGTGTGTGTGCAGGATTATCATCCCTTCCTGCAAGAGTGGTGACTTTGTCATGGTCATCGGCAACGGCAGCAGTATCCAACCACGAACATGTAGAGAACCCTGGGTTGTCATGACAGCGTTCCCATGGTCGACATTGCATATGCATTTTCCAGAACCCGTTTTCGCATCTGAAGAGTGTGCCTCCGTTTCCGTCCTCGTTGCGGAGCATGCACTTCGGTTCGCCCTCGATACACTGGTGCGGTTCGGTCATGTCGCGAGAGACGATGGGCATGCATTGAGGTTCAGGATCCTTGTTGCAGCGGCATGGATCGAGAAGCTCCCACTTTCCGTTCTTGCAGATTTGGATGCCGTCGTGGCCACGGTCGTAGAAAGTCAGGCATCGCTTTTGGCCTTCCTCGCACTCGGCCTCTCGGCTCTTGATTGCAGTGGGTGAAAGAACACAGGCACCATTACTGCAGGGTGATCTGCGGTCATAACAGGTGGTAACCCAGTCCCAGCCGTTTTCATTGCACTGGTAGATCTCATTGGTGTAGGTCGAACAGGTAGTTACGCCTCTGTTGTACTCGGTGCACTCGTGCACCCCGTGGAGCATGTCCTGAGATACGGTGGAGCCGAGCGCCATTGTGGCGAAAACGGTGAGGGTGATGGCAATACTGAGTAGTGCCATTGCGAAGATGTTGAAGTCGACCGATGTTTATTATGGGAAATCGGTAGAGAAAGGCGGATACGGTAGGTCAAGAAGTAGACAGAACTGAGTGGGGGAAAGAGCCCTCCCTTAACCTGAAAGGCGCAGAGCCTACACAGAAAAGTGAAGAGCAGCCAAGTCGTCGCGCTTGTCGAAAAAACGTCGTATCGTCGATAGCTTGGTTACCCCTTACGAATGTTACAACTCACATAGACGTTGGATACAGTTGAAATGGGCCAAAACTTTCAAAAGAGAGGTCTTTAGAATGGGTATATTTTGTTGCTCCAGTGATGAATTCACTACAGCTTCTAGGTAAGAAGATCTAGTAATTGAGGGGGTACTTTCAGGAAAGGATCCATCATCAATCGTCTAACCCAAAGACATCCATCACGCCGAACTTCCGTCACATGAAATCGTTCATCGTAAACATCAGGAGTGCCACCCAAGGGTACAAAACCTATTGGGTCTATGCGCCACATCTACTCTCATGAGCCTAGACAGCAGCAGCAGGATCTGACCCCTTGTCCTTGTTGCTGGTCTCCTCACGAATCGGTAGCTCTGAGCTCGTCTCACTAGCGGTCTTTGCCGCGTCATCAACGCCTGCAACAGTAACATTGGCGAAGTGCACCTTGCGGTCTGGGGTCTCCGAGATCCTTCTAAGCTCTGTGACGAACGACTCTCCCCACCAGGCACTATGAAATGTTAGACTGCGGGTCTCCCAATACAATCATGGGTACTCACCTAGTGTATTTCCGGACGTATTTTGAGAGCTTCTGGTAGTTGAGGCTGCGCTGTTCATCGCCCATGGTAACTGCGTCGTGAATTGCATCTGCCAGCTCCTCGGTGTTCCATGGGTTGACAATAAGACTGCCGTTCAGACTCTGTGCGGCACCCGTGAACTCTGACAGGATCATAACACCATGTCGTTTCTCTTGCGTCGCAATGTACTCGTAGGACACCAGGTTCATACCATCGCGTGTTGATGATACGAGGCAGACATCTGAGACAGCGTAAAGCGCGATAAGCTCGTCGAAGGAGACTGACTTGTGCATGAAATGGATAGGCATGAACTCGATGGTGCCAAATTTGCCGTTGATACGTCCGACAAGCTCGTTTACGACTGCGCGCAGGTTCTGGTACTCCTCGACATCCTGGCGAGAAGGAACGGCGACTTGAACAAGCACAACCTTGCCGATCCACTCGGGATGCTCGGTAAGGAAGACCTCGAGAGCGTGTAGCTTCTGCGGTACACCCTTGATGTAGTCGAGACGGTCAACACCAACAATGAGCTTCACTCCTTGGAACTTCTTCTCGAGGGCTGCTATCCGCTCTTGTACCTTGGGCTTCTGGAGACCCTCATCGAACTTCTCGGGATCAATACCAATGGGGAACGCGCCGACCGTGACGACCTTGCCTTGGAACTCGACTCCGTTTGGTGTTGTCGCGAGTCCTAGAATGCGCGAGCAACTGCTCAGGAAGTGACGAGCATAATCGTATGTATGGAAACCGATAAGGTCGCAGTGAAGAACACCGAGTAGGATCTCGTTACGGACAGGAAGGATTCGGTAGATTTCGGAACTGGGGAAGGGTGTGTGCAGGAAGAAGCCAATCTTGACATTTTGCTTGGTGTTGCCGAGCTCTTCACGGAGCATAGCAGGCATGAGCATCAGGTGGTAGTCGTGTACCCATACCATGTCGTTGTCTTGCACATCCTTTGCGACGGCCTTTGCGAACAGGCGGTTGGCCTCGGTGTATGCGTCCCAAGCAGACTCGTCGAAGGTAATCTCACCAGGGTGGTAGTGGAAGAGCGGCCACATGATCTCGTCTGCAATGCTGTCAGTAATGGCAACAACATGAATGTGTCTGGATGGTCTCACTCGAGAAGCCGTTGTAATGCCTATCCGCGAGTTCATCATCGAGCATGACGGGTACTGCGTTGTACTTCTCCTTGAGCTGGTCGTTCAAGGTCTGCGTCTCGTCCTCTGGGACTTCGAGTCCGGGCCAGCCATACCACTGGAAGGTGGTGGTTTTGGAAAGTCCGCTCAAACCGCTGACCAGTCCTCCTGAGGACATGGACATGTCGTACTTGCCCTCATCGGAGCGCTTGATGGTAATGGGCAGTCGATTTGACACGAGCAGCAGGCGCCCCTCGGACGACTCGGGCTGCTTGAGTTTTGTGGGTTCCTCAGGCATTTTGGTAGTGATTGCCGGGGTCTTGGTCGAGTAGTGGGGTGGTGAGGGTGGTTGTGTCGTGCACCTGGTGAAGCGGGAAATTTATCTGCGGCGTAGGGGTATTTGGCGAGGTCAGCAATCACGTCCGCAACGTGTCTGCAGACGACGAGCAGGCGGTGTGGGATGGTTCCTTTGGCGCGAGCGGGGAGGGATCAGTGTTTTTAATTGTGGTGCTTGGGTGACGAAAGAATGATAATAGATCAAGGCCCGCTCGAAGGTGGAGGTGGGTTCTCGCAGGTTCCGAGCTCAAGCGTCCAGAGTTGGCACAAGACAGGGCACAGCTGCAGCCCGGGCAGATGCTAAAGTTAGAGAAGTTTGGGGCTAATAGGCGTCGGGACTGGTGGCATGCAGCTTGTTCGTTGACAGGTGTAGGCGATGTTGGAAAATGCTGAATGAAGCTGGCGGTGTCCGTGTGAAACTTGCGATAAATGTGACGTCGGTCGTGGAGCTGCCCAACGGACGCGGGGCGCTCACAGACCAACGCAGTACCAAAGGGCGGAGCCCAGCATTAACTATGGACACGCGCATTGCCGATATCCATATGCACTTGATGTGAAGAGCATGGAGAATCTGATGCAGAACTGGCACATCACCCGTCTCTCTCTTAGATAAATCCCCCGCAGCCTTTCATGCCACTTGACGCAATTGGGTCGTCTCCGCGGAGTCACGTGTGCGCTACCGGAGTCGTGCCTGCCCTAACCGCCGACGCCGTTGCCCGTTGCCCGTCGCCGCGTCTATCGCGTACTGGCCGTCGATCATCAACACCACCAACGCGCTGCGCACCATGTCGGACTCGGAAGCAGACAGGCCCTCAGAGGCCACCATCACTAACAGACTACGCGAAATTGTCATCGCCATACACAAATCTGGAAAGAGCGATGATCTGACTGTAAAGCGCGTTCGAGCGCGCGCTGAGAAGGAGCTGGGTCTAGACGACGGCTTCTTCAAGACGGACTCGGCCTGGAAAGAAAGATCACAGAAAACAATCGTCGACGCAGTGGTATGATCTAAGCAGGCTGTGTTTCCAACAAGCATCTAAGACCGTCTAGGAGAAATTCTGCAACGACGAGCCTTCGCCAGAGCCTACCCCCAAAAAGGCCGCCCCGAAGCCCAAAGCAAAGTCCGCGGAAAAGAAGACAAAGGCTACGACCGAGAACGCCCGAGGCGTCAAGCGCAAGGCTGCGGCACCTGCCAAGAAGCCCAAGAAGCGCGCGAAGACTGAGTCTGAGGAATCCGAGGCTGAACTCTCAGAACCGCCCGCCGAGATATCCGATGCCGAGAGCGAACCAACTAAGAAGCCAATACGTCGACGGAACAAGGTAGTGGCAGAAGACTCCGATGACGATGATGCGCCAGAGCCAACTTCGAAACCCATTACTGCCGAGGACAACAGCGACGCCAAAACCGAGCCAGCGAAGAAGACAGACACAAACGGCGACGTATCCGACAGTGAGCTGTCTAGCGTCATAGATGAAGAGCCAAAGAGAAAGAAGAGAGCCCCCGCAGCCAAGGGCAACAAGGAAAAGGCTCCCACAAAACCAAAAGCCGCGCCAAAAGCGAAGGCTGAAGACGACCCCGACACTGCTGAAGTCAAGCGGCTTCAAGGCTGGCTCGTCAAGTGTGGCATACGCAAAGTCTGGTCGCGAGATCCTGAGCTCTCCCAGTGCGATACCCCGAAAGATAAGATCCGCGTGCTAAAGGGCTGGCTGAAAGACGTGGGCATGGATGGCAAATACTCTGTTGAGAAGGCTGCTAAGATCAAGGAGCAGAGAGAGTTTGCAAAGGACCTCGAGGCTATCAAGGAGGGTGAGGCCGCATGGGGCAAAACGAGCGAGGTCACAGCTACGGGTCGACCGAGCCGACGGGCGGCAGCCAGATCTGTGCCACAACAGAAAGTTGTGCTTGAAGATGATAGCGAAGAAGAAGGCGGCGATGACAATGACGACGACGATAGCGATGATGATGACGACGTTCAAGCCGACTCGGAAGACGACGGCGACGACGACGGCGATAAGAGCAGCGACAGCGGAGTTGACGACTCCGAATAACCTCCTTTGGCGATAGTCTAAGCCTCCTTCACGAGCCGCTCTTACGTACACATCTCGACGTGGAGCATACAGACTCACACTTAATACATACAGTTGGTCCTTTGATGGTGTAGTAGGACGTTTTGATACCCCATAAAAGTATATGTGTTCTCCCTTAGCCTTGCATTCCTGTTTAATTACTTCGTGTAATTGGCTAGCTAATCTCAACAAAACTGATCTCATGCTTCTGTCGAGACACTTCGCGTCTTGACCCGAAAAAAAGGCTGAATTATCTATTACTCTACGTACACACGATGGAAAAAGAATGAAAACACTATCTGGAGGGTTTATTCGGCGGTGGTGACGATGGAAGTTCAGGCGAGGCTGGACCCGAAAGACTAGAAAGAGATGACGAGGAGTCCATGCTAGGTGATGCTACTGCAAAGTCGAAACCACCGGTCCGACCATTGGAATTATGTGTGCCTTCATGCTTCCGCTTGGCACCGGTTTCACTTCCGTTGGGTAATCCATCTTCGTTTGCATGGTCTTCTGCTACCGTAAAATGAACCTGCAGACTGGCTGAACGCAATACCGTATCTTCCTTCAACAGGCGCGTACGTAGGGCCTTGATCCTCCGATTCGGATCGACAAACGAGAGAGGTGCTCGTGTACGTTGCGGCGAGAAAGGCACGTCATGCTCTCGTTCCAACACCGGAGAGTCATCACTGTCCTCCGTGGCTCGGTCTTCTAGCTGCTCAGTCCTACCCACTCTTGCATTCAGAACTCCGCCTGCTATTGACAGATCAGGCTCCTCCAGTGCTTTACGGACTTCGGGTTCGGTATCGGAGTCAGAGTTGGAGTATGAAAAGCCATATCCTCCTTGTTGTGTCTCGGGTTGCTCCTCAACCTGATTCTGTTCGATCGGCTGAAAAGGTTTTGGTGCAGACCTTGCCAGCATAAGTTTCGATGTGCCGTTTACATCCCAAATAAGTTTATTTCCATGCTCATCTTCAATATCAATACGCTCAGCATGATCCACGTATGGGATCTTGATATGCTCCGCCTCGCAATTGGAAGCCGGCTCATCTGCTAGTAACCCTTTGTAAAGTTTATATCCCAAGTTCCGCATGTTCATTGTGCCGGCTTTGTACCGTTTGTGCTTTTGTATGCTTCTCGGGATTGGCTTGTCAATGCGGATCTGCCTCGCTGCCTCGCGGATGCGAAATGTCAAGAGCCTGTTGAAGGATGGCTGAAAATCGGGGTTGAAGTAGTGTGCGAAGTCAGGGTTTTTCAATCCCAGACCACATCCCCGATGCTGTAGTATCAACAAATAGACGAGGTAATCTATTTGTGTCTCATTGCCATTAAGTTCGATGCTGATCTTTTGAGATGACTGATCGGCTTTCCCAGGCGTTGTCTTCGGCTTTGAAGGCTCAAACTGACGAAGATAAGCGAGTACATCACTCAGGCGGTCTAGTACCAGTGAAACGCTTTCAGCTTGGCCAAACACCCAGAGCACTGTATCTGTGAAAAGTTTGTTCGGCGCTTTTTGCGTCGCCAACTGCTCTAGTACAGGTAACCAATGAATACAAGCCCGGAGCTTGTCTAGATAAAGCCCATGATAGCCGGCCGGTTGTAACTGGGAGAAGAAGTCTCGTAATTGCAGATGCAGCACGCCGCCGGGCTGAGTATCAACATAGGCATCGAACTCCTCCTGCAGCTTGAGCCCTCGTTTCTCTCTTTCTCTTAGGTAGTTGCGGAGGTTTTCCAAGTCTTGATATTCAGCTTGGTCATACAGACCTACGGCATCTTTTTTGACGTGCGCGTACTTCTGGAGGACACCCTCGTCTTCCCCTCGCGGTTCGATGTCGAGCTCGGCGCGGCAGTCTTCGCAGTAGTTGAAAAGCCGACTTGTCGCCACGATACATGTCGCAGTATCGTTCGAGAACTTGCATGGTGCCGGAGCACAATCGATGCCTTGTTGAAGATTTCTGTCCGTTGCCCAGTCGCAAAGTAGCGTATGCTCTACAGTGGTAGAAACATGCTTGTGGCCACACACTGTGTGATGAATTATAGTAAAGCCGCACATGATCGTGCAATATAGTGGTTGAGCCACGGAGCTGGTGCTTTTTGGGGCTTGTTAATAAGTGACTAGACCGGGGGTCAAGTTTGAATTGGTTTTTTTTTCAAGGAAAAGCAAGTAAACTCATCCAGCACTGTTGAGTAGAAGAGAACGTGAAAGTATACAGGGCTGAGCACTCCTTGATGTGGTCAAAGAGCGGTCTCGTGTTGCGTCCCCAAGTCCTTTACAGTGTCGCCTATAAGAGAAAGTGACGTAACACAGACGTGAAAGAATGCGATTATATATTGGGTCAAGATTGTATCACAGACTGAATCAGTATCGACAAAGAAGTCGTTCATGTCGGACAAGGTGCCAAATAAGACGGTGTTGTTTTTGAGAGGGAACCCTTCGGGTGTATATATAACAGCGAATGTTTGCTCTAAAAGTGTTGTAAGACAAACCAGACAAGTGAATGTCTCACTTCTTGTTGAGAGCATTGACCTTCTTCGCGTGCTCGTAAACGAGTTGTTTAGCCTCAGCATCGTCCAGGTATATTGTGAACCCGTCGTCGTGATTCCTTCCGTAAGAGAAGCCTGAATAACCAAATTGCCAATACATGTCTGGCATCTTCTCCTTCAGACTGGTAGCTTGCCATAGTCCAATGGCTTCGAGTCTAGTGACGTTCGAAGTCTTGCTTAGATATTCTTGCCTTTTATCGTCGGTCAACCAACCGTACTCTTCATGTACCACTGGCTTTCCGACGGTACGAGAGGCTGAGGCGTGATCGATGATCCACTGGTTAGCCCACTCGACGCTCTTTGACCACCCTGTTTTTGATAATAGTCAGTGAATACGTAACATGAAAAAAGACTTCTTCTCTTCAAAGGGATATACGTACAATCGGGATAAGTGTGGAAGGTACCAAAATCGACGTTCTTGAGCGCCAATTCTTTGTCATAGTCTCCACCATCGAATCCGTTGTAAAAACCGTCATCGCTGGGTCTGTTAAAACCTCCCTCACCACCCCATGTAACGAGATGGTCTTTGTCAAGCGACTTGACGTATGTACTCATCTCATCAATCCATTCCGTGATTATCTCGGGAGTGCAGTTCTCACTACGGGGTAGGTTGCGCACGCCATCGGCACCGCATCTGGGTTCATTCGCCAGTTCCCATGCCATGATAGCTGAGGACTTCGCGTAACGCTTGACAATTGCCTTTACGTACTTCTTGTACGCCTTTTTTATGGCTGGAACATGGTAAAACTAGCGACGGACATGTCAGTGCACACTCAATCCGTTGAGACTTCATAACTTACATCGTCATGGTACTTGTAGCCCAGATTGATCGTGTATACATCCATGCCACCATAGTCGGCCCAGTTATTAGTCAAAGCAACGATAAGCTTCATTCCTGTCTTTTCCGCAGCCTTGACGACTTTATCGAACGGCTCTAGGTTGATTTCTTGTGTGCCGTTGTTCCACCATTGCAGGACGTTCGGACTGGGACCAGCACCTTCGCCACCGTACTGGGGTAGTCCGTTTGTGAGAGTTGTCCTGTTTCGGTCGTTGAAACCCCACGTCCTGAAGACATTCAAGCCTGCCTTCTTAGCTGCACCGAGGCCAGCTTCTACGTCCGATTGAAGCTATTGATTGTCAGTAGGTGTAGTGAAGTCGAGGTGGTTTGCACTAACTTCGTTGAAGGGAAAGTAGTAGGCATTGCTACCGGCGAAGTAGAAGTCTTTTCCATCTAGCTTAAAGACATTGCCTTTGGTTGTGACAAAGCCAGCAGGTACCTTTCTGCTCACTACTGCAGCCGAGGTGCTAGTAGTCAGCAGTAGGAGCGAGGCAAGACTGTAGAGCATGTTGAATAGGCTTTTGCTTGTGTACAATAGTATACAGTATACGCTCACTGCAAACATATGTACGTTTTCGGTTCATGAGCATTTCCACGCTATACCACTTCGGACACGGAGAGACGTCTCGCGAGATCGCCTTGCATCCAGAGCTAGTCTTCCCCACGGTAAATTGTGATCGCATTCGCCAAGTGTCCGATCCGCATGTTGATTGGTGCAAACGGACTGAGTCAAGCCTCCGTAACTTGAATCAGCTCTTCCAGAACATTTAAAGCCAGGGAAGACATACAAAAGCTATGGGAAACCGAGTACCTGGAACAACGGGCCTGCAGCTACTGTGCAATTTAATGTGTCTATCTTGACCCGGGCACCACGTGCCAAAGCATGGTCTACGTAAAATGGCAGCTAACCATTACCTAGTCGATTTTGAAGCCGGAGGTTCTCTTGCCGGTGAGTTTGTCTCTTATATTGGGAATAGTTTTGTCGTGTTTGTGACTTTGGACATAAGAATGCTATCGAGCTTTGCCTTCCGTGGCGTTTTCCATCAATTTAAATATCTTCGGTTACTTATAGTATCAGGGCTTTGGTGGACGACGTACAAACGCTCTTATGAGTCCATATGTATGCGTGCAGCGGCGAGGTTATAATGCGAAGACCGAACTGAGCCTTCCAGGGGTATATTGATCAAGACGGAGAATTGGATACAATACACCGGGGCTATCGGCAAATAGCATGCGACGCCGATCAGCAGCCAGGATGCTGCATCGCGAGGTTCAGTATTGCAATCCGTTGTGCCTGACAATGCGACTCTTCGGGTGACAGGATAAATCATGTGATTCTGTCTTGCCGTCCTGTCCCATGTAAACTGCTTGGAAGAAGACAAGCCTACGAACGGTGAATGGGAAAGAGTCACAACGCTTTCGACAGCGTGCTTCCTGGGTCGGAATGACATCATCGATCGCAGGTGCCTATGCTAGTGTTCATGGTGGATGGTTTCGATCATACTCAAAACGCTCGCTCCGAGTTCGTATTGCATTGCATCAAGGACGTTTTCGTTGCTTGGCCGTGTCTTGATTCCGTGGCGCGACGATGAGAGTAGAGGGGTGGCTGATTAGCCAAGACCGAGACGCGGGGAAAAGTGGGGAAATCATCTGCGTCGATCTGAAGGTTGACGCGTTATCGCTCACGCCTGCTATTCTTCTACTACATGTACATCAGCAACGGTAGCACACTATTGGTGTAGTTAGAGAACACGCTCTATCTGTGTGTTACATCCTCGTTGCTTTTGGGTCTTCCTTCGTCATCTTGTATTCTTCGAGAGCGTCTGCATCGCACAGTTCAGCATCGACTTACCTAGATCATGCAGCGCACCCCCATGGCTCTCTCTCAACACACTGGTTTAGCGACACTATTATATCACGCGATATACGATTCGGCAACGGACGGTGCTGTAGGGACTGTCTCACACGATAACAGAATCCTGGCGTCACCAAAAGGGAGAAACGATTGATCATGAATGAAAGAATATGGCATTATAAATTCGGTTCCTGTGACACAAATCAGGAAACTTAAATCCCTTAGGTTGGACTAGAGAGAAAATCTAGACTTTTGGTTCGTCTGTTCGTCCGAGCGAATTAGGATCGACGTTCTCGGCCTCATCATACGACTGTCCATCTTCGTCCTTAATACCCGTTATGTGCGTAACGACTCTGGCGGCAAAAGTATCGCAACTGACGTTCATTGCTGTCCGGAAGCGATCAAGGAACCAATCGATGGCGATAACAACGGCGTACATTCCGGTGATAGGGATGTCAACACTGGAAGCAATCATAACCACCAAGACCAGACTCGAACTTGGAATAGGCGTCGTTCCAATCGAAGCAAGGGTCGAGAGTAAGATGATGATGATGTAATCAGCTGCGTTCAATGTAATACCTTGAGTGGCAGCCAAAAACACAACCACGATTGGAAAGTAGATGGCAGTTCCATCCATGTTGATCAAACAACCGAGAGGCACAGCAAATTTCGTTACTATCAAGGGTCAGTGGAATTGGCAACAGAGACTCGATCATGCGAACTCACCTGTGATGGGTATTCCCTGTTTCAACACGCAGCGGATGGTGACCGGCAAGGTCGCAGCGCTTGATGCGGTACCCCAAGCGGTGATCCAAGCAGGACTCATTTTCATCCAGTACGTATAAGGGTTGCTCCTTGTGAATGCGAAGAATATGATGGGGATTACGATAAACAGATGAATAAACATGCCGGCTAGTGTTCCTCCGATAAGTATGCCCAGGTTCGCGCCAATCTCAGCAATGTCGAGGCGGAAGAGGTTTGGCATGATCAGAAAGAACACTCCAATTGGCGCAAGATGGATAAGGACCGTGATGACTTTGAGAACAATAACTTCAACTTCTTCGACTGCTCGGTGGATCGCGCCTCCTGGTTTGATGACGTAGCCTAGGACGACTGCCGTGACCAACACCGAAAGAAGGGCATCGGTGGCCAGCGCGTTGACGACGTTATTTGGGACAAGTGAGAAAAACATGTCCTCGACGACATCGTGGATAGCAGTTTCTTTTCTCTCGTCCACGAGTTCCTGGTTGTCCTCGTCTAGATCCAAAGCACTGCCTGAGACTGGATTCATCAGTTTGCTCCAAACCAGTCCAACCAGGAGGGCAGAGTGGGCGACCGCGATGATAGTAGTAACGACATAGTAACCAATCGTCCAGCGAGCGAGTTTACCGGCTGCACCACCTCCTTGTGTCATGTTACGCAGACGCTGAATAGCCAGAATCATGGCAGTGACAATCATGGGAAGGACTGAGCTTGTTAGCATATGTATTTAGAGATGCTCTGTCATAACACACCGACTGCCCTCAAAGCGCGTAACCAGAGATTGCCCGGGATCGCAAGAATGGTGATGGCTGCGTCTGGCACCTCGTCTACAGTGGTGGTAACGGCTAGACCGATGGCAATAGCCAAAAGAGCGGCGATGATGATTTGCCATACCGAACCTGGCGTCATAACTCTCTGGATGAATGTCTTTTTCTCCTCTTCAGCAACAGTCGGTCGCGGCATGATGTCTTCCGACGGGGAGCTGTTCGGGCTCGAGGTGCGAACAGCTTCACCGTGCTTCATTCCTTCGACTTCGCCCATGGTTGGCAGGGTATCAAGAAAGCGACAAGGATGGGACTTCCTCTAATTCCAGGTCCACGGAAGAACAGTAATCGAACAACCAGTCTACTACGTTGCGCGCAACAAGGGCATCTTATACACCCAACCCCGCCCCTTGGTATTTTGCACATCATCTTGTGTGGCAACCAAGAGATAACGATTCTGTTACCAATACTTCGGAATGCGACCGTACTTTCGCACAATCCCCGTTGCCAACTCCTACAGCCTATCACAAGGATAAGCCACTCATGTCCACGAACGTTGATTCGCTAAATGTGTGTCCAGGTCGCGACGGCACGCCCGAAGATAGTCCACGCTTACCTCCCCAGGGTGCTCGAACATCAAAGCTCAAGCCTTGGAGTAGTTGGCGGCGCTGGGAGCTATTGCACGATCTGGAAGGTTACAAGCAAATTCACGTTCCGAGTTCCGTCTCGTCGGGTCTTGGCCGACCATGGGTCGGTTGACCGGCTCTTCGTGCCAAGCCCTGGTATCATCACTTTTTTCGGAATGTGTACATACTATTGGACCAATTTGGGCAATGGAACGCTGTGGGGTAATGTGGCTCATGTTGGTGTGGAGGAGTACGATTCCTGAGTGCTTCGTCGCGTATGCGTCGATGCTTGGCTGACAAGGCACCGCGTCTGGGCGCTTGCTGCCATCGCGTGTGCTAAGATGAGACTGATGATAAGGGCATAGGGTAAGCATCGGCTCAAGAGTGTTCAAATGTGAGATAGGTGAGGAGTATAATCACCTGAGCCGATGCATCACTGAAACGATAGGAACCATTCAGAGACGATACAGGTCGACCCCATACTTACAAGTGTACTAGAACCATTTTCTCGGATGCATCTCTATTTTTCGAGAGCTAGATGTCAAGTGTCCCGTCTGCCTGGATGCTAGACGGTGGCATCTTGCAACTGCATACCCATGCAGATCAACCATGAAAATCTGGGCCCGCGAGCTCTACGTAAAATAAACTTTACGGCTCATCGACCCATTCTACTGGTCAAGAAACATCTAGAACGACAACCAGCGCCGAGATATTGGTACCAGCTTCCTGGCTCCGCTATCTGTTCGGAGCCAAGACATCACAGTTTAAAGGCATGGCTAATGCAGGAGTGTGGCTGTACATACCACCCTTAGGAAAATTCTAACAGCAGCTTAGTGCTCGTGCGCATGGCTGATCTTATCAACTGTTTCAACACTTGAGTACTGAGGGTATAAATGTCAGCCTACCACAAGAGATCCACTAGACGAAACGCTGGAATACCCTTTTGATTATGTGAACTCTATGTGCTTTAATGAGACAGTACCTGACAGTAAGTCAATGTCGAGTGTTGGTCGTGGGCCCTGTCACTGCCCGTATCTACAATCCATGCTCAAAAAACCGAACAAGCATAGTATTCTACCTGACCGATGTTTGAATTACATCTTCGCCAATCCTTCTGAAGATGTCGGCTTCCAGCAGACTTCAGTTTCGCCATCATATCCATCCTTGATTGGTGTCGCTAGGGCGAGGTTCCGGGTTTTACTCTTTGGTGAAGCTTTCTTTTGGAGGTGTCCTTGGAAAAGCTTTACTGGGCGTCATTGTACCTGCATGAGTATGCAAACCATAGTCGTCCGCCGATATTGATCTCCAATTTAAGAAGGAGAGGACAAGTGCCAAAGACGTAGTATCCAAATCTATTGGGATCAACGGTTTGCTCCCCCTGGGTCAATCCTCAGTCAGTAACCCACACTTCTAGGTCATCATCGATGCGATATTTATAGGATTGAGCCAACAGTGGCCCTCTCTAGTGCTCACCGGCGACTCTACCTAGCAGTTTCATCACACACTCGTTATATGGCTGCTTATTACAAAGAGAAGTGCTGTCATGGTGCACAACGATCCGGTTGCGCAGTTGTCGCTTGCCTTCACGAAAGCAGTCGAAAGCGGCGTCGCCACCTGAAGGCACACCAGTTACATAACTCCTCAGATACTCGCGATCAATTTCCAGATGGCCAGGCGGTCCGTTTTACTTCAACCAGACAAAGCGCGGTTCTGTTCCGTCCGCCGGAAAGAAGATACAGCGGTAGTGAGATGGGTATGGTCGAAAGCTCGTGTGATTGCCTAATATAGTGCTACAAAGCGGTGCATGATTTTCCGCATCTTTTTTGCGACAGACCCGAGAACAATAAGGCATGTTCAAGCAGTTTGCACATTTTTCGGTACTGGGCTTGGGACATACGCCACAGTATTCTTGAGACATTACAGGCGCGTTCGTTCTCTTTGGTGACAAAATCTTTCGTTGTTTGATGATCTTATAAGGTATGTTTTCTTCTAGATGATTGCTCACAGCGGATTCATCATGTCATGCTGTCATATGCATTACCGTACTCATGCGACCGACATATCGGCTGCATCCGTTATCAGCACGCGTAGCAAGGGCTGACAACCGTCATCTGACCCTATGGAGTTATCCTGGATGGGTTTTTGCACAAAAAGCACAGACTAGTGTAGTCAACGAATGTATTCTAGTGCTATAGGTCTAGCGGCTTGCCGGTTGCCGCGTTACGTGATCGCGGAAGCCGGACAACAACTCACATCCGCTCCGTTTCAACTGTACAACACGCGATCAATTATAACTGCGCTTGCCATCAATATACAGCTGCATAACCAAATCACTTCAGCTTTTCGCACCTAGTTACACGTATATCCTCTATCAACAACAACCATGCCGCAGTTCAAAGTCGCAATTTACATTTACAAGGATGCCGACCTCCTAGATTTCTCAGGACCGGCTGAGATTTATTGCCACCATCATGATAAGGACAGAAGCAAGCCGGCTCCCTTCTCAGTCACTTCTTTCGCCCACACGAGCCCCGTCACGTCTGCTTCCAGCGCCATGGTTTACGTCCCCAACACTACTTTTGCGGACATCTGCAATCGTATTGAAGACTATGACATTCTTGTCATTCCAGGTGCTCATGATGAAACCATCGAAAGATTCATCAGTACTAAAGATGGGAAAGAGCTAGGTGAACTGATCCGGAAATTTGTGACTCTGGGGCCAAGGAAAGAAACGGGAAAGAGGTTTCTACAGTCGGTGTGCACTGGAGGTCTCATCCTCGCAGCTTCCGGAGTACTTGCTGGTCGCATCGTAACGACACACCACTTGTCTCTCGACTTGCAGAAGAAGCTCGCTGACCAGGCGGCGGGCGGAGATTCAAAAGTCATCGTCGTTAGGCAACGATGGTCTGATGCTGGAACTACAGATGCTGGTGTGCGCATCGTAACAGCGGGAGGAGTCAGCTCGGGGATTGATACTTCTCTATGGATTGTCGGACAGTGCTTTGGACAGAAAGCGGCTGAGATGGTTTCGGAGATCTCTGAATTTGAGTTGAGGTCAACAGCATGGGGAACAGCACTATGATCAACAGTATCAGGATAGAATCATGTGACAGGTCGTACGTGATTGCAATCATGTCCGTTGGGATATTGACCATGATAAGGCCTTAGAAACGAACATGAAGTCGTTCCTGATACACATGGTTGATTTAATGGCGTTGATTCGTGTGATGCTTCAGCCAGTTGTTCGGCCTATCTTAGTCACCGGATAGTCGCTATCCGGACGCAGATGTTTATAGCCCCTTTGTATCGTGTTTGACTCAATATTCACCGTGGACGAATTGTTCGTGATGAGGTTTTTAGTCTTTCGAGTGGCGTTTGTCTGATCAAAGCCCGATTAAAGCCTCAAACCAGCGTTCGTCTACCGACCCTCCGCTTCATAGTAGTAGGGGCGCTGATGTCTAACATTTAGCTACCGGAAGGTTCAATATCCTTGAGTCGGAAGTCGTCTGCTCATGCATGAAGTCTGGGTTGTTCGTAGACCACCCGAAGAAGGCAAAAACGGTGCCTAGCCGTTGAACGGGATTACTGTCGAAGTTTAAAATGCATCAGAAAGGCGGTTTTGTGTGAGATATCATAAGTGCTGCGAAATTCCTCTCCATCCCGTGAAGAACCAGAAGTCAAGACTTGCATACTCCAGAAGCTTGCAATAGTGCTTCAAAATGGCCCTGACCCCTGGGTGTGTTCTTGACTTGAGCGCTTCGATAAACTCTGGTGTGACGCTGATCGGCCATATCATTGCTGCCCGCAAGGCTGGATGAGTGGAGGAATTCATCGCGTACTGAAGGCCATTCCGGAGCACCTCAGCCGCTCTAGCAGCAGCGAGATCGTCTGGTGATGATTCTGCGGTAGTGGGACGACTCAGCGCTTGAATTTCTACGAGAAAGGCAGACAACAGGGACGGCGGCTTGGGTGTTTCTTCGACAGGTAGGACAATGGCTGCGAAGGGGCCCTTCTTCAACATGTCGGTGACATTGTTTAGTACATAATCCATTCCGCGTACTAATTGGAAGGTTTCAACTAGAACGTCCAAGTCGTACGCTCGTGCGTCGGCAAATGCATTGATGACAGTCATTGAAGCTGCAGCAAAAATGGCATGACAGTTTAGATGGCCGATGTTTGCAACAGCGTGGTTAAGGCTTGTCAATGCTGCACTTTGATGTGCAGACGCAGCAATGCGAAAGTGTGCCGCCTTAGAAGGGTTGATGTACGCAAGATGATTTGCAGAAAAGGCCAGTATGCTGTGTAAGAGAAAAGGATATTTGAATGCTTCTTGTGGGACAGCGAAGCCCCAGATCTGTTTGACGTGTTCAGTGCCAGGCATAGTTTGGTATGCATGCGCAGTGTAATGATGCGTTAACTCCAGATCTTGCATCCATTCTGTCGTTGAAATACTCCCGGGCACTGAAGATGCACACTCTTTCTGGATTATACCAGAGCCTAGTGGACTTGCAGCACTCCCATTTGTAGGTGGTGACGCGTTGGTAGTGAGCGGATCATCGGCTGCATGCGCTTGAGTGTTACGTGGGGAAGTAGTATCCGAACGGGGACTTTGGCATGCACCTCCTAGAAGACTGCACTCGACTCGATATCTAGTACACGCGCCGCATGGTCTACTCTCATCACACTATATCTGTGTCAGTATGGGATGACGTGGCGAAGGTTGAGGTTAAGCTACCTTCACGCGCCGTGCTTTACACTGTGTGCATCCTGAGCGACTCTTCTTCGAGCCGAGTCTAGGCATTTACGCGAGATGGAGTGGATGGAATAATGCGGGTTGGCTGGCTGGGCGCAATGAGGGACATGCGGTTCGAGAACGAATGCGAGTGCGGATGTTTGGGCGCTGATGACATAATCGGGATGGCTGGGAGACGCGTGGTTGGCTCAGCGAGCCGTGTCTCTCATCCCGCTACTTCCTTAGTCTGCGTCCTAACTCCTGCCTTAGGCTTAGGGTGCACCCGCCAGGAAGCTTGGAATAGCAAGCTGTAAGCCTTGATTAACACACTTTACCCCTCCATAACATTCGAGTAGCACGAAAGATGTCTTTATGGATCCCTGGGCTAGCACAACAACATTTGAGGTCCATTGTCGGTCGGACCTGCGCAAGACTTGATCACCCAGTTGGCCATTGGTCGTTTCTATCTTTACAGTATGCTCAGGTCTACCTTGAATTCATCCCGCACACTTTCAAAGTTACCGCCAGCTACAATAGACAGACTCTCTGCCAACGCACTTCAAACTTCTACCGAGCACGAGCGAGAGTGCATAAAGACTGAATTTGATTCGTCTCACTGCCAGTCTGACTTCGCGACTATCACGCGAAACGGCCTAAGAGACCTAAGATGCATTGTCAAGACATAAGTGCAACGGAGCATGGAGTTGCGACGCTCTGCATATGACTACGATCTTGTAACGAACCGAAATCTGCGGTCTGAGCCGAACAACCTAACAATGTCAAATCCAATTACATTCATTGATATCGATACCATGAGAGCCGACCTAGCTATTGGGCAAATGAACATGCTGTTCCGCATTTTGTGGTAGCAATGATGGTAAGCTCAATTTAGGCCCTATCACTACTAAATGAGCAAGTTAGAATATATGTATCCAAGAAATACCACTTTCATACTTAGCCGTGAGGCGACTACGATCAATATCAGACAAGGCAGCTTTCACGCTCAATCTAGTGCGTGAATGTGATTATCTCACAAAAAGTGGTAAGGCAAGGGGTTTGTTCCATTCTAGCCTTCATTCACTATCTTCTGTAGATTTGAAGATATACCTAGGCTTGGTAAGCTCTAGCCTACTTACTCACTTGAGAAAACAATGCGTGTTGCCCGCGCGCTTCCTGTACCTCAACTCCTTCACTATCGCTGGAGAAAGATAAGAAATGGGCTTCTTTTCACACCACGAGTCGCAAAACTTAAGTGAGCGTTCGACTGAAGTGTTTCGCCCGCGTCCAGCGATCACCGCGATGGCCGCAATATCATCTCGGTTCAACCCATTAAGAAAGCTGCGTGTAACATCGCCTCCCAGAAACGATTCCGCCGTCGGTTTTCCAGAAGATTACCAGTTCAATCGACGATTTCAGGAAGGCTCGGAAGGGTATGTTGAGCAGTGGACTCATACAGCATCGAAAACTATAATTGCGGTAAAGGTCGTCCGACACAATCATCCTTACCCCAACGAAGTCCGCATTCTCCAACACTTACCATCGCATAAATCCATCGTAGGTTATCTCGGATATTGCAAGAGACAACCATATGCGGAAAAGACATCGATATTACTTGAATACTGCTCAGAAGGCGATCTTTTTACAGTAAGGGCACTAGCTGCAGACAAAGGTCGTATGGTGTTTTCAGAAGCCTTCATGTGGTCGATGTACAGTCAGTTGATGAACGCCATCGCGTTTCTTCATGAAGGAATCGATGATCAGCGTCGGAGAGGTCGTGATGAGTGGAGGCCAATCGTGCATCGAGACGTCAAGTTCGAGAATGTACTCGTAAAGAACTTAGGCTCCAAGGATGACTGGCCAGACATCGAGGTCAAGCTAGGTAATAGTATCCATATACGCATTGCGCGTGAAGGCATACACTGACTCTGTACATCGATGTTCTAGGCGACTTTGGAATGGCTGGTTACTACGATCCAAAAGATCCTAATCCTCGGGGGCATATTGGCACAACTCACTACTGGCCGCCGGAAGTCACTTGGGAGAATAAGCGTCTGGGTCCAGCAAGTGATGTATGGGGTGCTGCAACCATTATACATGGACTTGCTCATAACTTTGGACCGCTCGTTGACCCCAATGTCATCGAGAAGAAATGGTTTCTGCAGAATGACAAAGCACCGTACTTGGATTCCTGGCCGGGGAATCTCAAGAAGAAGTACTGGTCAAGTAAAGCGCCGTGGAGACCTATACCAATCAATATCGAACCCAGTGCTCCAATCTCGATATTGGCCGACGAAGATCTTGGATACGACAAACAAGCGCTCGTATTCCGTCAATGTAGACCAAGCCCAAAGTACTCTGATGCCTTGAGTGACTGTATGATGGCAGGGTTAGCGATGTCTCCAGAAGAACGACCAGAGTCTGGGCAATTGTCAAGAGAAATTGAGACAGCACATGCAGACTTTCTGTTCCAAGATTTGTGCTTGGCACACAAGCGCGAGACAATCAATGCAGAATACGAGGATATAAGAGAAGACGTTACAGAGAGCGGCCACCAATGGGATACCGGGTACAAAGCATGACTTCCAACATGGTCGCCGAACTTCGAGTCTCTAGCCACAGTTTTTTTTTACAGTAAATCTGGCGCTAGGTTTGTTTCCTGCATAAAGGGGGTCGCGAAAAGGATCAGAAGGCAAGTAATAGCAAAAGGCGCACGGGTATGTGAAGAAGTCTTGGTCTATCCTATACTGTTGTGGCTTCATAGCCCAACACTAGTGTATGTCCATTGCTGGAGCGATAGAATAAAGCCAGCAGAACATGAGGCCAGCAGTGAGGGCTCGAAAATGCAATTCTTGCGGAAATATGGTAATGTATGTGATTACGATCACCATGAAGGTACCTGGGGAAATGGCCGTATTTACGAAGAAATTCGACCGTTGCGCGTTAGTGCTTACATCTTGTCACTCTCTGAACGCATTTTCTTCCGTATGTACATGTGAAAAGATGCTATACCACCGAGTGAAATTACCATCCTTTTGTCGTTATGCGCTGCTTCGTAAAAGTTGACGCTAAAAGTGCTTCTGAGCGTGATAATTCATGCGACATTGACGCTGAGAGGATAAGTTTTTAGTACATGACCACTCTAACATATGCGTCGCGCGATCTATATACGATAATGGACCTGTAATCTGCTTAGGAAGAGGGCTGCGTGGGCGGGAGCGTCCGGATAGGCCGATCGGCGTTTCTTCGCTTCCGTGGTGCGGCTTCATCTCCGCTGCGCACCGAAGCAATCATTCTGTGTCCAACAAGCCGCCACGTTTATGCGGAATGCTATCTCAACCATATTTGTGGTTTCTTGCGCATTTGAGAAGTGCGTTGAGGTCACGACGACAAGGTATCGTTTCATGTTCACAAAAGCATCGCCATGGATTGTTAGAAGGCATTGAAGCGTATCGTATCTCTATTTAGCTACAGCCAGCCACGTACTTTGTTGAGGTGAGATAGAACGTTATCCACTGCGCTAGCAGCTTCTATCTTAGACCCGGCGTCAGCAACTGCCGTAGCAATGGCAGTGTCGTTACGCGTAATGGCATGCGGCTGACGATCGACCGATGTGTGTGCCAATTTTCCCGCGATCGTCCTGTTGTCATGAGTGGTTGTCTCCTATAGATTGAAAACTCGCAAGATGGTAGTGAGCAACATGCATCGTCTGTTACAACTAAGGTTTGCTGTCGGAAAGGCAGGTCGGATGTAACGTGCAGCCTCACCCAAACTGACCACAAGGAATACCAAAAGCAACGGCTTTGGGGTCTGTGCTGTTAACCAGATCTTCTGTAACGGAGGCTTAGCTAGTCTACAACACATGGATCGGCCATGTACCCTTCAGCTGAACGACAGGGTTTGAAGTCAGAGACGCGCATTGCTCAAGACCTCGGCGCAATGGCACAATTTGATTAGAAAGTTACATCTCTCCCCGTACAAACGTTGACGTCCTGCTGCCACTCCATTTCTTCAGCCGCCCGTTGGCTCGTAGATTTTGCGATAACGTGATCGCTGTCGCTTCACCAACGACCCCTCGTCCAAAGATGCTCGCCGCACAACGTTCATATGTCCTGGCCATTGCCACTTTCCTGGTAGTGGCGACACTGTCGTTCTACGTGTTCCGCGACCAAGGCGCATTAGTGGTTGAAAGAATCACAAACCCGCCAAACCTGTAGGTTGACCCAAAAGCCTGAGATGGTACTTGTTCACCAACACTCAGCGCAGATCATCGAAACCGTCCCTTCGAGACACAATCAACACATTGTTTGCCAGAATAAAACACGATCCAAGTGCTTCTGCATACGTCGATCCGTCAGGCACATACTACAAAGGTGGAAACGAGACAGTCTGGACAAGACCCCTCGGCAAGAAAGTCTTGATTGTGGATATCGACACGCGTGTGCCAACTGGTGAGAATGAGCTTCTCAATCCAGAACGCTTGGACTGGGAGAATCTCAAGACGTCCGGAGCTGGTATGGTGTCAAACTCTATCATGAATCACTACCTGTATGCCATGGTCCATGGATATGACTACAAATTCTATCAGGCGCGGGACATGAAGGATCATTACAACACCTGGATCTTACCCCATGTTCTACGCGAATTGATACTTGATTATCAGTTTGTGGTCGTAATGGATGCCGACGTTACAGTCCCACACCTTGACGTTCCATTCGAGTGGATGTTCAACCGCTGGGGTATCAAACAGCACACGTCCATAGCTCTTCCGTGGGATACCGAAGAATTTCGCGACGAAGGATCTATCAGCATAGATAGCAAGGGGATACGTGTCCTCAACACAGGTCTGGTTATCGCGCAAAATTCTTCTTTGACATTGGATTTGCTCGAAGCGTGGCGGGACTGCACGACTGAGAAACGCTACAAAGGCTGCGCCAAGTGGAAGACCGAATGGAGCCATGAACAGCGTGCATTCTCAGAATACATTCGTTACGATTTCAACAAGACGCCTGAAACGATCGTTAGCATACCCTGTGACGATGCAGTAGGATGGCCGGGCTTCCGCGAGGATATGCTAAATCGACCCGGTACCAAAAATCACGATATCTCCAATTGCAACGGAAACTTCGTTCGGCACTACACAACCATGGGGAAGAGTCGAGTCAAGGATGCGAATGCAGCCAGTGTGATGCAGGTGTTGAGCGAAGCGCTCCAGAGGAGTATTTTAGCAAACCCGGAAGAAGTGTGGTACAAGGAACCAGAGAGAAAGATCGAAGAGCCAGTACCGAAAGATCAACCAACAGAGGTGCGGGAAGATGAGGAGAGTAAACTGGACACCGATGTGGTTTTGATAGAAAGAGAAGCATGATGAGGCGGGTTCCTTCGATGATATTCGAGTTGCATTGGATCGGCGTTTTAGATACCACTGAATTGAGTTCATATCGGAAAGGTATATTTGGAAGCTATCTGAGCGATGTTAGTACTGACAGTACCATGAGGCAGCTGTTTTCGTGCAATGTTCGTGTACCATCAGTGCTCTCTTTCACTCGCGCATCGAATCTAAAACCTGCCACAACCCAATGCATCCGGGCTAGCAAATGCAAACCGCATGGCTCACCAAGGAAGAACAGTATCGAAGATTCTCGGTTCAAGTATAGTTTGGAATCATCATTTGGGTAAGAATGGATTGGAAAGCGAAGTAGACATGACGTACCTTAGTTTCGCACACGCTTTGCTTTTACGCGTGCTTGACAACATCGCTGCTAGCGTGTCATTTGGCAAGATACTTGATGAGATGATAGGTAAGATGCTTGGTGAGTTTGACGCGTCGATGGTATTACTAGCAAAAGACTGGACGCGAGCGAAAGATGGAATGAGGCTTAACCGAGTGATTATGTCAGCTAGCGTAATTGGTCTCCTTGGGGCCCCGCCTGTGCTAAGCTATTGTTCTCGTGCCATTGCGCGCCGAATGTTGACATTTCCAAGAATCTAGCGTATCTATTTACAAGATCTCCTCAGGAGTGACAACAACCCAGTTCTTGTCTGCCGTGACTTCTCTACCGTTAGCAATCTGCGCCTGGGTGTTGTTCCTAATTTCCTCCTGCAATTGCTCGAAGTACACGTCCCGACGATTGATCCACAGGTGCACACCTCCCTTCGCTACATCTACGCCGTGGAACTGCATGTACGAATCGCTACCGGGGGTGTCACCACCAGCCAAAACAGGACGTTTCCATTGATCGATGTAGGTAAGAATAGCGGCCCATTTACCGGCGAACCATGTGGCAGGGGTCCAGAGGTACGGAGTCACGACCAGATCGAGATTGGCCGTCTCATTGTACGCGCCTTCCGTAATCTGCTTACGTGCGTTCGTGAGCGCACCGGAAGTAGTGTTCTTCAGAACGGTGGTGACGCCGATGACGTTCTGAGGTGGGACGTTGTATCCGTACTTCGGGTCGCTGGCGACCATGCGTACAAGCTCCTCATGGGCAGCGCTTATGACATAGACGGCGATGCCGTTGTCCATGAGAGCGTTGTAAAGTTCGGCCTGGCCTCGGAAAACCTTTGGCGGTTTAACGCTGCTGGATGTCACCTCATCGCCGTCCCAGTACTTTGTCGGAATCGTTGAGTTGTACGCCATGAGCTCATCCACGTAAGTCTTAAGTTCGCGCAGCGTGAAGCCGGACCAGACCTGCGCCGCCCAGGGATAGCAGATAAAATCATCGATCTCACATAGACGGTTATAGTAGCTGTACAACGATTCGGTGAAGTTTGCCGTATCCTTGAAGTCGACCAACTTGAGGCTGGGGTCCAGGTTGTCGCGTGTTAGGATGCCACGGTTCTCAAGGAAGGGAAGGAGCGATTCCTCAAGATCGTAGCGGTAACTGGTGTTGTCCATGTCGAAGACTGCATAGTTGCTCTGATTCGCATTCTTTGTGATCATGTTGGAGAGAGCTGTCGCAGCTTCTTCAGGCCAGTGCTTGAATTGGATCTTTGGAGGAGCACCATACTGCGGTGTAGCTGAGCTGAGCGAAGTTGTGAATGCAAGCCATGTGGCTGCCTTGAGGGGAGCTGTCGACCACATTCTCTCTCTGTCACCAGTTCTTCAGCACTCAAAAAGAATCGATCAGGACAGGAAGCGGATGAGTGAGGATACAGAACCAAATCGTCGGGGATGCTGGGATCCCACAAGAAATAGTTCGGGGCTGAGGTACGCGAACCCTGACATGCGAATACTGCCGACGTGAACCACCGAGATAACGGTCCCACACTTACGACTCAAGGTCGGGCCTACCTTGAAGAAAATCATGAATTCGATGGTTGCGCTATCATCAATTGAGTGCTTTGCGCGTTGCCTGAACTAGTAATTGCTCGCATGCGCATATGTACGATGACGTAGATGAAGCTCCCTCAACAGAGTAAGTTCACGGCTTTCCCGTGCCGCGTCTTTTCCCTGTTGGAATTGGTCGTAAATCCATTACATACTGGCCTTCCTCTGGTTCGCATTCCAACCGTGTTACATTCATATCATGCAAGTATTCATTGCGCGCTCTTGAAGATTTGATCGTTTGGTATTGTATTATCGTTATCGAGTTCCTGAATTGAATATGATGTGTCATGCTCTTCCTGCTCATCGCAGTACTTTGTCTCCTTCTACTTCTAACCCAGGATCGCGGCAGCCTTATAGATCTGGTATGCAGATAGCCCGAAACCAATTGCCCAAAAGCTGCTCCTGATAAAGCTCTTCGAGTGGTCGGCAATCTGTACATATGAAACAGCGTACGCCGCCCTGATTGCGAAGAAAGCTGATACGAATGTTGTCAAGCCTGTTGCATCGCCTGAGACGACTTCCCGTCCGATTCCAGTTGCGGTGGTGCGCTCGGCGATGATGCTGGCGATGACGGCAACAGAGAAGAGGGGCAGTTGTTCAATGTTGTTGGACTGGGCATTCTCGGCACGCTGGTACTTCTGGAAGCTGCACATGCGTTAGTGCATCTCGAGAAAGAGGCCTCGAACGAGCTCGGGCAAGCCTTACACAGCATCGGGAACCTTGCCCTTCACGGCATCTGGTGACAAGGAAGCCTTGGGGTTTGCATTATTGACCTTGTAGCCATTGGCGGAGAGGATGCTACCAGCATACATGTGCGGGACGAGAGAGAAGACATAGTAGGCCGGGATGGCGAGCAGTGGGTAGTTGAGCGAGTTGGAGGACATTTTTGCGGTTTTGAATGTGGCCGTCTCGACGTATTGTTGAATCTTTTATGTGAGATCGAATAGGCAGTTGTTGGTACGACGGATATTGGGGTAGGCGCGGTGTATATGGTTGTGGATCAAGCGTTGACGTAGCCATGAAATACACTCAGGGTCCAGCAACCATGACGCGTATGTTCACGCTAACCACAGACATGAGGTGCTCGAACATCTCAAGTTTTCCCATAATTTTGCAGAATCTATCTGAGGTGCAACCGTCCAAGTGATGTTGTAGGTGACTATGGAGCATGGAACAAGGTTGACGCGCCTGCCGTTCGGTCCTTCCGAGATCTGTCAGCTTACTCACCCACACAACCAAACATCCCAGTCTCGGCGCACTTCTACTAACTCGTGCACCAGCAAAACAGCCAACATCTCATAGAAGACACGTGCACTCTGAAACTAAACACTGAGGCATTTTTGAGCTCGTGAACTATGGTTTGCGAACATTAGCGCAGTGCGGCTGGTTAGCTGTCGCCATCATGCACTCCTGGCAACACTCATGACATCCTCCTCTAAATGCAGTCCCCTGAAGTGTGTCAACACATCCGGAAGCTTCTTCTTAGTCCCATCAACCACAGGATCCCTCCTCTCCCTAGCCGCAACCCCAATCATGAAATCCTCCTCAAAAGCTTGAATTTCTACCCTTGTATCCTCCAACCTCCTGGACTCTCCTTTCTTCAAACCCCTTATACCCGCAGGTCCCTTCCCCTCTCCCTTCATCGAGAACCAAACCTCCGCATCGCTGAATCTCTCACCCCAGGTACCGTGTGTACTACACCGGGCCGGAGTCCCTGGCCTCGGTGCACGAACATGTTTAAATTCTAATTGTGGAATCCACTGAGCGAGCAAAGCCTCACCATCAAGCTTGATATAGGCCTCTTTGAAGCACCAGAATGTGTAAAACCGTCTTAGTTTCGCATCAATGAGTAGATCCGAATCGAGCTCCCTCTGTTCCCCGTTCGGTAGCGTAACACTCAAATGCTCGTTTCGATGACAACAACGATCGTGTCTTCCTAGAATCTCATGTGTGACCATTGTGCCATCGAGAAGAGGAAATGGATCGACGTTGTACTTGATATCGAAACACTCTTCTGTGCTGAAGATTTCAGCGTACATGTCTACCCAGCCGTCGAAGCCTTCTTCGTCGACAACGCGATAATCGTTCCGCTCGTTTACGCAGACTATGTCTACGCCGACTTCGGCATCGAGTTCATGGGTTGAACAGCCTACGAGGGCGACTAGACCGGCTTGATGACTGACGTTGAATTCTACGGGCGCAGGGCCATATTGAGGTGGTATTAGTAGGGCGATTGGTTTTCCATGTTTGGGATCGCGTCTTCGGCCGAAGAGGATGTCTTTCCAAGGGACGTTCAAAGTTTTGTGAACAAAAAGACGTTTCAGGAGGGCGGATCCCAGGCTCATTCGCGCATCCGCTACGTGGTATTTGCGTTTTATGAGGTCTTGTTCTTCCTGGCTGATGAGCGAGAGTGCTTCCCGAGCCTGACATTTGTCAGTTGATAGACACAATGCGAGGGCATGGACATACGGATTCTGAATCTGTAATCTTCTCTCCAGGCCATATTGATCTTGTATCCAGCAGCCAGCACGTGAGACCGTGTCCCGTTGAGCCTCCATCCTGTTTGTCGATCATAGCGCCTTCACCTGAACCCTCTAGACTGTAATCGAGTTGCGCGTCGGCTAAGGTAGGTTGGCGCGTAAGACTAGACTACTACAAGGACTCTGGCCTTATATGCACCGTGGGACCCTTTGTTTGTGGTTCTCTTGACGTGATGTGCGACAAACGGAAATCTACATGTCATGGCCGTTCACGGGATCAGTGGGGAACCCGAAATGTCGATGATGGAGAGCAGATCGAAGGGTGGCACCTCCTCGGGGTAAGCGATCGAGCAGGGCTGAGCGTGTCTGAGTGACATGTGCCCGGCGGGCAAGTTACCGCTTACAGTGGGGATGAAGCTTATCGATAAAGATTTAGCATTTGCCGTCGCTTTCCGTGATATGACTGTACATTTTCTAGACGTTTCAATTCATTCTTTTCTTGCTGTAACGGAGTTGTTTTGGCGTCTGTTCGTAATTCACAATGACGGCCAAAGAAGGAAACACAGAGGTAACGGTCGGCGTGCTCGCCCTCCAAGGCGCTTTCAGCGAGCACATTCAACTCCTTCGTGCGGCATCCTCGAACATCCCCTCGTCACCAACCTTCCACTTAATCGAAGTCCGGACACCAGCCCAACTCGCACAATGCGACGGCCTCATCATCCCTGGTGGCGAAAGTACAACCATGTCCCTCGTAGCCGCACGTAGCGCCCTTCTCGAGCCCCTCCGCGATTTTGTCAAGGTCCAACGCAAACCAACGTGGGGTACGTGCGCCGGCCTCATCTTACTAGCAGAGAGTGCGAATAGAACAAAGAAAGGAGGGCAAGACTTGATCGGAGGCCTAGACGTGAGAGTGAACAGAAATCATTTCGGGCGACAACAAGAGAGTTTCCAGGCGAACCTACATCTGCCATTCTTAGAATCGACCAGCAAGACAAGCGCGACCGATCCCTACCGATGCGTCTTCATCCGCGCGCCAGTTGTAGAGAAGATACTTCCGAGTAAGAAGGCGGTAGGCATACAAGAAGGAGAGAGTGAGAGGGACGATACAATTGTTGCGCCGAGCAAGACACCAGCGGATGATTTGGCGAGGAAGGAGTTGGATCGCGAGGTTGAGATCATGGCAACGCTGTCGACCAACGCCCAGCCGTTGCAGGAGAACCAGGAACACAACCACCCAGGCGCGGAGGACATAATAGCGGTACGGCAGGGCAACGTGTTTGGGTGTAGCTTCCACCCAGAACTGACCGACGACCCGCGGATACATGTTTGGTGGTTGGGAGAGGTCATGAAAGCTGCGGAGAGGCGAAAGCAGTTTGAACTTGCGGATCGAACAAGATGAAATGTAGGTGGTGCCAGATGGTACTTGAATTAGGGCACATGCCCAGACAGCCATTCTTGTAGAACATGTGACAGGGCGTTTGGAAGATGGTAGTAAGTCTTGGGAAGGTATCTAAACTGGTATCTTTCCTCCCTGTAAGCATTTGCTTATGGCTAAAGAATTAATGAGCAATGCCGAATAATAGACGCCAGACGCCTCCTGTGCAGTATTTTGAGAGCTGATGAAGACTGGGCTGATCGACTGCTCCTACTGCGCTTCGTGATATTCGTCCACAGCTCTGCCGTAACCACCCCGACCAGGGTCATACTCGGCCCTGTACTCGTCGCGTACCTGACCACCGCTCTTTCCACGTCCGTATTGCCTGCCCTCGGCGAAGCCCTCGTCCAAGTCGGTCCTGATGACACGTTCATCAAGCTTAGTGCCGCCAATATACTTCATACAATCTAGCGCATCCTGATGTGTGTAGTACTCGACAAAGCAGAAACCGCATGGCGTCTTCTGAAATCGGTCGAGACCCATGACCAATCGTTTGATCTCTCCGCATTTGCTGAAAAGCTCGTGAATTTGTTCTTCGGTAGTGTAAAAGGATAGGTTGCCAACGTAGAGGGTAGTTGCGTCCTTGAGCTTGTCCTCGGGCGACGGCGAGCGGCCGCGTTCTTCGTCACGTGTGTTGCGATCGCGTCTGCGCTTCTAGAGGAAAGTCAGCCTTGTTGTGCTTGTCTAGTATCTTGTAGCCTGCTGTACCTTTGCTGTCGCATATGAACTCGGCTTGTCGAGGCGGTCAATGGTACTTTTAAGCGCCGGCATGATGGCGTACTCTCTATTCCAGCTCCGAATGGAAATACGTTAAGCGACCGTCTCCGGAGCGTTCAGAAGAAGTTATCGAGCGTGGTTGTGGAGCGAGTGCAAGGTTCGGAAGTGGAAAGTTGAGCTCGGAGCTCCCCAGACGCGTCGGCCTTGGCGCAGTATCGCGCGGCTGGAACTTTTGTTTGTCCAGAGACTCTCACCTTTACAGACCACCCGACTATTGCCTACCCACATTCCGAATCTCTCAATCTTGCTCGGGGCAACTCTCTACGATGCCAAAAGTACTGGGTTACACGCCGGACTGGCTCAGTCGGCCAAACCCAGGCTACCATCTGTTTGCGCCGAAGCAGACCAACGGAAATGGAGTCGCTGCAAAGAGACAGGAACCTGGACCTCGAAAGACGATTGCGACCCGGGGCTCCGAAATCTTCGTCGCCGTCGGAAACGAAATACGATGGGCGGATCTGGTCAATCTCAAGGAAGAACAACAACCCGCATACCGAACACTACGAGTCTCGATACCTCTACCAATCACGCGTCTTGCCATTTCTCCCGAGGAAGACTACCTGGCCGTCTCCACCTCGCACACCGTACACGTAATACACCTTCCCGACTCGTCGTTGCTTGGAGCCGGCGAGGACGACGGCCCTTTGAAGCCAAAGACGTTCCAGTTGGGACCGACTGTGCATGTGCTGGAAGAGTCGCCCGTCGCAACAACGCTATGGCATCCTCTGGGCTACCACGGACGCTGTCTACTCACCGTCACAAAGGCGGGAGTAGTCCGGCTATGGGAGATCAACCGCGCCGACAGGTCTACCTTCAGTGAGCCGTCGCTCTCCATCGATCTGCCCAAACTCGCAAATGCTACAAGCGATCAGGACGACCTGAGCGCCTCCAAGTTCGGAGCTTCCAAGGGTTTCTCTCCCGACTCGGTGGAGCTGGAAGTTGCATCTGCATGCTTTGGCGACTTTCCAGACCAAGAAGGTGTCCATGGCTGGGCACCAATGACGTTGTGGATTGCCACTGTGCTCGGAGATGTATATGCCCTTTGCCCTTTGCTACCGAGCAAATGGCAGCTGATCGAATCACCCGGCAGCCACACCTTTCTCCAGACCCTGACCTCATCCATCAACATCGCTTACGCCGAGCTGTCCGAGGATGATACGTCGCCCAAGCACGAGCTGAAAACATCGGAGAAGCAGGTCTCATGGCTATCCGACATCATATACGAGGAACCTCTTGTAGAAGAACGGCCACAGGGTGACACAGTGCAGGTCTTCGCTCGCCCCCAAAGCGCGCCTGCGGTGCCGTTGCTACAGGGGCCTTTCACCATCTCGCCCGAAGTAGACGATTTTGAGCTCAGCGACATGATCGTCTTCTCCCTCAAGACCCTTTCGGAAAGCGAAGAGGACGAGGCTGCAGAAGGCCTTCCTACTGCTGTTGTGTGCTTACTCACAGACACGAGCAAGGTACATGTCTGCCTAGACCTTGAGGGTATCATTGGGCGATGGCTACCATCTCCGGAAGACGAAATCGATGCTATAACAACCACCGATCATGAGTTGATTATCGCGGAAACCGTCACATTGGTGGAAGGCGACGATCCTTCATTCAACCAGAGCATCACGCCGGATGTGCATACCGACTTCTCATTCTTCGTATCCCATGCCAGTGGAGTCTTCTACGTTTCCATGGAGCCTTGGGTCAGGAAGCTTGAGACGGAACTCTCCCAGCCGCAGACCGAGGGCTCGCCTTTCCGTATCAAGCGTATACTGGAATCGGCGAACACCTCTGTAGACCAATACCTACAGCGACGCGTATCCGGCGACGTGGCGGAACAGGAAGTGACCGCAGCTGCTGTCATTGAAGATGGAAACGTCGGCTACCTTCTTCTTACCACTGTAGACGGCGAGCCTCAAGCTGCCCTACTTGATGCGCCTGAAGACGGCCTCCCTACCCAGGAAGAGCTTGCTGAATACATGGCAATCACTGGTCCTACCAAGGAAGTGCGTCAGGCGTGGCAGCCATCAAAAGAACTCTACGAGCCGTTCGATCTCTATGGATCTATCAACATTCCTGCGCGACACAGAGGCGCTCTCAAAGATGAAATCAGGTTATCTCCTGCAAACTTGGGGCTCCTCATGGATGTCCATCGCGTACTCTCTGCACAGACGTCTAAACTCCAGCTCGCTGTATCCGACCTGTTCAACCGCGCGACACGACTTCAGGAAGAGTTCAGGGATCAAATATATAGGACGTCTGAGATTGCAACGAACATCGACAGCGTTACTGGTAATGATCAAGCTGGCTCGGAGAACGAATCAACATACGGCAGCGCTAACATAGACGACCGCATGGAGAAGGCTATAGCACGACAAGATCGCATCAACGCTCGCTACGAAGCCCTTCGACGGAAGATGGTCAGCATCGGCTCCAGTGAGCTCAGCGAAAAAGAAAGCAACTGGATTGAAGAGTTACAGACTATGGACAGCGCCATTGACCCCTCGAGCGAGACGTTGACTGACAATGTTGACGGCAGCGAACGCCCCGCCTGGCAACGTCTCGACAGGATCAAGGAGGTACATAAGGAGCAGGCGAAACAGATCGAAGCTGCCATGCAGAACGCCAAACAAAGAAGCGAAAGCGAACAAGCAAGAGGTACTGGTGTTAAAGTACCAAGCCATTCAAGGAAGGCAGAAAATGAGCAGGTACAGGAGTTGATACAGCGGAACGACTTCCTAGTAGAGGCTGCTGTGGATAGGCTGAGGAGTTTGGGAATCAACGTACCTGTTGAAGGCGGGAATTAGGTGTGTAGGCAGTGTGACGTTCACACGTTGTTGTTGAAAGTTCAGGTTCTTGGGTATGTTCGCATCATGAAGAGATTATAGAATGAATGTCTCATAGTTTTGGTATGAGTATCAACGTAGCGGTGTTCGTGCTCGTCGACTTGCATATCATGATATTTGCGAGCTTGAATCATCTTTACGTCCCAAGGGCAAGGGAAGGATGCGGCAGGCTAAAAAGTGTGGTGTCAGCTCAGCTCACATATACGTACCGCTCATGATCTCCATGCATCCTCTTCAACTGTGGCGTATGTCATGTAAGTTCTGAAATGACCTAACATCGCTGTAGTTCTTATAGCGGGAATTGATTTTATAGTCCATTTCGCCCGCTATGCGGAGAGAGATGAAGTCGAGCCTGCCAACCGAGAAGAACAATTTTAAGCCAAAAGAGTATCCAATCCGCATTAATCGAAGTCGGCTTGGGCCGGCAGCACTAAGACCATATATGTAGCAGCAAGGACGTTAAATTGCAGCATGTCCCAATCTTCCAGCTCCAATTCTCTTTGTTGGCTCCTTCCAATTGAGCTTCTAGAATCGAAGCAGGGTTCCAGGACGGGCCGCCCGTGATGACAAACAATAAAGTGAGACGACGAATACCAGGCGAACAAACAGAACATGGACAGGGCATCAAGTTCGACACCCTCTACGACAATGACTATGTCGTGGGAAACAACCTCACAGATGAAAAGAGAGCAGAACTCAACAAGAATGCTGCCGAGATCAACGAAGCGTGCGAGCCTGTTTGATACCAACCGACTCGAACAATGAAGCGATCAGGTATACTAATGCTCTATCAGCCACTTTGATTTCATCACCGACGCCTATCAGAACGGACGGGGCAACGAATTCCACTTCAGCGGCTATCAACCCGGTGAATCCTGGGCCACAGCCGCAGCCCGCCACGAACACTACCTAGCACTCATTATGGAAACCAACCCCGGTATGAAGGTTCTCGATCTAGGTTGTGGTGTCGGTGGTCCCGCACGTGAAATGGCCATCTTTGCTGGAGTCTACGTCACTGGCCTCACCATTAACGACCTACACGTCGAGCGGAGCAACGTGCTGAATAAGCAAGCGAATCTGCAGGACCAAGTGCACATGGTTAAAGGCACGTTTTCCGACCTTCCATCTGTCGATGAGACGTTCGACATGGTTTTTGCCATCGAAATGTTATGTTGTGCACCGGATCAGCATCAAGCGTATATCGAAGCCTTACGAGTGTTGAAACCTGGGGGTAAGATCGGTATCTTGGATTGGGTCATAACTGACAAGTACGATGATTCTAGTGCAGAACATCGCATGATACGAGGGAGGATTGAAAGAAATGGGGCCGTGCCGCACATGATCACGCCCAAGACTAGGATTGCGGCATTGGTGAAAGCGTGTTTTGAAATGGTTCGCGAAGAAGATCGTGCTACTGCTAAGGCTAATCCGATACCTTGGTGGTAAGTAACCCTCTGCCTTCTTGTTCGACTGAGCGACTTTGGTACTGATGCGATGTGATACAGGCACGCGATCGATTACAGACATTATCCGACGTGGTACGACTGGACCTACTGTGTGTGGATGACTAGGCCAATTTACTATGCTTCTCGGGTGTTTATCAATACGCTGTATTTTCTGGGTTTCATACCGCAATACGGTGTGACTGCTTCGTATACAGTCGGATAATGTGTGTACTCATGCAGAGATGGTGGGAAATTGGGCATCTTCAGCCCGATACATATGTTCGTGGCTTGTAAGCCTGGGACAGAGAAGCCTTGAACAAGTTTTCCAGAGTCTATAGTGACCAGAGACAGCGTAGACAGAAGAGTTGGCTGATCGTCTCAATCTAATGTGTCTTTTCGTCTTAGCAGTTGTATCAGTCTGGAAGATTGCGATGCTGTACGATGTGAGAAGAGAAGATGCCATAGTTAACCCCACGATGATGCCACGCAAAGAAAGAGCCCACAACGTCGGCTCGGCTAGCCTAATTTAGCGTCTTCGGCAAACGTACCAGAGCCTCATCGCGTGACCTTATACAACACCATCGAATCCTCACAACCCGAAAACCAACAATCGAGATGTCTTCCAAACCAGCGGTCATATCCGTAATCGGCTCCCTGAATGTCGACCTCGTAACCCGCACACCCCGCGTCCCCACTGGCGGTGAAACCCTGACCAGTGAATCTTTCAACATTGGCTGGGGCGGGAAAGGCGCCAATCAAGCTGTCGCCTGTGCCCGTCTCTCACGCACCAAAGCTCAAGCTTCGTCATCTCAGACTTCCGATGTGGAAGTACGTATGGTGGGTGCAGTGGGTGATGATGAGTTTCACGAGGGTTTCCTGAAAGCTTTGCGAGAGGACGGATTATCGACAGAGAAAGTACAGATTTTGAAAGGAAAAAAGACGGGTGTTGCCGTTATCATTGTTGAGACCGGCTCTGGGGAGAACAGGATCATGTTCTGTCCTGGTGCCAATGGGGATGTGAAAGTGCAAGATCTTGTCGATGAGGATGCAGGTGTTGCGCTATTCCAACTGGAACTGCCGTTGGAGGTTGTGTTGCATAATATGAAGACCGCAAGGGAGAAAGGTGTCGAGACTATCATTAACCCAGCGCCTGCGATACCGTTGCCAGAAGAGGCTTACCACGGCTTAGGCCACCTCATCGTTAACGAGACTGAAGCTGCGATCTTATCGGGCATCGAGAAGCCAACTTCGTGGGACGAGGTTGCTGCTGTGTTTATTGCGAGGGGCGTCAAGAACGTTATCATCACGCTTGGTGGCGAGGTAAACCTTTCCTCATCGTACACTTTGACTTATACTAACGCGAGTTCAGGGTGTGTTCTACAAGACCGCAAAGCAACAGGAGGCATCTCAGCAAGGTCACATTGTGCCAGCACGTAAAGTCAAGGTTGTCGACACTACAGCCGCTGGTGATACGTTTGCTGGCGCGTATACAGTTGCTGTTGCACGCTGGAAAGCTATGGCGCGAGGAGCAGATTTCGATCTCGATACTGCCATTGCGCATGCTAACAGGGCAGCGTCTATGACGGTGCAGAAAGCAGGTGCGCAGTCCAGTATACCGTGGGCCGACGAAGTACCAGAGTCATGATCGTCAAGAAGATCCAAGTTAAGCAAGTAAACTGAGAAAGTAGTATCAGAACGGTCGAATCCACCAACTGTCTGTACCTGTGTCAATTCCACCTGCATTTGAGAACCGTATCAACACTTCATCTTTGGAACGCTTAGGCCCTCCACATTTTCCTCATCTCTCCCACATACACTCCTTCATTCTTCACAAAGTGATTACAATGTGCCGTTCCCTCAAACACAACTTCACTGACATCCCAGCCCTTTTCTCTCGCCGTATCCGCATGCTCAACAATATCCTTCCAATCCGTCATGCGGTCAGCTTTGCTATACAGATAGCATATTCTCTTCTTCGTGCCGTTCTCCGCTCCACACACGAAGTTCTCATCTAATAGTGTCCGGCGAACCAAGACCTCTGGATACTCGTAGCGTCCCAATGCCACGCTCGCAAACAGACCAAGGAGGATCCCATGTACGAATACATAGCCGGCATACCGCAGGACACCTGGTGGTAGTGACAAAACCATGGCGTTGTAGGATTTCCAGTAGTAGCCTGCTGCGGGTCCTGAATCCATGATGATGCCAACCAAAGGCAGGGATGCGGAGGTCTGAGTATGCAAGGCGAGTAGTAGTGCAGTGGTAGAGATTGGACCGCCATTTGAGAAGGTGTGAAGAAGAATTCTGGGCCCATGATACTTCTTTGATTGATGTTCCAACACAGACGCGGCGATACATGCCGGGTAAGTGCATTCACCAAGTACCGCGCGCACTACTTCGACAGCTGGCATTATAGCTTTGCGTTGCGTAGGATAAGAGCTTGTTACCGTTGCCACATCGCTTTGGATAAGCAGAATCTTGGCGTTGGGAGCAATAGTACGGTAGGACGTGACGTACTTATCGATATGCTTCCGTGCAGCGCCAAGCCATGTGCACAAAATGATAAGCTCGCCAGAGCTGTATGCTGGTGGAGTGTAAATTGATATGCTTGGGCCGAGTTTGGAGAAGGATGGCGGCGGTGGTGTGGGCGTAGGACGCGTTGCTGTTAAGGCGGTGGACATGTTACTCAACAATGGGCTATGCATGAAGGTTCATCAACTTTGTTGATGAATTTATTTCTTTACACACGTTCACTAATCCACGAAATCCTCCCGAGGCTTGTAGCAGCGCGCCTTGTATCCATAAAAGCCGTTGCCTTGAGTATAAGCATGCATGGTTAGGCGTACATGAGCCGCTAACGAGGTTGGGCTGACCTTGCGAGCTCGCGTGGGAACGCAATTGGTCTAGCATGGCTTGGGAGAATCTCTGAATGGCTATAAGTGCGACCTCTCAATTCTGGGCTCACAGATAGGTCAATCTTGTTACAACAAGGACATGGTTCGACGTGCTTGAACGAGCTCCGAATCGTACCCTTACATCAAGCCGTAGTCGTTGTCGTCCATGGGCAACGGTTCGACCATACTTAGTTCGCCGAACTCACTACTAACTTCTTCAGCGTCGTAATCGTAATCATCAAAGTCATCTTGATGTTCATCGCCGGTGCTATTATCTTTGGTAGTATCGCATCCTTCCAGGACAAGGACTTCAGTAACAGCGACGTTAGTGCCGTTTTTCTTCAAGCGGACGACCGAGTTCTCCGTGTTGAAATGATCGTGTGAGTCTGGCACCAACGTTGTAGGGTTAGAAATGCTTTTAGACCTGTCCAGAGAGGGCTCGTTAGATAAAACCGATGCTGACGCATTGACGTTTGGAAAAAGATCCTCTTGTGTACCAGAGGGTGTGAGAGACAAACCAGACAGTTCGGAGTTGCTTTCGGGAGCAGGTGCAGGTTCTGGCTCCGAAAAGTCTATCAGAGAGTTCGAAGAGTCTTGAGTAGTTGGGGCTGGCCGGTGTTGAGGTTGGGGGATAGGCTTCTGCGTTTGCTCATTTGCTGCTTTGCGTTTAGCCTCCTTTTGGGCCCGAGCCTTTCGCTTTTCTGCCTCCTCAAGAGCGCGTTCTTGTTCAGCCACCTTGTTGAAATCCACATCACCAAAACCAAGTTTAACCATTATCGTACCCGCCAAGTACCGGTATCTGTCATGCCCACTCACAAGCTTGCTCACATCGACGTTCTCTACATCATGAACGCCCTCGACTTCCTGTAGACCTGCTACACCTACTTGCAGTTTCGCTGACCGATAGAGGAAGCCGAGTACGTAGTCTTCCTTGCTGTAGACATTGACAATACGCCCTGCAACAACCGATCGTATTTGCCTCCAGCGTTTGGGGTTTGCTGGTGCAGGAGTACCCATAAGAACGGCGGATTCGACGAGACCAAATGCGTGTTGTTCTGCAAGCTCAATCAGACATGCATATACAACACGCGCGCCGACCGAGTACCCGGTGAGGGTTACAGGTCTCTTTCCTTGCACGCCATCGATAAGAGCATGCGCGAGAACCTTACCAGCCTTATCAGCTCGAGCAAGTGCAACACTAAAGGGGTTATCCAAGATGCTGGCAGCTTTGACAAGGCCGAGTGGCCATAGACCGGCGTACAAGGCTCCGAGAAGCGTACGACTGACTACAGCATACGTGACACCGTCAAAAGCATATCCGAAAAGAACGTCATTGAGTGAGTTTCCGAGACGCAGCATGGCGTCAAGCTCGAAACGCAACGCAAATGGCTCAGTAGTTCCAGAGTCGACCACTTCCCAGGGCTTACTGACATCAGCTGGCGAGTTCAGCCACCCGCTGACACCAATAAAGACACGCAATCGATGTTGTTCACGTTTCTGAGGGTCACGGGCATCTTGTTCATCAGCCCAATCGAGTTGGCGCTGGTTTGCCGGTCGATCGGGATCTGACACGCTTAGCTGCTAGACGACGCTTCATTTCAGACGCCGGCATACCTTGGACTGGAAGGAACTCAAAGTCTCGAATTTCCTTTGCGTACTGCTCCATTACACGCCCCGTCATCTTGGCACCGTAGGCCCCGAACAATGATCCGACGAGCACTGAGCTACCCGCCAACGCACCAAGGTACGTTGAAACGACCCCAAGGCCAAGTCCGCCCATGACTGTACCTAAGCCGGCGGCGAGTAGGGGTGCAGCAAGACCACCCGTGACGCCGATCAGAACTGCACCGCCTACAGTTGCGAGGCCAACCTTCCAGCGGCGTGACGCGGCATCGTTGGATGCTTGATTCTTTGCTGTTGCTTCGGCGTCCATCTGTGAGGCAGCCGTTGCCAAGAGGCCTTGTGCAACCGACCTCTCATGCTCGCCTAGCAGATCAACCTCTAGTTTCAGACTACTTGCGAGACGTAGCAGCAAGATGCGCGAATGTGCCGAGTATTGTTCCAAGCTCAGCAAGAGAAGCAAAAGGCAATGCAAGATCAAGACACGCTTCTTTTCCTCAAGAGCCAGCAGTCTAGTCTCTATGACCTCGTACTGACCATGTTTTGTATTCTCGGATTGCTTAGATGTCGCGTTGGCAAAAGGGTCGACGTCGTCGAAATCGATAAGCGAGGAGATGCCCTGCTTTTGCCGTTCGTTTTGCTCCGATATTTGCTTTCGCTTCGCTTTTGCCTGTCGCACAGTCTCACCCCGAACAGAGACAACATCGCATATGCGGTGCATAACACTCGCGCGCCATTTATCGAAGAATGTCAAAGCGCTTCGTCGCAAAGCTTGCATTTGGGTAGAATCATGCTCTTGTGATCTTTCCCTTGAAGGGGAGGGTCTTATCGCAGTTTGTCTCGGCTCGTCGAGGCTTATAAGGTCTGGTGTGGGTGTCTTTGTATTGGGTGCAGACGATCGGCTCGCAACGGAGGGGTTCGATTCGGGATTGTTGTATGGCTCGAACGTAGCAGTGATATCGGTTCGCATGGCATCGATGCTTAAGAGCACGAGGAGTGCCAATTCGACGCGTAGTGTGGGTGTTTCGAGGACCGATGTAAGCGATGCTCCCTCATCTTTGCTTGTCTTGTCTGGAGCATTACCAGATATCGCACTGGCAAAGTTCGAAAACATGGCGGCCTAGTAGAGCATCAAGAAGCAGAATACGTGGGTATACTTTCAGTGACGAGGGATGGTGCATTGTGAACTGCGCCACTTGATTGACTGGGCGCCTGAGTCGCAGAGCTAGGCCCCCATGGTATCGGGTACCACCATCCTTTGGGTTACTCCCGGCACGAAAACAGACGCGAGCAATTGTAAGTCATGAAGCGTGGCTAACAAGGGACCAGGCGCGTTGGTGTTATCGTTCTGGTGGAACGAGGCAGATAGATTATACGCGTGGCGTATGTCGCGACGCGGCGTGATCTCGCGACAGATGGAATGTCCCCACATTACCTAGGTAGCCGGCCCGGGCCTAGCGCAATTGGCCATCGTACAAGAGGGTAGGCAACTCGCTCTGGTCTACTATCCCAACATGCAGCGCTCTGGGAATTCCGCAATTGTTTTCTCACCCTTATCACATACTTGTGTTCATAGCTGCATATATGAAATACACCGCTCTGGACAACAAGGACCCTAATTCCGAAGGTAGACTAGCAGGTCAACGTGAGTGGTATAAAGGGTTTCAGATTGACTCGTTGTATATCGTCAGTAATTAAGTGGCTTTACGGCCCATGGTATATTTAGTCATTGGCTTATTTGCTCCTCTTGTAAATCTTCTGGAGGAAGGTCTCAAAGACCTCCTTCTTCAAGCCCTCGCTCTCATCGACCTTGTCGATCTTAGCCCTCAAGTCGGCAACGCGCTCCTCTTCCCACTGCTCGTAGAACTCCTTCAGTTTCAGCTCGTGGTACAACTCTTTGACCTTGGCCTCCTTCTGTAAGTCCTTTTGGCCGTAGTTGTCCTCTAGCAATTTTCGTTGCTCGGGGTTGACCTTCTTCAGAGCCTGGTTGATCAACCACGAGCACTTGTTGTCCATGATGTCTGTGCCGATCTTGCCGAGAACGGATGGGTCGGCGAAAGCGTCAAGGTAGTCGTCTTGTGCCTGGAAGTATTCGCCCATGGGGATGAGAATGTCTTCTGCAGTCTGCAAGTTTTTTGGCGTGGCTGCACCAGCGTAGTAGAGGGCCAATGCGACCGGGAGATAGAAAGAGTAGTAGGCAGTCTTGTAAATGACGATGAAAGTGAACTTGTCAAGGCTGAAGTTGTCAAGGTTGACATCGTCTTCGGGTGCAGTCAGCAGATCGCACAGCTGGCCGCATTCCGTCTGGAATGTAACCTCGTGGAACAACTCCATCATGTCGACATAGCTCTTCTCTTGACGGAAGTGCTTCTTCAGAAGTACGTAAATGGCCGACTCGAGCATAAAAGCGTCGTTGATGGCAATCATGCCAACCTTGGGTGCAAGGTACCAGCAAGGGCTACCACGGCGGGTCTTTGAAGAGTCCATGATGTCGTCGGAAACCAGGAAGAAGGCCTGGAGGAGTTCGATCATCCATCCTAGGAGAGCAGCACGGAAGTATTCTTCTGATGACGGGTCAAGCGTCTTTTTCTGGAGGATTGAAATGGTGTCAATGACAGACATGCCACGGTTGCATTTTCCGCCAACAGTGTTGTAGTCGAGCGACTATGTGATGTGGTAAGCAAGTTGGACCCTGAATGCACCGTTCGGGATGTGGATGTACCTTTGTGAACCAATCAAGGGACTGCTTGGGCAGTTTGTACCCATTGCAGTGCTCCTGGAGGTCGGCAACAATGCGCGGCCATACGCTTTCGAATTCTTTGAGTGTGGTAGGCATCTTGCACGCAGTGAATTGGGTATCTTTCCAGAGCAGGGTCAAGATAGAGGGGCAGTAGCAGATGTAGGGGTGCGGGCGGTGAAGGAGTCTAATTTCCGCGGCGGTCAAAGGTTCCGCCGGGCCATTGTTTGTGCCCCACCCTGCCGCTACAGGAAGCTCACCATCAAGACGCGCATCGGCGGCAGCGACATCACGCGAAAGAGCATCGGACAATGATTTGAAGCGCAGACCGGGCACTGTCTTTCTGATATCCACGCGATGGGCACCTTATCCCAGGCCGACGAGGCCCAATTGAAGGCGCAACTCCAGGACGCCGTCATCGGGTGTACAGAGCGCTGTCTCTACCACTCTGCGAAATGGTAAGTGCCGAGTGTAAAATATACCGACCTTTGCATGCTGATGTTGACAAGGGCCGCAGAACTACTCGATTCGCTCCCCTCGGCCGATGACGACGACGACGCCTCGGACACCGACGTTGACTCTCCCATGTCCGACGCCCAACCTCCACAAACACCCAACCTCATACCGAAGGACCCCACGGAAGCGCGTTTGGAAGCACGTGAAGCGCACAAGTTCCTCCTCGCCAAGACATACTTCGACTGCCGTGAATATGACCGATGCGCCGCCGTCTTCCTGCCTGGCCCTTTGCCCAAGGGCGCGCCGCAGCCACCTTCTACGCCTACTGCCAAGTCGAAGCAGGGGGCCAAGGGAAAGGCCAAGATGGTCACCCCGTCCAAGTCGAAGCTTTCCAACGACACAGTCAAAGGCATCAGTCAAAAGTCGCTGTTCCTTGCGCTCTATGCAAAGTACATCGCTGGGGAGAAGCGCATGAACGAGGATAGTGAGATGATTCTCGGTCCTCAGGATGGCGGCGTCACTCTGAATAAGGAGCTACCGACGGTCGCCGCTGTTCTGGAAGAATGGTTCAGAGATCTGCCCAACAGCGGACGGCAACCCCAGGGCTGGCTAGAGTACCTGTACGGCATGGTGCTGGCCAAGGGAAAGAACGAGCAACTTGCCATCGATTACCTCATCAAGAGTCTTCACCAGTATACTTATAACTGGGGTGCGTGGCAGGAGCTGCAAGCACTACTCAGCACTATGGAAGAGCTTAACAACATCGTCACACGGCTACCACAGAATCTGATGACTTTCATCTTCCACGTTACGTCGTCTCAGGAGCTCTATGTAGTCAACGAACAGATTCACACCTCGCTGTCGCAAATTCTGACCATCTTCCCCTCATCGGCTTTTCTAAAGACCCAGCGGGCGTTGTTGCATTACCACAATAAAGACTTCGACGACGCCGAACAGATCTTCTCCGACTTGCTCATATCAGATCCACACCGCGTCGATCATCTGGACAACTACTCCAACATCTTGTACGTCATGGGCATGCGACCCAAGCTTGCCTTCTTGGCTCAGCTTGCCACAGCGACCGACAAGTTTCGGCCAGAGACCTGCTGCGTGGTCGGAAACTACTACTCCCTAAAATCGGAGCATGAGAAGGCCGTCATGTACTTCCGGAGAGCTCTGACTCTTGATCGGACGTTCCTTTCTGCTTGGACCCTCATGGGCCATGAGTTCGTTGAGATGAAGAACACTCATGCTGCTATTGAGTCATACCGTCGTGCTGTCGATGTCAATCGTAAAGACTACCGCGCATGGTATGGACTTGGTCAAACATATGAGGTGCTGGAAATGCACTCATATGCTCTCTTCTATCACCAGCGCGCCGCTGCTCTACGACCTTACGACCCGAAGTTATGGATGGCTGTCGGCCAATGTTTCGGTAAAGTGGGCAAGATCATGAACGGTATCCGATCATACAAGCGCGCCTTGGTGGCAGGCTCATACTATGACGCTGGTGTTGGTGCTTCTTTCGGCAGCGGCGAAGTCTCTGGCCTTGGGGGTGGCATCCTCGATCCAGAAGTACTCTACCAAATCGCCTTGCTGTACGAGAGGATAAACAACATGAACGAATGCGCTGCATATATGGAACTGGTACTTGCACAAGAGGAAGGCCCAGATTACGAGGAAGTGGGCTCCGAAGGCGCTGGTGGTGTTGGGGTTACTGCAACCACAAGTAAAGCCCGGCTCTGGCTCGCTCGATGGGAGTACATGCGTGGCATGTACCAGCGAGCTATGGAATTGGCAAACGAACTTTGCCAAGATGGTGTAGAGGTTGAAGATGCAAAAGCGCTGGTTAGGGACATTAGAGCGCGTATGGAGCGTGGCGGAGAAGACGCAGAAGATTGATTGAGCATAGCGTCTCAGCAATTTGGGCATTTGCAGGCGTACAGGTATGTCATAACTAACAATGATACCCAAGCAATACTGGATCGCAACATGTATCACATACTACTTGATAGCACATTACAGGATTTCGATTCATTTCTACCTCTTCAATTCAAAGACGCTCATTGTCACCAACGTGAGTGTCTACTTGCCGTAGAGATGCGCGGTCCTACCCTCACCCCATCGAGGATTACCACCACTCTCCTTTTCCCAGCGCTTATCTTCGTCTTCCATCTCCCTCATCCTCGCACCTCCATCTTTCTTCTTGATCCAGCTTCCTGACTTGAACTCACTCAGGTCTTTGTTCTTCTCTTCATCGATTATATTATTCCCATTGCTCTCTTCACTTGCGTCTTTGCGGCTAGCTTCTGCCAAAGCAAGATGTTCAACTTCTCGTATCCGCAGCTCGGCTATAATATAGTTCAATGTTCTTTGCATTTCACGCGCATCATGGCCGCGGCAATCCAATATGTAGAGCTGATGTGTTATTGAAGCTTGAGCAGAGATGAGTGAGGGAGTGGTGAGAGGCGGATAGCAGACGGGTCCCAGGGGTGGGGATGGGTGAAAGCGTGAAGGGCTAAAGAGGATGACATTCTAGACAATTGACGATGTGCTTATGTTGTGGTATTGGGTGTTCCGAGACCCTGGAGGTTGAATATGAATTGGGTGTGGAAGGATAATTGGATGGTTGGAGTGGGAGATGTGCGAGAAATAGGGTTTGGTCTTGTAATGTAAGTCGCGAATCTGTGGTGGCTCGCTGACGTGACAAGAAAACACGTAGGAGATGTGTTATCACAAATGTAACATCAGTGTTGCCTACTGTGAAGGAATGCTTTATTGCTATTTACCATGGTCACAAAGGAGTCGCAAGCAGCTGAGGCAGTGTGCATTATTGGCACGTACACTTTGCGCAGCCCTGTTCGTACCAACAGCCGTTGAACACATGGTAGCGTTCAACCAAATTGGTATTCAAAGCTTTCTCGAATGGCAGTATGATCGGTCAGACAGCGGATATCTAGTCTCTCATTTTCTGCTGTTGAACTCCACACTAACATTTTCTCCTCATCATCAGAGGAACAGCTCAACGAAGAAGTCGAATTCTACAGCTCAAGAACTGCAACAAAACAGACCCCTCTGTCTCTCATAATCTACTAAATGTTACCACTATTTATAACCAGCGGTCCACCTCATCCCTGGGAAAGGTCGTTCATCGAAGGAGTTGATCTAGAAGAACTTCTTTCGGTACACAATAAAATGTACTACTACCTGCAGGAACGCACCAAAGACGATGACGTTCGTAGCAGGGTTCGAGTTACAGCGAGCAGGATTCAGGAGCGACTTCAGCAGCACGGCGCGAGGAAGCTCATTGGAGCAACAAGTGGTGGTAGAAGCATCAACATGCAGCTGTCAACACCATCACCAGCACCAGCGCAATTACGGCAAGACATCATCGAGCGACAGCAAGTACAGTCGCAACTGCAAATTCAGCAGCCAGCTCAGGAAGCATTCACCATGGTACCCTTCGCTCAACAACAGCCTATGCCACAGTCCATACAGCAGGGTCTCATGTATCAGCAACAGGCTCCACTCCAGCAGAGCATTCTGTATCACCCACAACAGCAGCCTCAGTCATTCAACATCACCACTCCAGTGGCTACGCTTACTTTGGCATCTGCACCGGTGCAGAATATTCTGATCGAACAAATTGACAGCCCAAGGATTGTATACCTTAGTCGTCGTAGGAGACTGCATAACGAGGGACTGCTGTACTATAGTGATGACAGTGATTGAGTTTGATAGGTGTCTTTGACCTGTCCGTGGATGGGAACTGTAGGTGGGTGACGGCGATGACAGAGGTATTGAATAATGTGTTGGCTCTTTAGTAACGTAAAACCGACATCACTGATCTTGTGCCAAGCAAATATTCATAAAATGATCCAATCTGATGCGCGCTCGTGTTCATCAAATACAGTTGGCGACTGACTCGAAGAACAATACACAATCAATACATCAAGACAACAGGAAAACATGGGGAATAGTCTGGTTCATTCACTCAATCATCTCCCTCAGCTCCAAATCTGCGCCGTCTTCGATCATGGTAGATGATCAAACTCGTGTGATGAATTTGTGTGATTGGAAATCATGAGCGGCATGTACATGCTAACGACGTTAAAAGTGACGGTTTCTTTCGCGACAAAGAGGCAGTCTTAGCTATCTACCAGGACCCATGATTTCACAATTTTGCCACTGCCGAAGGTATGTATTGAAGGGCGCAAAGGCTTAGAGTCCTATCGTGATATTCACATGTGAGGTCATTGTAATGATATGCCGTGATGTTGTCCAAAGACTACACACGCGTGGCAATGCCGGCACCCGAGACTTTGACATATACGTCGCCATTCATGGACAGGCTCATAGCATAAATCATCTCCGCACTCTGATCTTCCTTGCTACATACTATCATAACCTACAAATCAAAGCTCGATATCCCCCTGCAGCAAAGATAGTCTGTACTCGCTGAACATAACAAAACCCCGAACAACACCGGGTACGCACAGTTGACATGTCTCGTTTCCGCTCACAAATTCCTTCAATCTTCCATTGGGAACATCCTTGGGGCTTGGAGCAGCTGGGATCCTGCTCGAGTTCCGAGCTTAGGAGCGTCTACGATCAAATCGAAAGGGCACTCCATAACGGAGGCATACTTCCCGGTCTCGAGAGTGACGTGCGCTTGACGCAGCGCAGGATCAGGCGTGTTCTTCAGGGAAGGGATCTACTCGGTCCCAATACGTTGGATGCGTGGTATAATAGGCTAGAAGATTCGGGCGACTTGGGTTTCCTGCATCGCGCGTCCCCAGATTTCGTCATCGGACAGACTGTACAGCAGAGAGTTATCAACCTTCCGGCACTCCAGCCCAACATCGCTATTCAGACCATTCAAGCTCCGTCGCCAAATATTACCTTCCAGACTATGCAGCCCCCCCAGCCTGTTGCTCCCCTCATGCGGCCTGAACTTCCCAAGCGACTCAGATTCCGTGATCAGTGGGGCAATATCGTCGAAGAGCGTGACGAGACAGAACAGGAGAAGAGTGATAGAGAATATCAGGAATGGAAGGAGAAGTTTGGCGTCAAGTAGGAGCCGCTTAGCTCGGGTCGGATGAGGGAATTGGTGCATCAATAAAGTGAGCACAATGAAGCCCGAACCAGGCATGAAAATGTACGAAGCAAGGAGTAGTGTCTTGATAGAATTGAAATTGTTCTCTTACTGAATAAGACTTAAGGGGATTGAAAGCCGAGCGTTGGAATTGATATGATCGAAGGCTATCGTACATATATGCGTGACGTCGCTATCGGATAATCAGTCTTCACAGACACTTCAAAGTTTTCGCCTCCCATAGGCAATTCTCGATTTGACTTTGGTGGAGGCGTGTCATACTCGCACCTAATTTAGTTGTGGTGGTGATGATGATGGCCGTGTGATTTGATGCTTAGTGATAATAACATCAGTGTCAGAACATCTATGATACACATGTTTCCACAAGGTAATGTTGTTATAAGCCTTTGATTGTTATGCGAATGCATTGACATTATGTCTTCAACGTACTCTGCTAATGGCATCCACCTATCGAGCAAGACATTCACAGTATACTCGCAGTACAAAAGCGCAACTTCCTATGCGCTTGCTCTTGCTAGACTACTCTCTACTCTATTTTCCATCATCACATTTTCCCATCAGTTTTGAATTTAGTGTACCTTTAATCAAAGCAACATGCTTGTCAGACGTCGTTATTCCGGTAACATCACCGTCGTGGACGGTCCTCATCCGATCACGGTCAGTGAGTTGATGCGACTGCACGACGACTTAATTAGCGGTTTTCAGGTCCTGCTGGACAAAATCCAATGGCGTCAGAAAAACCACAGGGATCCAATTAAAACTACATGTATGATGATGACGGTTCAAAATATTTTGGAATTGGTATTCGATGACTACGGCGGCTGGGCGTTTCTCCAGCTAGGGCAGGGCCACCGATACTTCCTCCAGCAAATGCAGCAACAGCATCTATTAACAATACCGCAGCATCAACAGGCTATCGAGTATCCCCAAAAAGTAGCGACGCCACCAATGGGCCAGGCCCACAGTCAGGACATCATAGAGCGCCAAAAGGGAGCCAAGATTGCCGATCAACAGCAAGCATCGTCGGATCTAGACAAACACGAGAGGTTTTTGGACAGGTTCAACGCGGAAAATGAGCATAACGAGAAAATGAAGAACAGGTATGCCGACGAGTTGGCACTCAAGGCAAGGGTGAAGCTAGAAGCTGAGAAGAACAAAGCCATTGAAATGGAGAAAGAGAGCGCTCGCAAGCTCGAAGAGGCACGACAAAGACTTGAGAAGACAAGAATCGAAAACGAGAGAAAGGAAGATATGCTAATGCGCACGGATGAAGCAGTGAGCAGGGCAGACGAACTACAGCATCAGGCGCGTGAGATGATGCAGAGAGCAGAGCAGGAGAAACGTGATTCGGAAAGAAGAATTGAAGAGAGGCGTCGGGAAGCAGCTGCAAAGAGGGCACAGGGCAGGCAACCATCGTACAATGGCTCCAAAAGTCGGACACATGAGTGGGAAATAAAAAGTTTCAGCTATGAGAACATCCAGATGCGCCGGGGTTCCGCCGATAGGACATTCGAGAGAGGGTATGAGGAGCGTGGGTTAAGCGAGGGGAAAGATAAACAGGAGGGTCACTGGCATTTTGATGAAGATGACATGCCAGATGACAACCACAGACAGCAAAAGCTACTAAAGAACACAGAAACCCAGGGGTCTGCTGCCACTCTACCAAACCACATCATCTCTGACAGCGATGATGATTCCGATAGCGACGAAGAAAAGAGGCAAGATCCATACAAGCTTATGGGTCTACCCGACAGAGAGCGAACACCGGTAAAAGATATTGAAACCACTCAAAGGGTACTGAGCAGAATCCATCAAACTTCTGTTGACAATTCTACCGAGGAAGCTACGAGGAAGCACGCAGAGAAACGTTTGGTCGAGATAAAGTGGGCAGCGAACATACTCTTGGACGACATGAATAAGAGAGCTTACGACGAGGACGGCTCCATATATCCCCACGAACAACAAAGTTGGAAGAAGAAGAGTAAGTCAAGCATTAAGAAGCACAAACACAGAGACTGATTTTAATATAGATGGTTTCGGCGGTGGTAGTGGTGGTAAGTACATTCCAGGCTGAAGAACTCTGAGGTACTCTTGCTCTAAATCATAATGTCGTGCTTTCTTGTCCATATCAACCTCTGTTTTAGTAATAGCATTGAATTCGTCTTTAGCCTATGTAGGCAAAAATAATCTATAGTTTGCTTGACAACCTGCATGAACCTGACCAATGACACTGTTACCAAAATAAAGAAAACGCGTGAGTACAACACGATTGCTAACGCAGAGATGCTGAAGTGTATATTTGGTGACAAGCTGAAGTACTAGAATTGATGGAAAAGCTGATCGTACTGGCTAGTTCAATAGCTTTGGTTAATCATCCCCATAAGTGACACACTTTTCGTTTCCATAGCCATTTACTTTCCACTTGCTGCTGTATTCTTTCTCACTCTTACCCTCATTTATCATCATCCATGATAATGTACCACATCGACGTCAACAACCCGCCAGTAGAGACTGCTTGTGCAGTTCTCGAGAGAGCTTCTTTGCCTTCTGCAGCGCTAATTACAGATAGCAGCCTCGCAGCAAATGCCTCTTCAGAATCGCAGGAAGCAAATCCGACTACAGTTCGGCTATCGCCTAATTCGTCCCTGTATTCTTACTCACATTCTTCAAAAGTAGAGCCACTACAACAAGTAGAGCACGAAAACATAATCCTTGCTGCATGGAATCAATACCGGACAGTCAATCAAATGCGTGCCTCGCCATACTACTTTTGTATAGATTTACCGATATACTCAAGCAGCACGACCACATTTACTCTCTCTTCAGGATCTACCTCGGTTCACAGATACATCACAGCTGCCTCTGGAGACCTTGATAAGCGAGCTGAGCACGTGCCAACAGACCAAAGTCTAGCTCTGCACTCCGTCCATCCAGTACCAATACGGTATCTCCGAAAACTCACACCGAAGCAACTAGAGTTCGTGCACAGCTATCTCACCGGAAAAAGATTTCGGCCCGGCAGTGAGCTATCACGACGAGCTTATGAGACGGTACGCAATATCGAGCGGATCATGCATCCAGGAGAGGAGTGAAAGAATGGATGAGCCCTTGTGCTGATTGTCACAGATTTTCTGTGCTCTGATGTATATGTTTGGTATCAGCGTCACGGCAATTATCTTAACTCCAAGGGAGTGTATCTGACTCTTGTTGCACATCTGTTGGCACTGCTCCATAGGGACCCTTGGTCGTGCACTCCGTGCATTCAATCCTTCGTAAGCAGCTCCAGAACTTGGTTCCAGTCTGCCTCCATGATTTAGGCGCTGAATTGAAGGAGGAGCGATAACATGTCGATAGAACCCCAGAGTTCAATGCTCGTGTGCGAGAAACCTTGACTCGCGTTGATGATGCTCAAGAGCTCGTACTTCGTGTTCATATACCAGGAACTCGTATCTTCAGTGGAAGGAAATCTTTCCAAATCTAGACATAAAATGGCGATCGGTTTAGACGTGTTGGAGGAGATAGTAGAGTAATGTGCTCAATGCTTCTGCATATTGATCAGTGCGGCGGTATCGTACACTTGACATTTTACTGTTAGTAGTGTATCGAGCATTCGTCATAGGCTCAAATGGGTCGATGGAGACTTTGTAATGTGAAAAACGCTCCGGATGCTGTGAGTGCCCGTGAGAAGCTTTTACACAATGTACACTAACTCATCATGCTCGAGCACCAGGGCTACACGAAGATTACCGTAGATAGCACTATCGCAGAAATTACATCTAGAGCGATTCGATGAAGCAGGGCATGCGTAGTGTTGCCGTAGTATTGCGCAGCGTTGACACATTGTAAAGTCGCATCGACGTGTCTCAACCGTGACCTCAGTCCATTGTTAGCGCCGCAGCATGACATCACAGGGGTCACTGCCAGTCTGCTCCTTCACCAACATCAATTCACACACAGATAGTGGTCGCTTTCATGAACAGCACGTAGGAGCTGTTGCATCATTTCTTCATTTGATGGCTATGCTTGCGGGACTTTCCAGCTTATTGCAAAGCTTCGCGAGCACTCGCAGTGTGTATTCCATTATTTGGTGCCTGAGGCCAACACGATACGTCAACACAGTCACTTGAGATCTTGAATAACTGATGACACCAGCAAAGAAACAGCAATACATAAGAGGTACATAAATCTACCTTTCCTCTATAACAAGATCCACAAAATCTTCGAGACATCAATTTACAGATTAGCAAAGACGCTCATCTTCTTTGTCCCAAGATCATCTAAGACAAGCCTCACTCAACATTTCCAAGCATGCCCTCGTTCCTATGCCCAAACGCCCAGCGTTGTCGTGACTTCTTGTCACATCCAGATGCGTACGTAGTCCATATTCCGACTGGTGATGACCTCTACTTCACATTACCGTTCGACTTAAGCTCTCTGCATCCCATGCGCCCCCAAGAGCTAGAAGCCCTCCATGACTTCTTGGATACGATACAAGATGAGGTTGCAGAGAATCTGGGTAACCATACCCTCGAGAACGTTCTGCAAGCACAGTCGATCATAGTGCGCTGGCTCGAACACGCCAGGTGCCTTGGCGATTTGGAGACGCATGGCTGGGCAGCTGGTCTGGGCTTCCCAATATTCGATGACTACCAATATCCAGTTGACTTCCATTGGGACTGGGATGCCATCAAGTTCGAAGGGCTTACTTCCAAATATTTCGAACTGGTACATCCTGCAAGCACCCGCTCCGTCTACCATTCTATATACCGCACCCCCACTGAGCACGCCTCCGCCCCACCCAATACTCCAGTGAATCGTAGACTGTACAGAGGCGCAGACCCTGAATATATGGAATCTGAGTCTAATAAATCTTTCAGCACGCATGTAGCAGCCTATGCGAACAACAACGAGATTTCGGGCTTCTGTGATTACTTTCCAGACCTCAATTTCGCCCCATTCCAAGACCGAGTCTTTCAGTTTGAGAGTGACAGCCACCATGGTACTCGCAGTATTCGAGGACAGAATGTGAAAGTTTACCCTGACCGGGTTTCGCGGACTTCAAGACTCGATGCGGAGACTATTGGATCTACCAAGATTCAGCAACGTACTCGTCAGCTCACGATGGCGACCGAGAGATATTCTCCAAAGCCTCTGAATGCATGGGAAGATCTCTATCAGCGAGGGCTGATATGTCACGGTATGGCTGCCGAGAACAGTTCCCTGGTGCCCTATGCCGATCTGTACTTGCTCAAATTATACAAAGCTATGCGCGAACATGGTTCGTCAGAAAGAGATTCTCTGAAGCGAATAAGCAACATCGATTCGACTGATCTTAAGAGTTTCCTTGGGCGATCTGTATGGAGAGATCATTCGCGATGGGTCGACGAAAAGTTCAATCACACATTCCCCAATGAGCCTGGTTATTGTAATCCTCAGGCGACTCTCAAACAGACAGTGCCCTGTTGTCATCCTGAGAAATGTGCCGAAGAATGCTTCGTCTCGTCAGAAGGTTGCATGAAAAAAATTCAGGATTCTGGTCAAGGTCCAAAGCGCCAGGTTCGATTTGTACAGCCACCATCAGACCAGGAGATTGACAAATCTACGTTCCCAGGACACGCAACGCCAAAGTGTGTGCATAACATCCAGGAACCACTTGACTACCGTCAGTCGTCAATGTTCCATGAGTGCAACTCGTTGCTTCCTTCCGGTCGTGAATGGGAGTCGATGGCAGGAACTGAAGCTGCTAAGAAGCTCTCTGAGTCCAAGAGACAAGAGCGCAACCAAACACATAGCGATCAAGAACTCCAAAGTGCTTTCGAAGAAATTTCAATTGTATCTGAGCCCAAGGAAGTCAAAGAATGTGCCCTCCAGAGCACTGAGCAGCGGGCTCCCCATTCTCGAGGCCATGAGCAGAGGACTTCATCCGCTCAGGAAACTACTGCGGAACTCAAATACGACACACAAGATATGTTTCATCAAGCCTCAGATCATCGATGCACTGTCTGTGGACATTCTAACGCTTCCCAGACCTTGCCATTCCAAAAGCCAACTCGTGTATTCAACTGGCCGAAGGCGACAGCAAGACCTTCGAGCTATCAGGCATATGCTGAAGACAGTCCAGAGGACTCACCTGGCGCTGGATCCGGCTCATGGAGGGATGTGTGATGGGACGAAGTCAATGTTGGACATCTTGCGGAGAGATGCGTACAAGGTAACTATGGTCACTCGATCTGGAAATTGATGTACATAGGATGTTAGCCCAATTGGATCAAATTCTCCTTCTTTCACTGATTACTGTAAGGTGTATCTTATTGTCGCGCCTTTTTGCATCTTATTCCATTCATTCCAGTTCGTTCGTGTGTAACTTCTGCCGACGGTGAAAGCGCAACGTCACCATATATAATCTAAAGTGACTTGCCAACAGCACGTCACCGCAGAGTCCCGAATCTCACCAAACTGACATAAGAGTTTGCTCACGCAACTAACGGCCTACCTCAAATCCTATCCCCCAGCCACTTGATATCCTGCTCTCAAAGCACTAACAGCATATCGCTCTTACCGTACCAAATGTCTTTATATAATCGTGCTCTAGATGTCGTCTTCACTCTGTTTCCCTTAAGACAACCAAAAACCACAAAACTAAACCGTGTAGATGCACCGCCCCACCTTCTTGAATACCACGACTCCAGCGTCGGACCCAGACCACCGCCGTCTCAAACGCTATTTCTTCCCCTACGTACCCGTATGGAGATCTCCCCACTCTCTACCCTAGGTATGGCACAAACTCACGCTTACTACGAGGAAATTGACAGCATACCCGCGTCCGCCGCCAACCAGACCAGCCCGTTCCGCAGCGCATGTTGGTGGATCATTCATCCAGTGACTTGCGTAGAAGTACTGGATTTGAGTACAAGGGTATTGGTGGATTTAAAGGTGTGGATTGAGGAGACCGTGCCAAATGAGCTGTTTGTTAGGAAGAGTGGGACTGTCATGGGATTTAAGGGTGTACGAGAAGAGACGCTGGAAAATGTGGTAAGTGAGTTGAGAAAGAGGAAAGACAGGGGGGACTTGGAGAGCGAGGAAGGGTATGTGGGAGGTTGGCAGGCCATTGTTGGAGACGGGGAGGAGATGGCTAAGGAAGTGACGGACGAGGATGACAACGGTGGGTGCGACGAACTACACGTGAAACAGAAGAAGGCAAACAGACTGAGCCGGAACTCCGATGCGCAGTTGGAAGAAGCTGCTGCTGCCGGGCGAAACGCTGCCGAGGAAGCGAAACTGAAGAATGAATACGAGTATGTAGTCTAAAAACGACTGCGAGCACAGCAAGTCGGAAATTGCAAGGTGCAAAATGCTTGAATTCTTCATGCAGGTTTTCATTCAAAGTGTGATATCTGGCCGCAAGATCTACGCTATATGATGTGTGAACATCAGATGCCAGCCCAGAAATATGTCATGTCCAAGGAGATTCGTTGTCGTATCCTTGGTCCTATCTCGTGTATATGAACTATCGTTGAACATCTGGGAACGGGGTATCGCCAAACCAGCCCATGTCCTTAAGCTTTGGTATATTGGTACCATCTGTGTACCCTTCCATGGATCTACAAGCATCATATATCGTTGAGCCTCATGTTGCGCCGGTGTAAAGAGTAAAAGGTAAGAAGAGAACAATAGACGGGAACGAAAAGTCAAGGCGACAGGGGGAATCATGCTTGTTTAAAGTCGAAAACCTTGATGGAAAAACAGAATGGGAAACTCCTCGCTATGCATGACCGGCCGTCATGTTATATAGACCGTTAACGATATTGCGCGTATTACAAAAAACTTAAAACAAAGTCGCGCAGTCGATGGTAATAGGAATGGTCGACAGGGGTATCAATGCAGAGTCGAACACCAAATGCGGAAAAAGACATACTATGCCCTACTCGGGTTGATGTTCTCCAGCTCGCTGCGCTGGCGCAAGTACTTGGCGGCAAGTTGATCGCCACCCTTCATGGACTGCTCCATCCAGTGCTGTGCAACACACATGGTCATTGGATCGCTGCGAGCGGGATCCTGTGACGCTCTCCTCTCACGGTTGAGAAGCTCAGTCTTGAAGACCTCGCTGGGCCTGGTGAGTGGCAATACAGTGCGGTGAACGAGCTCGGGTGAAGTGAGGTAAAAGATGGCAAGCTCACGCTCAGCTACTGCGTCGCCTTCCTTGGCAGTAATAAGAAGCATGCGTCCGGCATCCTCCATAGTGTACTTGGATAGTGGTTCGTCGACCGGAGCCAGTGCGGTGGATGCTACGCCCGCCTTCTCGGCAGCACCACCGCTGCTGACTTTGCCAGCATCTCGCTTGGAGTTGTGGGTGATGACTTCGTCAACAAGCTCAACCATGATCCGGCAGACATCTTGCTTGAGGCCAAGGGCAGCAAGACCAACATCCCAGAATGCCTTGCCTCGCGCAGTCTTGTCCAGCATTTGCGCGGGTACGAATGATGCTATGTATTGTAGGTCTCGGAACAGTGTCTTGGGTCGAATGTTAGCATCGCGGAAGAGGCCTTGGATGACTTCAACAATCATGTCTGTGCTTGGTGGTCCAACCGGAGAGCGTGCACCGTTACGAGGCAGAGGAGAGGCGTTGCTAGCGCGTTCTACATTCATGCTGTGGGAGCGGCGTTCCTCGCAGTTGGCAATTGCCTCTTCCAGGTTCTGTGCACGAGAAGTCTGCGTAGCTGGCTCACGGGAGCTGAGTTCCGGCATGGTGCCAAGAGTAGGCGATTGGGGAACTGGAGGAAGTGTTTCGCGACGGTTATTGTAGGAGCGACCTGTTCGAGAAGACAAAGACGCTATGATGAGCAACTCCAGCTCGTACAATGCATGGAGCTTGGAGAAGGGATTGGGGTGTGTTTGAAATCTGCCTAGCAGCCGCCGGAAAGCAACGTTGTAGGGGAACTCGAGGAGTCCAGCCTTCTTCGCTGTGGCATTGCCAACCGAACGTGAGGTCGCATCGCTTGAGGCTGAAGAATGCTCACCAGCTGATTGATGAGCGTCGGATGCGCTAGCATGTTGGAATGTCGCAACAGGTGGGGCAGCTGAACCCCGCTCGTTGCGGCCAAGCGTCTCCAGGGGCAGGTTGCGTTGATCAGGTAGCGTCTGCTTTCGAATGTTCTTCATGCTCTTCTTGGCAAGTTGCTTCTTGCGCTTGCGCTCTTCTTCGTCCCTGCGCTCGAAGACGTCGTCAAGTAGATCACCACAGAACCACGAGTCGGTCTCGCTCCCGTTGGCGAAAACCATCGTTCCGAGATCACTCAAGAGAAGGCCTGTGAGTGTTTGCTTCAAATCGAGCATGAAACGACGCTTGTCTTCGTTGACCATTGCAGATTGCTTCAGCATCACCGTACCCTTTGAAGATGATGCGGTACGTGGACGAATGCTGGTGGCATTGGTGGGCGACTGCGCTTGAGTTTGGAACGGGGACCAGAAAGTAGCCACAGAGTCGATCGACAAGACAGGTGAAGAGCCACCGAAGTAGTCATGAGAGTCCATGGGATTCCTTCCCCAGGGACTCTGATCAAAGCTGGAAGATCCATTTCGGTTGGCTGCGGCACGTAGACTGCCCTGGCTTGGTCGTTGCGAAAAGTCATGACTACGTGAACCAGGCCGGCCATGGGTCTCGTACTCCTCGTCGCCAGCGATAGAGAGCGTGCCGACGCCAGTCAGGAACAGATCACCCTTCTGTCGTCCACTTTCTAGAATTTGTTGATCGCGCTTGTATAAGTCGCTGGACCAAAGAACGGGTCCGTCCAGAACGCCCTCGCCAATGATCTTCGTGACGCACTTGTCGACTTCAAGACAGAAACGATGTATCCGCTCTTCGCCCTTGCAGAAGTTCTCTACGCCGTATTGCATGAGCCATTTCAGGGTGATTTGCGACTGCTCATCGGACAGCTTGTTTGGACCACCGAAATCTTGAGTGGCGGACATGAGGTCAACGAGTTGAGCTTCGTTTTGCCGTAAGAAGCTGTTGGTGCTCCGTGGCTGAGAACCAGAAGGACCTCTGGCACTAAGCGTCTTCGACTGTTGTTCCATGATCTTGAGGGCAAGCGCGACGTTTCTGGCGTCTTCATATGGCTTCGAGGTACGAACATCTGTAATGTACCACATCTTGTCGCGAAGGTTCTTGAATGTGATCATCATTTCTTCAACCATACCATCTGATCGCTCCTGTGATTGCTTGAGCCACACGAACCAGGCCTCGAACTCTTCGATGGCGTTGGCTGCTTTGCTAAGGAGATCGCGCGGACCGCGAGAGAAGTAGTTGAGGAGAGCGGCATACCCATTCTTGACCAATGTCGGGGAGCTGAGTCTTTTCAAACTTTGCAAGGTCTTGTAGTACATGTGCGCATTGACGAAATCAGATCGTGCTTGGCACTGGTACATGGCTGTCTCGAGCATGGTAACGAGAACAGAATTGTTCTCTTGCTTTTCGCCAACTTGCGGGTTGCTGTGGCTCCTTGGGAATTGTGGTGAGCGTCGAGATGAGACATTCCTTTGACTTGCGATCATGTTTGTGAGCTGACTTTGGCTCTGTGTTGAGTTGTACGGATTGCGTGAGCCAAGATTGTCACTAACATTGCGTACCGGGCCACGTCCACGTGTGCTCTTGCGGGTTGTCATTCGGTTGCTGAAATTCTTCGATTCGCTGTCGGGTGCCAGTTCTTTCGGAATTTCGTACTCTTCAACCAGCTTGGCAATGGCCTCTTTCAACTGGTGGTAGTCATTTCCAAGATCGAACCTGTTCCCGCCATCCTCGTCGTCACTGCTGTCACTGTCTGGTGAGTCTTCATCGTGCTCATCTTCATCATCAAAATCCTTGCGCATACGCGGCTTCAGCTGCTTTCCATCAGCGGAGATGTAAAGGACAGCCCATCGCTCTGCGCACGGATGGCATGAACCCGATGTCGCCTCGAAACCTAGAATGCGAGTCATCTCAGAACACGCTGATCGCAGCTGTTTTCCGTATTGCTCTGTTGGTACTGGCTTCATCTCATTTTCCGAGTCGGTTGATGCTGGGTTGCCATCCAGGAGCGGCTCTCGCGACGTCTGGTCACTGGTCATGGAAGAGGCACTGGCACTCAGAATAGAGCTTGCATCAGTCACGGAAGCGGTGGCATTCCGGAATGGTACTGACATCCCGGACATGGATGAAGCAGATGAAGCAAGACCAGTACGGCGCTGGCTGTCGTTGTCCATATGGCTCGATGATGGACGGCGCTCTGGGAAGAGGGCATTAACCAAGGTCACAATGTCTGCCGGAGAGAGAACAATGAAGGGCTGGACCTCTACAGTTTCCCTAGGTGACGTGATGGCCTTTGCAGGTAGTAAAATTGGCTTCGAGGGAGTTTTAGTGTGCTTGAATCGGGCCAAGATGTTTTCGATATGTGTTCGGATCTCTGGAAGTATCGGTACTTTCTTTTGCCTAGATTTGTTGTTAGCTGATGATATTAGTGTTACCTGGGAATCGGACCATACCAGTTGTAGGTCATGTCCACGACGTATTTCTGCGCTCGGATGGCAACCTCCTTCAGGATTTTTATGCGGGCATGCTCGCTGATGTGGTGGCCTATCATGATACCGTGAGTCTAGCTGTTGTTAGTGCCATGAACCTCGTATCGACAAGGGTAAACATGCCTCAGGATGAATGATGGCGTTCATCAGGAAAGTAGAGAATAGCCAACGCGAAACGAAAAAGTTTTGAGAAGCTCTGCGGACGTTCTTCTCGTCCTCTAGCTTTCGGAGAATGGCATTTCCAATTTCTAGGACGCCTTCCGGGATACCGCCGGCACTAGGCTCATCGTCAACGACTTCGAACAAGCGTTTGACAGCCTTGTCAAAGAATTCATCTGCTGCAATAGTATCTTTGGTCGAACGTTGGACCGGCATTCCGGGTCGTGCTGCCTGTTCTTCTGGCTTCTCTAGCAGAAACTGGCCGTCCTGTAGGGTCTGCATAAGATAAAGCTCCAAATTGGTCTTGCCAGGCCACTCTCGCATACCTGCCCAGACATCAAGTACAGTTCTGATGAAGTTTGGGTTGTTGTTCTTGATCAATTTGGCACAAACAGTGGCCCATACATCAGTGCGGCGGAGGTCCTCGGCTGAGTCGGGTCCGGACGAGTTGGCGAATATGGTGTAGACTAGGGCAGACAACGGGTCATGGCGCTGAAAAGACAACAGACGTTCTACTGGACTCGTTCCTTGCTGTTGGGGTTTTTGCGAGGATGCATTGCGGCTGCGGGCGTTTGCAAACATGACCGAGTCAATGGGATCCATGGTCTGACGGAAAGACGTAAGAGAAGTGAGCTCTTGCTGCGAAAGACTGGAAATGCGAGCAGCAAGAAAATCAGGATTGGTGCGGATCTCAGAAATGAAATCTAGAAGATTGTCCAAAATCTTGGACGGAACTTCATTGAGGAAAGTCGAAGCAGAGAGGGGCTTCTCGCTCTTCATGTTCTTGGACTTGCCAAACTCCAGATCCGGCTCCAAAAGGGCGTATTGTCTCGTGGCATCACACGAGTTGCGGACATCGTTCAGGGCATTGTATAGGGATGCGAAGGACTTCTTGTCGTCCGACCGGAAGTTATCCACCAGCGTGCGGTAGGCAAGCTCTCCGCAGTGTACCAGACGTGCGGAGAGGGCGCTAGAGACCAGCCACCTGTGTAGACGCACGCGGGCGTGGGTCTTGCGCTGCTCTTGGTAGCCCTGGAGGCGTATTAGATGAGCGAGTTCGGCGAGGGAAGTCGCAGACGGTGGGATGGCTGCAGTCGGCAGGTACGAGTCGGTGTAGGAAGAAAGGTCGGCAGGCAGCAGTCGAGGCAGGCGGCCTGCGGGTGCAGACATGGAGGCGGGCATCTGGGGTCGTTGGAGTGTCTGGTGGCCATGGCGGTCGTTGTCGACGTCTGGCGTTCCGCCAGGTCGACTCCCCATGGTGGTCGTCAGGTGCTTGGGAGCGCGAGGTGAGGGCGACCGGGGCGGAGCCTCAGTGGGCGGGTCGTCGACTTGAGAAGTAGTCACGGTAGTGTGTGAGGGCGTGTGGCTTCTGGACGAAACATGCGTCACGGTGGGCGACACGGCTACGAGTAAGGTCAGCGTCGGCTCGCCTGCCAGCTCATCGTACATGGACAGAGCAGCGCATCGATGCTCGCGCCAGCTATTGGACGCTGGACCGCTCGAGGACACCAAGGAGCACAAAGCCCAAGGAGGGAAAAGCACCTACGCGGAGTATTGCCAGCCTGTGCCGGCGAGGCTGTGAGTTGGGTTCGTCGGATCATGTCGCCATGAGGGAGCCCCATGGAAGCCCTACGGAAGGTGCAGACCTCAAGAAGATGGCAGTGATCCCCTACGGCATTGCCAGATGGAGCGATGGTATTGGGAGAATGGGGACTGCTTTGGGCGCGACCTCTCCACAGCTTTGGACGTATGCGCTGGCGCGTCTTGACTCTTTAGGTGGTAATGATACAGAGTAGCGAGGGCAAGTAGGTGTGATTGGGCGCCTGTTTCGAGTCCCTGTAACAAGGGCGGGCAAGTCACGACTGCAGCTCAACGGCCCCCCTACTAATGCTAGCTATACTGACTATACTAAGGCTAAGACGCGAAAGCGACCAGAAAGCGGTGATGGACAGCCAGCGGCGATATACTGTGTATAGTTGCAGCGGGGGAGCTGCTTCAGATTGGTGGCCATGGCAGACCGCCAGACTTGCCCACGGCCTCACATCGCCATAGAACTGTCCAGGCGATGACTTGCAGGAACAGCACATCGCTGTGGGACGAATGAGGGCCGACCGCCCAAATGCCTCAGCTCTGAAAGGTCCATGGACCCTCTTTTGCCCACACGTTTTGCATGGCCAGCCATCCCCGCCTCGCACAGAGACTCGTCGACAACGCACGCTTCTGATCGGCACCGTCGTCTTTCTGTTGGAAGCTTCGGCGATGCTCTCCCGCCGCTGGTGCTGGCGAGCCATGTCGCCATAGAGAGACTAGGGTATCGGCTTGGCCGCTTCTGCGACCGCCCAGAGACGCTACCCCTCCTCTCCATCACCACGACAGATGACGCTCAACAGCAGAGCAGCTCGTAAACTCTCAAACACGCTGCTCTGGCGCATCTGCAAGGCCAAACAAAGGGCGACGCCCAGCAAATCACATGAGCGCATGTCTTCTCGCCCTCCTGACGTGACGGCCGTCGAGTGGAGTCGCGCTGCCCCTGCGCTGCCAGCGCATTCCTGTCAAAAAAGACCATGCCATGCAACATGCTGCACGCCAAAGCATCGCGCTGCACTGCTGTGAACCCATGGTTTCCCACTTCATATCCCAGTGCATGGCTAGTGCCTAGTCAATCTCCAGATCATTCATCATCTTGCCATGTATATGCCGTCGCCGTCCAATGAGCCTTGCTGTCGCACCACATACTAAACTATCTGCAGCATCTTCTGCTTGGAGCTATTGCTGCACACGCTGCGGAGCTTCGTTCCTTTTGCATGTTTGCAGCAGCATTGCGTCTGCACCGGTATCCTAGTGGGTGGCAGCTCTATCGCCATCGTAATATTACGAGATAACAATCTTCTGCGTGGGCGTTGAAATGTTACATTAACCATGTCCCCAAATTTGGGTGTCGGAGATCGTTGTGCCCATCTGCCGGTCCTAGTCGCGTGCGAAATACCCCGCCACCACGAGTTGCCGCGTACAGACCGCTCCTTCCTCAGGTACCTATGGCCCACCGACGTACCCAACGGCACTTGGGCTGACGCTTACGTGCCCAATTGCTGCTAAGCGCCTATCTACAATGCAAGACATAGGAAAGTGTGGTGATCCCGCTAATCCGACATCAACGCGCCAGCGTAGCGCTCTACCGGCACCATTGCACCCGATCGATGGTCTTCACGACTCCATCAGAGCTTGCCCTCTTGCACCCATAGTCAAGTCATGGCTTCCCTGAGTAGAGGTGCGACACGTTTCCGACTGTGCTGCACTTGTCGTTGCCACCAAGTCTTTCTCCACTCCCTCTTGCTGTCAATGTCGTCGGAATTCTGCCACTCCTCCAATCCCAATTCGTCTTTTGAATTCGTGGCAAAGTTTTTGGCAGCTGACACGGCGCCGTCGTTGAAGGCCCATAATAACAGCTCTCTCTGGAAACCGCCATCTGAACCTGTGGATGTGGTCATCAAGGAATACATGTCCAAATCCCGGTCCTTTGCAAATTCCTTCAACGCTGCGAGGAATGCCTCAACTGTCTGAGCGCTTCCCTCGTCACCAGCCTTGTTTTGGAGGAACTCGATAGACTTGACAACGGAGCTGACGCCGAGCTTCAGACCACCCTGGTCCCACTGCTTGTAATCTTTCCGAAGTATGTCTTGCAGCTTTAGGCTTCCAATGTCCTTCTTTGCTGCATTGATCTCCTTGTAGAAGCTGGTTCGGTCGAAGCTTGCAGCTAGCTGGGGACAAAGCATAATCTTAGCCTCCAGGTACTCGACAGCCTTACGGTCATGCTCGGTCGTTTTGTTTTCGTCATTGAGATCAGCCGTATCAATAAGAATACTGGCCAAGCTTAATTGGGCAATATCCGCATCCCAGCGCTGAACAAAGGCAGCGTCGTTGGACATGCTGTCACCCTGCGCATGAGCTGCTCCAGAAGACAGGGCAGATAGCGAAGCCATATCCCACGATGGCCGACAGTAGTTTGCGATCAAGCTAGTGCAGCTGCCACTCTTCTCGATAATCCTCGGCTCCTCACCTGTGTCCTCCGGAACTTTCTTTTCATCATCATGGTGGTCAATGACGCCAGCGACGCGCTCGGCATACATCTTGCCTAATTGACCCTGCAGAGCATTGTGGTCTACCAAAATCCATTTGGTATTCTCAGGTGCAAGCTTCGACTCTATGTCGGATAGCGCGGGTAAGTCATCAAGCGTAATCAAGTGCTTCGACTCAATATTGGCGTGTTTAAATACGGCAAGGTATTCCGGCCTTAGCTGAATATCAGCAGCTGGAATATTCGTAATTGGCACGTAAACTGGACTAAAGGCATTTTTGGGCGGTGACATAGACCGAATGTACGCGTATAGAATAGAACATGACATCGAATCAAGATCTGCAATTCATAAGTTTGAAGCGCCATTGTGGAGCAGAAGCCATGCTCACCCGCGGACTCATTGCCAATGACGAATGTAATCTTCTGACTGGTTTCAATAGCGCTCCGGAGAGCGCCTCTCGCGTGTGTAAGAAAGCCTCGTAAGGAATTCCTCGGCACTGCCATGATGGTGTTTGGCGGTGAGAGATGTGAGAGGATTTTAAGAGGTTCAAAGTAGACGAGCGAATCGTGGTCGAGGATACGGGTGACGTAGGAGAAGCTTGGACCACACCCCGCGCATCACGAGAATAGGAAGGAGCGATAGCAGGAGGGCTAAGAGCAACAATGATGGAGTGAGACCAGTGAGCTTTTCGTATTGAATTCGATTTGATCGCAGCCGCTTTAGTCGCCAAACTCTGGCATCTAGCCTTGCTACCTACCCAGCACTTGGAAAGGCGCCACACGTCCATGATGGTCTTTTGAAAGATGCCGTTCACCATACTAAGGCCTTTTGGAACGCGATCGATGACTTGCCTAACTGATCTCGACGCTACCTGCAGGAACTCCTTTGGTACTTCGTAACCTGCGTGCAAAAAATTGCATAATGGGCAGCATCTCTTCGCGACTACTTGGCATACCGTCGCCGTTCTTCTCCCACTCTTTGAACTCAATATAGTCAAAAGCGTCTTTCAGCTTCGTCGTAGCACTGTCCGTGACTGCCGACTTCTTGTTTGCCTTGCACACCAGCACCGGAGTCTTGCTCTTGTTTTGCAGAGCTTTCAGGGACACTGATTGTGACAGTGGCCCACCGATACTTATCACCCCGCCTAGTTCTTCCTCGAACTCGGCTGCGACCTGCAGTCCGACCATGCCGCCTTGCGCGAATCCAAAGATCATGATCTCTCGTCCTTTGTAGCCACATCTCCCAATGAGACCTTCACGGATGATCTGGTCTAGTACCAGACGTGTTGACCCCTGGAGACCGGTATCCATGTCCATCTCGCCGGTACTGGAGTCGAAGATCATATCTTCACCCCAGTGCGTTCCACCGAGGTCGAACGGCACGGGATTCGGTGCCTGTAAGGCGAGACATGCTGTTTCAGGTAAATTAAGCTGCTCACCGAGCCTTGTAAAGGGTGCGTTCGTATCGCCGAGTCCGTGTAGGAGGATCAAGATGTTGGTGGGCGGCTGCGAAGACGGTGCTGCAAAAGTCAGTAGAAGTAGGGATAACACTGCGGAATGCGACATACGTGGCGTGATGCTGAGCGTCGCTGACGACGGAAAGTCAGCTTTGGTAGGGAGTCGGCCCGGCATGTTGCTGTGAAGATGGCGTTGTGGCTGAGCACATGGTGGAGTTCGAGGGAACAGGAACGATCACGGAGCTTCGGGAGATGCTCGCTCGCTAGCCTACCAAGCTTTCAACAGGAAGATCAAGCAACAACGCGGATCTTCACCCACAGATGGTTCTGGACCTTCGTACAAAACCAAAGGTTGTCGTGCAGGTCTCTGTACGTCCAGCCGTTTACGACTGGAGCTTTCTACAGCTCCAGCCCCTCGATACCAGATTCCAGCCGCTCTGTCATGCGAGGCTAAGCTTTACCAAGGAAGCTTATTTGGTTTGCCGTGCATCCCGCCGGTCTGACGTCCACATCCTGGCTCATTACGCACGCGTCTATACCACAATTGGCTGATCATAATACTCCAAACGTACCAACACGACACATGGTCCACTAAGATGGAGCCGTTCGTGCGCTGGCGCGTAATGTGGCGCGAGAATGAGCTCAAGGACCCTGCGTATGCTTCATAGCTGTGCCACAAGTGGTCCCTGGATGGCTGAGCGATGAGAAAGAGAGGGGCACGATCGGCCCTGGTGGATGATTTGGTACTGCCAACAGTTGCATGAATGCTGGCCGCCTATGACGCCGACCGGCAGCAGCTGGCTGCGGAGAGATACTTAAAGCGAGGTCAGGTACGCTTTCTAGGACACGGCACTCAAACACTATCCTCTCAACACTTCAACAGCAAAAGAATCTTACTTGTATTCACATTTCCACTTCAAATCTTCATAATGGGCTTCTGGGGTAAGTCTTCCATCCTGATCGTTAAAGAATCTGATATTAATCTTCACCGTATAGACAGGAACGAAGACAACTACCAGCAGGTATACGAGAACGACAACTTCGAGGAGAACAAGTCTAGCTTGGGACATGAGGTGATCGCTGGAGGAGCTGCCTTCGCTGGGTTCAAGGCTTTCGAGGACCATCAGCGCAAGGAGGGTAAGTGTGCCCTCTCTTGTGACTGCTATCTTACGCTGACACCTGATGCAGGCAAGCCCGTATCCCACCAGTTCGCTAAAGAGCTACTTGCTGGCTTCGCAGGTGCCGAGGTAAGCATTTTGAACGTAGTAAGACGAGATGGGTGCTAATCGGGATCTGTAGGTCGACAAGCTTGCTGAGACAAAGGGCGAGGACTGGTTCGACCGCGAGAAGGCGAAGCGAAGCGCGGAACAACACGCCGAGCGCATGTACGACGAGCACTACATTGACAACCATGAGGCCGACCAGTACGACCCCCAGCAATATGGTCGCCCAGAGAGGTTCGAGCGACGCGGATGGTAGCGGAGCAGAGAAGACTATGATTGGTGCAGTCTTGTAGAAGAAATGAACAAACCAATGAATGACTAGCTTATCGAGATGCACACCCTTGCTTTTGGTCAGCCTCTCAAAACTGTCAACGTGTTTCGCGAAGGGTGTCAGCCACTGCCATGCCTAGATGTGTTGATATACATTCGGATCGGGTCCTGTTATCAGGGTGAATGAGGGGGTCCACAGCCTGACTAGGTATGACGTTGTCGCCAATGTCGCCAATCTTGCCAAGTGCGTGCATGATTCGTGCAAATCTCCTCCGCGATACACACCTCAGTGTGACGGCGCTCGCATTACGTTCGAAGTGCTCGAAAGTAGCACACGACCATCTTCGCGGTCATCGACACACATTCAACAGGTCGGATCCCGATATATCGTCACCCCGTGGGATCTGATGAGCCTGCAAGAAACGCGCTTTTGTGCCCCCCTTTCATCGTGTTTGGCGGTTGACGCGCCAACGACGTAGTGATGAAGTTTGCGAAGTGAGACAGCGCGTTCGAGTATCACCAGCCACTGGACTGACTGCAATAGAGAACTAGAGCGCGATCTCGTTCCGGAGTGGCGGCTCAAGTACTTAGACTACAAGGTGATGCCGACTTCCGCTAGCCCACGTCTAGCACCACCGCAGTTGACTGACGATGCCCACAGGTTGGCAAGAAGAAGCTTAAGGCCATCAGTCGGGCCCTCCGCAACGTAGAATCCACCCCACGACTCCGGCGACGCGGCACCAACGTCCTCCCCTCGCCCTTTGATGCGGCCCCGAAATACACGTACCTCAATCGCGACCATGCGCGACAAGGCGAAACGGGCAGCACGAGAGACCCCGGGGATCTGAGGGCGCTTGCCATAACGAACAGCCGGAGCCAACACAGCCTGCAACAGCGAGAGAATGGTGACCGGACTGGACGCACACCCGAAGAAGAACCATTGACTCGGAGCGGGAGCAAAAGCCGAGACTGGGCCAACAACTACGGCAGCTTTGGTGGGAATCTGTCTGGTGGCACGCAGAACAGCTCTGCAGCCAAAGCCAGAGCCCCGCCGTCTCTGAAGCTCCCTGGCGCAGCTCTCGATCCCGACAATGTCTCGCCACAAGTCGAAGGTGCGTCAGGCGCGTCACTGCGGAGGCAGAAGACAGTCAAGCTTCCGTCTCCTGTGGAAGACGAAAATGGCAATGACAACGCCTTCGAGATCGGAAAGACAGTCTCGCCCAACAAGCATCACAACTCGCTACCAAACAGATACAAGAGCGTCTTCACTCCCCAGCGCATGAACTCTCTGCCAGGACCCATCACCCAGCACAAGTCGCGTCCGTCAGTACGCCGACTGTTCTCGCTAAGCAACAAGACACCTCCAGATAGTCCGGGTGATGTCCCACTCGAAGCCTACCGTGATCTCGACTTCCGCCAAGCCGAGTTTTTCAACTTTCTTGATGTCGAATTGGATAAGATCGAGACGTTCTACAAGCACAAGGAAGACGAGGCTACCAAGCGTCTATCTGTCCTCCGCGACCAACTTCACATCATGCGGGACCGACGTATCGACGATGTCATCAAGCGCCAAACCGATAAGATGAATGCCAAGGCTCGCAAGAAGCACGATGGGAAATATGTCCTGAGCAACGGCCAAAATAGCAGCTCAGGTGACGAGAATCAGCAGGTCAACAAGACGAACGGAGGCTCCCTCAAAGATGCTTTCCTTAACCCCATAGATGCTGCATTAGACGCCATCAACGCGGGCAAGTATGGGAAGAGCACCAAGAACATAACACAGCTTGCGACGCCAGCAGCACTCCAGCCCAAAGACCACCCCGATAGTCGCCGCGACTTTACCAGACGGCCCGAATTGCCCGATGTGCCGTATCAAACAGCGAAACGGAAGCTCAAGGTTGCACTACAAGAGTACTATCGAGGGCTGGAGCTTCTGAAGTCCTACGCGTTACTGAACCGGACTGCCTTCCGAAAGATCAACAAGAAGTACGATAAAACCGTCAACGCGCGACCGTCATCGCGTTACATGAACGAGAAGGTGAACCAAGCCTGGTTTGTGAATAGCGATGTAATCGAGGGACACATCCGAGCAACCGAGGACCTATACGCAAGATACTTCGAGAAAGGCAACCATAAAGTTGCCATCGGGAAGTTACGCATCAAGATCGCACGAGCAGGCGATTACACAGACAACACATTCCGTAACGGTCTGCTATTGTCAGCGGGTACCATACTTGGCATCCAGGGGCTCATCAAAGCAAGTCAGATAACGGATTTGCATGATCCTGACGGCTCCGTGCTTGCGATGAACACGAGCTATCTACTGCAGATCTACGCTGGATACTTCCTGATTAACTTTCTTCTTCTCTTGTTCTGCATGGCGTGTCGGGTATGGCACGAGCACAAGATCAATTACGTTTTCATTTTCGAATATGATACCCGCCACCACTTGGACTGGAGGCAACTTGCAGAGGTCAGTAGTGACCATGTCTATACTGTTTCTAACACTAACCCACGACAGCTTCCTTGCTGGACTTTGTTCATGCTTGGACTATGTATGCAAATCAACTTTCATCAGGTTGGGGGAGACAATCTTTATCTCTACTATCCGGTCATTCTCATCGGCATATCGGTTTTGCTGTTATTCAATCCTTTGAAGATATTCTACTTCCGTACCCGCATGTGGTTGCTATACTCGCTGGTCAGTATTCTAGTCGCGCTAGATAGTATCTCTACTAACGCAATACTAGTGGCGCCTGTTGCTCGCTGGTATTTACCCTGTCGAATGGCGAGACTTCTACCTCGGCGATATGTTCTGTTCCCTCACCTACAGCATGAGTGTAAGCCAGCCAAACGCATCCTTGTCTCAATACTGAAAGTCTTAGGGTATCGCGTTGTTCTTTTGTCTCTACGCGCATGACTGGAACAACCCCCCGCAATGCAACTCATCTCACTTGCGCATTACCGGATTTCTTAGTACGTTGCCAGGTATATGGCGATTGATGCAATGTCTACGTCGTTACAGAGACACCGGAAACAAGTTCCCTCATTTACTTAACGGTGGAAAGTACATGGCGACTATCCTGTTCTATGCCTCCATCAGCATTTACCGCATGGATCAGAAGACATCCACTAAGGCAGTCTTCATACTTTTTGCAACCATCAACGGCATCTACACGAGCTTTTGGGACATTTACTACGACTGGAGTCTTGGTGACCCGCATGCCAAGCACCCGTTCTTGCGGAAGGAACTCGGATACAAAAAGGTGTGGTGGTACTACACTGCCATTTGCATCGATCCAATCCTGCGATTCAACTGGGTGATGTATACTGTTACACCCCTGCAATTACAGCACTCGGCTGTCACCTCTTTCTGTGTCTCGCTCAGTGAGATCTTCAGGAGAGGCATGTGGTCCATTTTCCGTGTCGAGAACGAGCACTGCACAAATGTTGGTCGATTCCGGGCAAGCAGGGATGTACCACTGCCATACTATGTACCCATGGATGCTGAGGTGGAGGAAGACCACACCTCGGGGATTCCGCGCGGGCCCACACAGATTGACGAGGAACAGCCTGATGAATATCGTCCACGGACACCGACAGAGGACCAGGTTCGTCGTCCTGCTACAGCCACAGGACCAGAACTTGGACAGTCTCAGTCGCCTGCTCGCAAGCGCCGCGGTCCCCTGGACGAATTTCGCCCATCTCCCCTGCAGCGCGCATTTACACACGTCGGCGATATCTTCCGCGATGCACACGCTGAGGACTTCGAGCGCAAGACAAAACCTGAGCTTGGTCATGATCCTCGCGATGCGAACAAAATGGAAGAAGACGACACAGATGACGAATCGGACAATGACGAGGAGCAGGAGGAGGTTCCAGACGAGAATGGTAGCGATGGCGCGGATAGCAGGAACAGCGATGCAGAACTCGAGGTCGATAACGAAGTCGAAGACGATGAGGAGCAAAGTGCGTTGTCACGGATACGCGAAGACTTTGTAATCGGCGTGAGTGGTGCACGAAGCGACTGTACTCATCAAGAGTAGTTCAAGCCACAAGCATATGGCATGCTCAACAATACACGGATGAATAGGAACACTGAAATCAGCGCATTGATAATTTGTTTCTTCAATTTAGTAAACATATTTCCTTCCGCTACTCTCGATCTCAACCACTTCTGCACACTAGACCCTTTCCCAAAGCCCGTCCCAAAAACTCCGTATCCCTGAACCAAGTTACCATCCCGCGGCTTCCTCTTACTGCAATTGGTGTACAGAGTATTCGGCGTACCAAAGTCCTTCCGAAGGCACATGAGCGCGCCATGCCAAGGACCGTTCTCTCGTCTCATAACGAGGTGCGCCTTTACATCCACTACATCAAGAGCACGCTCGTCCCCATGGGCATAATCCCAACACATGTTTTTTTGATCGTTCGCTGTCGAGCACTCCATTGCGTATCTATCATCTCTCCCCCATCCTTTCATACTCGGTCCCCTTCCTCCTCTCTGCCGAGCTCCAACTCCGAACCGGCGGTGTGTACTTGTACTTTGGGTCGAACGGCGCCCTGCACTTATCACAGCGGTACACTCCGTCCTTGTCGGGACCTAGTGCGATTGGCACTATGTTAGGGCATTTAGCGCAGAACCAGTCACCCTTTGATTTGGGGCAGTAGGCGATGTTGTTCAGGCAGGGGCCGTTGTGCGAAGCGGGATTGGGGAAATCGCACCCAGAGCAGCGATAGGGTGTTGCTGCTGGCATTTTTAATCGTAGTACAAGTAGTTGGTTGGTGGGGGTTTGATGTTGTGGTCGTTATCGATATGGTTGTATGGGATAGAAAGATTGATTGTAGGGTTGTAAGGGCAAATGTGTGCTGGATTTCTCTATTAATCGTGAAGCTGGGACAGATGGTATTTAGACTTGGAACAACTGGGTGGTTCTTTTGAGATTCTTCTTTCTTTTGGTCTTCGTACCGACAAGTTGCTATACATATGCAAAGAGAAGGTTTGTGCGTCGTGGGGTGGTCGGCGACAATGGTTCTCACGAAGTCAAAAGCCCGAAGTCTTTCGGGTTTCTTCAAAAGCTATTTCGATCACCTACAGTATCTGTTACAGAAAGGTAATTGCTCACACTCGTCTTTTGAAGTTTCATCACGTCCAGGACGTCATCCCGGGGACATATTACACATAACTCACAGTCGAATGACCTCACATTCCTCAAATCGACACATTTTTGAATAGTAATCCAACCCATATACAGCCTCGTTCGGCCCGGGTATTCGGTCGATGAAACAGCATTTTTTTCACTATACTGTTCTGTCTTGCTCACTTGGTGCACCGTGTGATGTATTCTTGGCGGGGAAAAGCAATTAAGAGGATGACGTGCACGCCACTCTTCAGCCGCACTAATCATGAAACGGATAACAAGACGTTCATCTCAAGTACGTGGCTACTTCCGCGTGTCCGGATTTGCTCCGTACCACGTTTTCTTATGTTCCGTTCCACGTGGACGTGGTCCCCGGCATTGCAGATCAACGTAGAATGACAAATAGAATAGGTAAAGAATCCATGAAGCTTCGAAAGTGAGGCGGTGCTGTGTTCTTTTTTGTATCACCTTAACGAAAACTGACGACGGCCGAGTAACGCAGAAAGCTGGCATCGCGCATCGTAGGCAATTGTACAACGTGGCAGGTAGATGTCCGGAAAACCATATCATGTGTCAAGCCTCAGCTCCCCGCGAATGGTGTGAGCTTGATCTTAGCCATTTCCTTGCACTGTTCACCTAATATGAAATCTGTAACCGCCTACATCTACCACTATCGCATGTTACCTTCAAAGGTTGATCTCACTCCACATGGCTAAAGCTAGATAGAATCCTCATCATCTCCAGATTCTCAATTCAGATCTGTCGCCTTCTCTCAACACGCGTTATGATCTTTTAGCCTATCCGCCTCTATCTTGTTGACTTCATTGACGAAGCTATAGGGACTCTCACTAAAGGCACCAAACTTCTTTACCAACCCCAGAATTCACATACCAGCCACTGTAGATATATGGCTAGTCTTGAGACTTTGACAACCAGTATCAGAACTATGCGATCATTTCAGCTGCAGTCGGATCAGAACAGCGATTTCTTGCATTTTATCGTTCTAGTCTGGGACTGTATCGAGATATTTTCTGGTCGCGCTTTTCCCTTTATCTGCCTTGGTGGTGGTGGTCCCTGCTGCTAGGAGCATCGTTCTTTCCACGAGCTTGTAGTAGTTTCAGATTGATGTTTTGAGCGCAAGATTGCGGTCGCTGAACTTTGCGCTTCGAGCGGCCGAATGGGGTTCAAAGCGGACATCGGAATACAGCTGATTCTTGCGAGAAGTAAAGACAGGATCATTGGAGATGAGCTTATGTTGTAGTCTGTTAATTGGTCTTTATAGCAAACCTGAGATGTCATTTGATATGTCAACTGGGAGTATTATGCCTCCATATATGTTTGAAAACTCGAACAATATTTTGAATAGGCTAACAGGGGATGAGACAATCTACCGCTTGGAGATTTTCCACCCGATGGCCCTTACAGTAGCGTTTTGGCGTAAGAGAATCTGTGCATATTGTTGTGGCCTGACATGAGAGTCTCGATACTACCAACTGACCGTTTAGTGCCTTTGCTAAACCCGTCTACAATACTTGATACCGACTCCAAACAATGCAGTTCCCAAGCGTCGTAGACAAGCGTAGGTTTCTCAAGTCTTCTAGCCTTAATCACGACGATGTCTTTTTGGTCGAGTATAGATTCGAGAGCATTGGCAACTGTGTTACGTTAACGGCAATACAGTGAATGGGTACAACCACTATCGCAAGTGGCGACTGGACCGCCGCAGAGAGTATCGACGCAAGGGACATTTCCTTCTCACAGTAACCTTGTTGTCATTGCAGACAATTCCTTTGGCAAACTGCAGGAAATGATGTAGATCGTCGTCGAAAACGGCTACGGCGATTGAATCTAGGCATTTTGGTGCTTGACGGATAGCAAAAGTGGTTCAGCGCTATGTTGAAAATATGTATAACGGTAGGTATTGCAGTCTTGGAAATCGTTGGCAAAACAAAGGAGGCACACGTTGGTTGGGAAGCTGTTTACTAGTGACCAGTTATGCTCTTGGCTTGAGGACGGTACTAATAACGCTATGAGCGGGGTCAATCATCTAGCGCATGCATTCTTGACGGACTCCAGGTAGACGTCTTGCACGATCTCGTGGTCTGGGCCGTATATTACCGACACAATCCATTCGGTAGTACTCCTCATAGAACTCGTACCATACTCAATTTCCTCCTATACACGTCATCTTCTGTTCAACGACCTCCGTAGTGATAAAGCCAGCGCTCCTCATCTCTTCTCAGATCTCAGCGACTCCCAAGACTGGTTTTAAGATCATGTACCTCCTGAGGCCAGATGTAGACAAGGGAATCATATCACCTGTACGCATGTTGGCTCTCTATAGATTGCTAGTATCAACTCAGCTTGACACACACACGCTCGTGAGCATTGTTGGCATAAGAACAGCGGATTGACCGTAGAGGGTTCGATAGTAACCCGTCGTGTGCTGCTTAGGTCAAAGTCGTATAATCCGCTGGAAGCATTGGAAGGACAGGAAGAGTCGGGGGCAAGTGTCCAAAACAAGGCCGCAAGTAGAGTGCGAATTGACAACACATAGCGTGGGGGTCTGTAGCTCCAATTGTCGAATAGCAGGAAATGATTATGCCGTGGCGTCGCATAACGCTGTCATTTACAAGACAGTCTTCCAAGGTACGTCCTAGGGGCTGGAAAGTCGCGATCGGGACGAAGCGAGCCAACTAGGCCACTTTAAGTGGGTACCTGCATGGGTGTCGCAGTCATCTTCGTCACGACTTCAAATTTGGGCGCGTCAATGAAAGAGATGGGGGATGGTGGCTTGATGCAGTGCAATATAGAGATCGTTCGATGAACGGTGGATGAGATTAACGAACCATCGAAACGCATTGCTTCAATCGTGGACTGCCTGCGACGCGGCACAGAGGATAATCGCTGACTCGTGAAAGACGTGAAACCGAGATGATTCATGCTCAAACTAACAAGAGCATCTAGAACAATGGAAGAGCCCCTACTTTGTATTGATGGGAATGCTAGCGCCAGGCACGGAACTGGGAGATGAGACGGATCGCTGCTCATTTCGCGCACGGAAGCGAACATGTAAAAGCGATCGGATCGATAGGCGAAGCCGCGGCTGCGCTGATCTGTGTCACCTCGGTAGTTATCGTGGAGAGAGCAGGTACGGCCTGTAGCGTGCGGAATACGATCGTGAATGAGAAAAGAAAAGATCGTTGACGTAAATGTATCCGCGGAGCTTGAACTTGACGCGATATCACATGATCAATCCATCACCAGAATGCCGACCAGCGATGATCGGATCCGCACCCGCACCTCAGTAGTGCTCTGTCACACCGCTTACAAGAAGAGGTGCGACAGGTCTCGCGGGGTAGACAATGGTGTTGATGGCGATTGGGTCTCGTGAGCCTCAGCAGATAACGCAAGCGGATGCATGTCATTTCCTTGGCCTGCCATTGGTGCAGGATGCTACTCAAAGATATGAGGTTTCGCGGAGGCTGCAGAGTAGAGTGATATTGTTCAAGGCACACAGGAAGGTGTGTCGAAAGAAGGATGCCTCGTGACGCTCGGTAGCGCCACCAAGTTCCGCATGGGCTTGACCTGACATGTTACTCAACAAATCTAAAAGGAACCACGACCTCTGTGGGAACTGCCCGCAGGCCTCTCAGATGCTCGCATTGTGGAGTTTGGGCATTGCTAGCAGAATGATCGATGCTTTAGTTTTCGATGTCTTTGTCGAACAAAGCAAATGGTGAGATTCCATGGTCCGCGGCAGCCGTGCAAGCTACGACCGTGGAAAGTACGGTGAGCAAGCCAATAGTCGAGACAGGGTTGCTTTGCCTGCCTCAACTGCAGCACCCCTTGGCGGTCATTCTCACTATGACGTATGAATCGAACGACAAGGGTAACCCGCCCCGTGCAAGTCCAAGATCTGGCCTAGTAAAACTCAATCGATGGGTTGACACCTGCAAACAGCAAATCTGGCAGGCAAATTTGACGGAGTTCGGCGAGCTGGCGTGTATCGGTCCCAGCATGCGCAGCCGCACTCGTCGGAAGGGTGTTTCCAAACATGAGTTCAACGGCCGGGGGTTTTCAAGCAATCGGAATTGAGGCGGCACAAGCGAGTTTTGTGTCTGCATCTAACAGGGAACGGCGAGGCTGCAGCACGTTTATCGCGAATGCGGGAAACGCTAGTTGTTGGGGCACGGTGCATGTCGCGAATCCATTGAGGGGAATCTGTCGGCCCGCGCTTGCTCTCACCTAGTGGCGCTATGATAAGCTGTTGCCCGTAAAACCTTGATTCCCATCTTCTGTTATTATGTGAAACTCCTCAACCTCCATTCTCTAGTAATCGTAATACCGCCAGTATGCCTCCCGATCCAAAGGACGCGCCGTTCCCCACCAAGCAGCTCATTATTCTCGGTATGTGTGGCGGCTGCAGTGATGTCATTGTGATTGGATGTTTCTGACCACCGCGTAGGAATATGCCGATTCTCCGAGCCTCTCGCTTTCAACTCCATCCTGGCCTATTCGGCCCTCATGGTTCAGGACTTGGGAATTAGCAGACACGATGCTTCTTTCTACGCTGGACTCTTGGTGTCCGCTTACGCCATCGCCGAGGCCATGACAGCCCCGTTATGGGGAATGGTTTCTGATGTCTACGGCCGGAAACCCGTCGCGCTCATTGGTCTGCTCGGCGTTGCCCTGTCAAGTCTCATGTTCGGTGTTGCGCAGACATATTGGGTCGCGCTGCTTGCGCGCTTTATCGGCGGTGCATTGAATGGAAATGTTGCAATCATGCAAACCATGGTCGCAGAGTCGGTCAAAAATCCGGCCCACGAGCGTGAGTAAATCGCGCAATACCCCATCCCGCATGTCCATCTAACCAGAGATAGCGCGTGCATATGCGACACAGCCCTTCGTCTGGACGGTGGGCGGTATTATCGGTTCAGCAATGGGTGGTTTCCTCGCCCAACCGGCACGACTCTACCCTCATGCTTTCGACAAGCATGGTCTCTTCGGACGCTACCCGTATCTTCTCCCTAACCTCATCGCAGCCATTGGGATTATGCTAGCCATCCTCCAGGGTATGATCTTCTTGGAGGAAACACTTGTCCGTGAAGAGAAGGAGGAGGGAGCAAATGGTACTGCGGACCACCATGAACAGCATGATTACCACGACCACCTGGATACCATCAACGAAACCCCTGCGAACGAGCGAAGCCGTCTTCTTGGACCGCCCGCGAACCACCCGCATGCGAACCGAGAGGCCCGAGGCTCAACCGCTGGCTCTATGCGGCACCGTGGCTCCATTGCTAGCTATACGCGCGACAGGTTGGCCTCCATGTCCGTTTCTGGCAGCATTCGACACATCCGCAAAAGGGCTTCTTTCTTGGAAGAGGGTATGCCTATGCCCTTCGACCAAAGGTTTGATATCCGCCGTTCATCTTTCGGAACCATGCACTCGATCAAGATCCAGCAGGACGTGCTACCCATGCGTGGTGGGCCGACCCCGAAACCCCGCAAGACCTTCAACCGGACTGTAGTTATGATCGTCCTCGCTATGTCCATCTTTGCTTTCCACCAAATGGCCTTCATCTCAATCCTCCCTGTTTACATCCTTGATACACCTACAACGACTGGCCTAGATTTCAAGGGCGGACTAGGAATGGATCTACCAGACGTAGGGAAATTCCTCACGGTCAACGGCTTCATCACTCTTTTTGTCCAGGGTTTCATCTTCCCTATCTTCGTCGAATGGGCTGGTGTCTGGAACTCATTCATCTGGATGATCATTCTTTACCCGATCACTTACCTGATTGTGCCCTTCATCAGCGCCTTTCCCCATGAGCTCGAGACCCCGGGTATCTACCTTTCGCTTTTTCTGCAGGCATTCTTTGGTATTATCGTGTTCCCGTGCGCCCTGATCCTGATGAAGAATGCCGTTCCGTCGCCCCTCGTCCTTGGTCGTGTCAATGGTATCGCTATGTCGGCCTGCTGTCTGGCGAGAACAATTTCCTCACCTCTTATCGGATTGATCTACTCCCTCGGAGGATCCGCGGCAGCCTGGTTCGCCCTTGCTGCTGCTGCCATCTTTGGCATGGTTCAATTATTCTGGGTTCCCAAAGAGGATGTTGGTGCCGTTCAAATCGACAATGGTCTTAAGAAGGTTATGCATCATGACATGGACGAGGACGCAGTAGACGACATTTCCATCATCGAGTCAGTCCGATAATAGAGTTCAAGAAGATAACGAAAGCATTGTGCGAAAAGCGGTGGATGATGGAGTAATATTTTTCTAGACGTCTTGGTATTCGGCGTTGCATGTTCATCCGGCGTTTATGGTTTGCCTCGATGTGCTTACATCTTGAGCGCTCATTTTCTATGTTCTTTACGGATGCGAGCATCTGAGCAGTTTTCTTGCATAGCGACCTGAGAAACTGAATGCCATTCACGTCGCGTCTTGCACGAACCTCAACTTTGAACCGATAATGTGTGATGCTTGACAGTCAGTCTATACTTGGGATGATGACCCACTTGGACAGTCCGTGCAACCCGTCCTACTCACGCACAGACAGCTAACTGCAAGTCGATCCAGGCCCACAGTGGGTCTACTCCAAGTTTACCACAGGGTTGGTGCAGCGCACGGAATGGCGGACATCCGGTATAATGATCACGATGGATCTACGCAGTCGTAATGAAGGAAGAGATGAGCTTTCTGTAACGAGCCAATAAATCTGAAAGGAATTCTCGAAAGCTTTAAACGTCAGGTTTTGAGATTGAAGAGCGTGAACGTCATTGCACCGGGCAGAACCAGGTCTCTGATAATAACGCATCGCGCGACAGCTGAATGCTTATCTTTCTTGGGTTCGTACAAGTGATAGCAATTCGACAAAGTAGATAGCACGCAACAACCACAATGACTGTGACAGGGACTCATCGAAAGCAATCCAACATAGAAACGAAAGCCATAAGAACACGAAGATAGCTTCCGTGCGATTCGTTAGTTGCGCGAACCATCCTGAACTGCTAAATCATCCTGCCGACTATCTTTGTGAGCATACTTTGCTAGCTGCTTTGTGGTATTGCGCAGTTGGCGGGCTACAAGAACACGACTTTGTGGAGGGTTGCATCGTGGGTCTTGGTCAGGATGCACATAGTAGGTTCGGGAGGAGATACCATGTCGCGAGAGGCGATCTTAAAGAAAGTACTGACGAAAGTGTGAGGCCATGAAAGTATCATAAATTCACAATGTATGTGCTGCGTTGTTAGTGATGTTCACTCTACACAAACGATGGAGCAAGAAGTGAAGTCGTAAGATGCGATGTCCAGATGGATTTGTTCTCCTCCTCTATAAGCGAGTGTCAGAACATGTCCCTTGAAATAGGTGTTCGCGCTCTGATTTTCTGTTGTTGCATGGTCAATGTCGAAGTTGTGAATGAACGCCGCTCGGGAAAGAAGTTTGCCGGCTGAATAAAGTCCGACTCCCGGCTTGGCAGAAAGCTGCACCTCCCCAAGGTAAGCTGACCTTGGACGGTTCGCAGCGCCCTACCTTTCACACTAACTCGTTATCGCTTGCGTTTCTGGTGATGCTTCTCTAGCAGAAGCGACTCACTATGACGCTTGACGCAGCAGCCCGACCATGGATCATTGGGGCGACCCTTGGGCAGACAACAATGCCGACGACCAAAAGTCCCCGACGAAGAACGAGGTGACCGCACCACAGCCGCCTGCACTCGCTCCCGCACCAGTGCTATTGAACGGTTTTCTGGATGATGCTGGATGGGGCAATGAGGACGAGAGTTTTGGAGACTGGACTACGTCGTCTGAGCAAGATACAACTGTCGCTATACCTACGGAGACGCGCATAGCTGAGCCGAGTCCGCTGAAGAATGGGCATGCGATTGAAGATGGTCCGCGATGGGGTATAGAAGAGAAGCATGGAGATAACCTGTCGCTGGAAGGAGACACGTGGGCTGCACAGACGGAGGACACTTCTGATGCGGACAACGTAGCTTCGGATATTTCGGACACGTCGACCACGGTACAGCTGGATAAGGCTTCTGATCAAGCTCCAGTCGCTCCTTCGAATCGATTACAGCCCGAAGACGACTCTTCTGCACGACCTTCTACGTCCCCGTCTGAAGCGAGTCGTCACGAGGCACCTCCCGAGTCGCCGCGAACCTCATTCGAGGAAGAGGCTGTAGATAAGAAACAGACTGCAGAAGCAACAGAACCCGAGAAGGAGGTCCAGTCGCAAATAATGAATGATGAGAACAGCGAAGCCGAGGTCGAAAGCTCGAGCAACGATAGTGCAGACGAGGAGTTTGGAACCTCCACAGAGGATACTCTATTGACAGAAGCTCCGTCTGGTCACTCAAAGATTACACAAGACGCTGCGGGTGATACAAAAGAGGTCTTATTAGAGCGCTCTACGTCTCGCCCTGGTTCGCCTGCAGCCTCCTCGAGTGCTGCCGCCGCTGCTGCCTCGCATAACGCTGGTGCATACGAACTCGACAAAACACTTCTTGACGAACTCTTTCCTCCTGATGCTGCTGCAAAGGAGCCAGAAGAGGCTCCAGACGACCCGGTATATTCAACGTCTGGGCGCAAAGCTTGGTACAGGTTGACGCGCAAGCAAACCATGAGAGAATTCAATAGCGGGAACGGGGACGACAACTATATTCGGGTCACATGGGCGGGTTCTGAGGTCAGATTGGAAGTAAACAAGACGGTAGCTAGATGGGCTCGCGAGGACCGTCTTTCTGGCACTGGGCCAGGGGCTAGAGCTTCGTTCTACTGGGACACACCAGCACCTCCAGAACCTCTAAACCCAAGAGGACATTTGCGTACGAAGACGTCCGTTCCCACACCGCGAGCAATCGAAGCTGCACCGGCAAGACAAAGCCTTCCTCCTGTGTCCGCCGACACTCCAATCGCTTTCAACTGGAGTTCCACGACAACCACAACAGACCTTTGGAAGCAGGACAGTCCTAGCCTGCGCTCCATGTCTCCACCTGTCGTGTCGAAGCCTACAGCTGTAGTCAATGCCCAGACACAGGAGCTTCGTGCAGTTTCGATCGACCTTGCACGCGACGTTGGGGTTACACGAGGGCAAACGTCGACTGAAACGCCGGCTGTCGCAACGAAAGCAATCGCACCTCCTGCGCCAACCACAACCTTAGCAAGTCCTTGGGAAGAGCCCAGTACTCCTGACACCAACACTCTCAATCAAGAACAACGTGCCGATGTGTCTACAGATGATGACGATGATTGGGGTGAGATGATATCAAGCCCTACAGTGTCTACTCCACCTTCAGCCTTCCCAAGTTCGATACCAGCGACGCTCAACAGCACTGTGTCAACTTCTACGCCACTTCCAACGACTCCACCGACCCAGGATCGTTCAGCTGACGCAATGCATATCGTGCGCCTACGAAGCACCATATCGCCTACGTCGGCGATCTTTGGTCCGAAAAGTTTTGTTCCATTCAATGCTGAACAAGGGCCTATTGGACCTGGACGCTTGAGACCTGCTAAGCGGTCTACCACTGTCACACCCGAAAAGACCCAGATCGATGTCTCGTCGAAGCCAGTTCGAGAGACTATTCAACAGGACCAAGTCCAAGTTGATACATCACCAGTACATGACACGCCCGATGGGAATGAAGTTGTTTCCAGTGAAGTCAAGATTGCGGAGTCTAATGACACGCAAGACGACGATTTCTCTGCATTCGCATCTAGTACCTTAGAACCAGTACCCGTCCGGCCGAGCACGCCGCCTGCATTCTCGGCGATGCCAAATGAGTCTACTGTAGATGCATGGGCTGATGCTGATTTCTCTTTCTTTGAACCTGCACCATCGTCAAGAGCGCCTGCGCAGACCACGCGCGACACATCAGATCCTCTCTCGGTTTTCGAAACTCCTCCAAGGCCTTCCAGTGTCGCGTCTTCAGCGAAAACTTTCACACGATCTTCACCCCCACGGAATGTAACTCCCCCATCGATTCAACCGCTGACTGGAGCTACGAACTCTGCGCAACGAAGGAAGAACGAGGAAGAGCAGATAATCCAAAATATTGTAGCAGGGCTACCGGACTTGAGTTACATGCTACGTTGATGCTACGTCATGTTTGCACGGATATATTGTCGCTGTTCTCTGCATATCGCACGGCGTTTCCGGGTGCTTGGATATCCATGATGGTCTCTGCGTTGTTGAAAGAGTCACAGGATGACATGAGAAGACCTTTCCTCCGTATATACTCAATTTTCATCATATTATCGTTGCCCATAGTCTCCGTGAAACACTGACCCGTGTGCTTCTTTTTTCACATATTCCCTATGCTACTTGGCACACACTTCGCCTCCGTTTGCATTTCAAGTGCTAGAGTCTAATTATCTCATTGCTATTCTCTTTGTTGTCACTTACTAGGCAGCCGCTGCCCTTAGTCCTTGAGCGAATAGGTTTATTTCAAGGGTTGGCTCACTACTGTATGATAAACACCTCACAGACCCTCTTCTCTTCCAAATACTCTTCCTTCGCGCGAACACTACTTGAGTGCCCAGGGTCAACCGTTTACGACCTCGACCTTAACCATTGAGTCCCATCACGGACTTAAACGAATCACGATGCCTATGCGCGGCGGCTATGATTCTCGATATGAGCTTGTTCGCCGGAACAATGGTTGGAATTGGATTCGACGGAGAAGTCGCTCTCATGGCCATGGTCATCAACCTCCGCCCATGAGATATGCTAATTACGACCCCGACTACACAGACGACATGCTTCGGCGGGATCAACTACGCGTTCTGGCCGCCACATCCTACTTAGAACACTGCGCATATAATCATCGCGTTGTAGCTTGGTCTGGATATAACCAACTAACTCCTTACGATTTTGGACATCATGAACACTATTCTGCAGTCGAATACCCCCGCCAAGAGGGTCACTCTCGAAGCGCCAGCCTGCCCCGGAACTCCACCACTCCAGCTGCCTCTATTCATGGTCACAATGCGCGCCGGAGCACCGTCCCCAGCCCCAGCCACAGTGTCAACGTACCTCAGAACACTACGACCATACCTAACCACGACCGTGAAGCATCTCATAGCATAGCTACGGATACCAACCACAATGATGGTATTGCAGAGCGCTATCCTTACATCCGTGAACATATCCGTCAACATCCTCGGTTCTGGGAGGCGGTATTTCTTGCGGAGAAAATTGAGAAGTTCCAAGAGGGTGATAGGGAGTTGGATTCCTATCAGACGCGCTTAGACCAGATCGTTCAGGAAATCAGCAAGGATGTCAGGGAACAACATGGCTTGTGCTAGCGATCGATCGTAAGATCGGGGAAGATGGTAGTTGGTTTGTTCAGTGTGTAAGATCTGATGGGTATGGCGCTTGTCAAACTTTCGGAGAGACACGATTGTTATACACGTAAACAATATGTCTTCTTTGGTCAGAATGTTTCAGTGTAATGATTCTATGGTGATATATGTTGAATATGACTCTATTTGAAAGCTCTTTGATTGTCGCAAACTACCGTGTTTCAAACAATCGTTGATCTCTCGCGCAGACTATTTGTCCTTCGTCCTGTGATGTAGCGAGTTACTAGTCGCACGAAATCACTGTTCTTCACCTTCACCTCTTATCTTCCCAGTTCAGCTAGTGAACCGATTAGGATGTTGCAATTTTCTTTATCGTTCACTATCACACGAGTTACCACCGTGCGGTCGCGACTGCCGTTTGCTCTAGTGGGGCTTCTGTCTGAGCTCAAAAAACACTGCGACTTCCCAACTCGTGTTTCCGTCTCCCAAATTTTCTTCTGCGCCGGCAGAAGCTAGGTTAGACGCACAAACACCAGCATGGACGCAGCCTCCTCCGAATTGATCCACTTCGTCGTCGTTCCGGTCGAAACTGTAGTGGCTTGCATCTACGTACTGGACAACATCGTCGAATCCCTTCCTACCGATGTACTAGATACCCATCAGGACCATCAGGACGCTCAGTGCCTTCAAACGCTTATTGCAAATGGCAGAAGCTTAATTAGCGACATCGAACCATGGCCTCTTGTGGTAAAAGAGAGTTCTCTCAAGCACCGCACAGTCAGTGAACTACATGAAGTCGCTTCATCTTGGCTAGAGCGTTCTCCTCTGTTCCGATCAGATCTTGATGAACTCGGAGAATATTTAGAGTTGCTACCTGGCTTCTCCACCAACGGCATAAAGGTGAAAGAAAACGGGACTATGGGAAATCCCTGGATCGTCCTCCTCGAGCAGGACGAGAGAAGGCGCTGGTATGATTCTTCGTGCCATCAGATGGAATTGCTCAAGAATTCAGAGGGAAACAAGCTGCAATATCGCCGGTTCTTGACTCAATTCATGTGGATGCGAGAAAATGCCCCAAAAAGGATGTTCGCCAAGGAGTTTAGTGGAAAGTATCAGGAACGTACCTTAGATACAGAGCGTAGAGACGTGTTGCGACAGGACAAGAGCCTGAGCGCTGTCAGTAAGTGCATCAAACTCCCCTCGAGTTTACATGGCTAACTGAGGCTAGCTGAGTCCTCCACCGTCATCATGAATACCCCATCGACTTCTCGTAGTATCTCCCCGGACCTCACTGAGCACTCGGACAACATCACCAGCAATATGACTGAGCAACAGGCTGTCCTTCCACCAACCCTCAAGTACATCGCCATCATTGAGACCAATACCAACAAGGCTTTCTTCAATTTCGATCCCTCAGACATTAATGAGAAGAAGCGAGAGATCCTTAACAGTGCGAAGGACATGTGTACTCAGATGGTATCTAAAGGCTACGGAGGCAAAGTCAAGCTGCAGGACATCATGGACATAGTTGTCGACATGGCAAAGTAGTGACAAGCGCGCAAGAGGCGGAAACTGGTCGAGATACGCTAGTATCCACCGTGTTCGCAAACAAGCGAGGAGTGGTACTGAAACGAAGGCTCAATGAGATGGCAAGACTTTGAGGCGAAAACGAAGCTGCCCAGTCATGTTGAAAGGCCGCAGTCATCGCAGATCTTCCAGATAGTCGGAGAAGAAAATCAAATAATTGTAGCATGATCACACTGATCTGAATGACGTTGTGAGCTTGCAGAAATACCAAGTAAATGGATTGAAGATTGTGTCAATTTATCGAAATTGTGTACGAGTTCAAATGCTTAGGTCCATCGCATTGCCATCATCTCCTTGCCTCAACCCAAAGCGCACGTCCAACTTCTCGATCGTATTCCGTCTCAATTCTTTTGACGGCCAGCCTTTGCTTGGCACTATCACCTTCTTATCCCTTCTCAACTGCCTTGGGATCGGGACATTCTCCCCAGTTTTCTCATCTACCCATCCATAAAGGACAAAGTCTAGGTAGTGCTGCTGCACATTGAGCCCTCTTCTCACTCCCTCAGTGATGACCATATCTATAGCATGCATCATTTGTATGCCGTCCTCATGCCAGCCTTCAAGACTCAGCAGACCCCACAGCTCCTCTGGAACGCCAGTATCGCCTTCGTCTTCGAGCCAGGGATGTGCTTCGACGTCAAGATCTTCGTTGAGGTACGTCTTCACGACGATGTCGCTCGTGTTGTCGTAGTCCAACTTCAACTTTCCGCTCAGCACTTTCCACAGCGTTTCCAAACTTCTCTGGCCAAGCAGCAGCGATCCTAGCTGACAGACGCCATTCCCAAGAATCGGGTCGGAAAAGCGCATGTCGAGCTTGACGAAGAAGAGCTGGATGTTGATAATATCGATGTTTGTCCAGATATCCCCGTCCTCGAGGAAGGAAAGGCGCAGTTTCGTAGTGTTCAACTCCATGAGACCCCAGAACTTCATCAGCGCACCCTCGCAGCTGGCCGGTACGCGATGACCTTCCAAACCTAGTATTGTGAGAATACTGCGTACAATCTTTTGGCGCCAGAGTATCATGCCCACCCAGCGAAAACCTGGTACATCGCGCGCGAGCCACTCTCGTCCGTCCATGGGTCTGAGCATAGGGTCTGAAATGCATAGTCGTGGATACAGCACCCAGCTGAATATGTAACCTGCGAGCGGCGCATGGTAACGAGCATAGTCGTGTATCAGGGAGACACTGTATAGGTTTAAGCGATAATGAAACTCTTTGTCGATGGCATAAAGGTCGATGATGGAAGGGTAAGGAAGGCGGAGCGCAAACTGGAAGAAGAGGTTCGGGTGTCGAAGGATAGCCTTATAGACGCTGAAAGGCTTTTTTGGAGCTGGTGCATCGGCGAAGGCTCGGGGTGAGGTTGTAGAAGGTATTTCGGGGCTCCATACCTCAGTAGCGACATTGCGACGGCGGTGTTGATAGCGGCGGAGGATGCGGGGCGCATTATTGTCGATCATGGATGGTTGTTGAGGACGGCCGGTAGCTAGGAGGCTTTCGTCTATTGCGCGCTTGTTCTTGCCTTTCGCGCTCGGCGAGCCGGTATACATGGATATTGGGCTTGGTGGACGCTGCATGGCTATAGGATAGTTATGTTGCTACTTGCAGAGGCTAGAAAAGGTCATACTCGGATAGCGTTGAGCATGAGGCAAGCAAGATGTTGTACTCACCTTGGTTAGGTCAGCTCTGTAAGGATAGCGATGTGCTCACCATAGTATTGTTAGTGTAGTGACAGTGGAGAATACGAAGTCACTCTACACATGGAAACAATAGTAGGCCTTAGGGAACCATCAAATTAGTTATCTTGTAAGAGTGAGTGAAGGTGAAAATGAAAATCGTATCGCCTTCCTTCGAGCTTGGATACATGTAATGATGTCCCAGGGCGCTCTCGATGCATGCAGTCCCGTCGCACTGTTGCCAGCATGCGTGTTGAGCTCCTCTTTTCTATAGCGACTCTTATCATCATGATCCGTACATCCTGCGTGGAAACCGATGCAAGTTTTGGGTGACTACGAAGCTGTGCTTTGACAGGAGAAATGAGGGAACACATAAACGTGGTAAAGGAACGAGAGACAGGCGATGGACTCGACAGGGATGCAGCGGCCACGCGTCGACGTCATTGGTTGGCTCGTGCTTTGCTCGACCCCCGCCGCGGCCCCTCGTTATCGTCCCTGCATATTCTGATAATTTAGTTGGTCTAGGTGAAATCGCGTTTCTCACGCAACACAACAGCCATCTCGCCAGGTTCCACGACGATATTTCACAGTCGCCAAATACGAACAAGTACGTCCGCCAGCAGTATCTCCCAACATCCCTTCCACCACACGCTTCGTTGCCCCAACAGGAATTGATTGAGGGTATCCAGGACCGTTCAGGCAACAACGATCTGTCAATCGAACCGACGCGAGTACTTCCCGTAGCAGCGAGCCATCTGCATTCCCGCATACGAAGAGCTTTGCCATTTCATAGTACCGCGCGCGCCATGGCGTCCAACCTTCTGGGCACCGCCAAATCGACGCTGCCCAACGAACTCGCTCTCCTGGTCATCGACCATCTCGAAGACAACTACAAAACACTATGCGCTCTTGCTCGCACTTGTCGCGGTATGCAACATCTCGCCGAAGAGCGACTTTACAAGCGGATCGAGCTTCTCTCCGTAAAAAACCTTCACGCCATCATCGAGGCCTTCACATTGCGTCATGAACGCGTGCGCGCCGTGCAAACACTCAAGATTCTCTATCAATACAAGGACAACAGTTTGAAGGACAGTGACGAAATAAGGACAACCTTCAACGAGTGCGTGGCTCGCATGGTCAACCTGAGGGAGTGGCACATTGAGAGTCCTTACGACAACTTCCACTGGGAGGGAGCTGGTGGCGAGGCTTGGGTTCATGGAGACATGCAACGTTTTCGCCGCGCGCTTGACACAGCTTGCGTTGATGGTCCAGCCGAGGCTGATAAGATCATGACGGAGCGACGGTTGGGAAAACATGTCGAGCGGACCGTTGGCCTGGGTCTTCTTGAGAGCTTGACCATCCATTCACACGGCGCTGATACTGACTTCTGGAACCTTGAAGGCTTCCATTGCCTCTTCCGACACCCTGCGCTCAAACATCTTCACGTCTCCTGTGTTGCCTTCCCGGCTTCTGACATCCCTGAACTTGCGTCGCATACCCGACAAACCCCTCTGACTTCTTTGGTCTTTGATGAGTGCGTGCTGCAGCCCAAAAGCTTGCTCAGTATATTACGTACGCCGGCACGACTGAAGACGCTGACTCTCGGTGAAAACGTCTTCAACGTCAACCGATCTAGACAAGTCAAGCCCGTACTAACCAAAGATCCGTGCGGGTCGCTGCAAGCTCTCTCTGCAGTTGCACATTCGCTAGAAAGCCTCACGCACCTTAATCCCGGTTGGCGCATCGATAGAAACCCCCACGTGCTCCGCAGCATACGACCACCTGGTGACGGCATGCGTGATTTCCATATTCTCACATATATGGAATGCGATACAAACTCCTTTCTACATCAGGCTATCGTAATGAACCGCGATCTAGCGCCACCCGGTCTGGAAACACTTCGTGTTCGCCGGCATTGGGACGTTCCTATCGACTTCTGGGATCAGCCGCCTGACTTTGATCACTATGCTGCGCTGCCGTCTCTCAACACACTAGAATTGTTGCAATCGTCCTATCTCTGGTAAGTTTGACAGAACCACTCAAAGTTCGTTCCAGATCAAGCACTGACTGTACCCAGGCTCGACCTATCCGATACTGATTACATCTGCGACGATGAGCGCCTCCGCAATCGTCATGCAAAGGCATACAAGCTATTCAAGGCTGGCATCAATCTCAAGATGTCAATAGAGCTGCACAAAAGCCCTAGCCTGATACCACCATATCTTCATGACGAGCCCATCCCAATCATCGAATGCGTGTACGATGCGAGCGTCGTCGGCTTCCACCGCCACATAATTCACGAAGAGGCAGAGGAAGGCATGCGGATAGCACCAGAGTCTACAAGCGAAGCACCCGAGACGGATCAACTTGGTGACGCGGACATCAATAGATTACGGGGAGAGACGCGACGCACTCTGCACGTCCTCAAGCACAAGTTCGTAAAGCCTGGTCGCCGACTCGCGTTCATGGACATGTTCGATTCCGATGATGAAAGCGTGGAGCATGTTGGTAGCGACGACGACTTTGAGGTTGACGATCTTGACGAGGAGGATGATATGGAGCTTGATCTTGAGCTAGATAACGACGGACACTTTGTCGATGAAGACGGCAATCACGTGTTTGAAGAAGATGGAGAGCTCTATGTTACAGTGTGGGAGACAGCCAGTGAGGACGAGATGGACGAGACTGAAGACGAAGATGATGAAGAGATGCATGACGCGGTGGAAAGTCAACAGCAGCCTGCCAATGACGATGTAGACTAAGACGTCACTGTGAAGGCGTCTTTAGCTATAACTCTATATAATGTCCTCTGTAAATGAATGAACGCCGGGTATGTATGAATAGGTCGTAGGAATATTATGCGCTGCCAGGGCGTCAGGATGGAAGGGAGAATCAGAACCTGCTACGATACATTAGCTTCCAATCGCGATCTCTCAAGAATAGATCAAAATTACCTGGAGAGAATCCTCATCGTGCGCACCCGAGATATTGTGATGAGCAATACGCGTTTTCCCTATTTGAATTGTTAGCATTCAATTCAATGTCGGAATCCTTCTTTCCTAATCCGGTATCCCGCCCTTCCCTACCACCTAACAACGTTCCCAGCCACATGCTTGTGCCCTGACGTACCTTGTCAGGTAACTTCCATCTGCCTTGGCTCTCCTAGTCTCCAGAAGCGGTGGCACAAAGGGAAGTGCAAGAGCAGATACCACGTAGGTTGTTGCGAGTGTAGCCTTTAGTCGGTATCGCGGGTCGCGAGGTACGCGTGTGGAGTATTGCCGAATCTGGGAGAGAGCGTGTGTTGAGATGGCCATTTTGTATAATATGAAGAACAAAAGACGGAGAAAGGTACTCAGACACAATAAAGTACGATGTGTAAAGTGTTGTAGCCTGGCAATGTCTTTGTTTCGTGGTTTGTAGCTGGTTGATCAGCCTTATGAAGACGTATGTGGGGCCGCGATGTGGTTCGGTGGTTTCGGCTTCGGTGGGGTCTTGGTCGCGTGCTTGCTTTGAACTATGTGTCTAACACACTTTTTTCGTCATCAGAAAGTCAGCAAAGCTTGAGAGAGGATGGCTCGGCAATGTTGGGGATATAAATATGTCTCAGCGTGGTTGCCTAGTAGGGCCTCGTTTGTAAGGCCTCAGCAAGGGGGGAACAAAAGGTACTCACACTACGGCCGCGGCTGGACTTCACGTGGAGATGAGCGCTGTATGCAAGCGACGTCAAGTGTGGGTAGGCTTTTGTGGAGTGCGGTTAAGGCTGCCTCGACGCTAGGAATTGTTTGCGTGCTTAGATGTTGCTTTGAAAGCGTGCTTCCGGTCCCGGCTTACAAACGTCTTTCTACTATATTGAGGCACGTCGAGAAGATGGATGAGACGGTCATAGACAGTTTCCAAGTAATGTTAGTGTCTTCTTATTGATGTTTGTGCGGAATGCTCCATAATAGGACTGCGCCTAAAGCTTCGAGAATCCCTTCCGGTCTGGGCGATCCAGATCACACCACAGTCGTGCGAGTACGTGCGAGCTGCTGCCCTGCAACGGCAGAGGCTTTTACCGGAATATGGGGCACGTGTCTTGGCGCCCAACAGCGCATTGGTGAGCAGTTGGTCACGACATCTATAGTCCAAGTCACGAATCGGTAGTTTTGCGTGGAAAGGGGTGTTTTTAACGTGTCAGCAGCAACCAATAGAAGCTGATTGGTAGATGGGTACGGCAGGGGTTTCCCGCAGCCTCGCCATGGCTTCTCTTTCTGATCTTTCGCAACGTCGCATTTAGATCAACAATAAGTCATGATTTGCCTGTCCGGTAAGAATTACCAGCTACTTTTCGTTCAACTCGCCGAACTCATGCATGTCGTACACAGAGCTTGATTCATCGCGCCGCATTTGGAGGACATTGAACTTGTCGAAAATAGGACTGTCATTGTCCTATGCATAGACTTATGGTAAGACATAGTAGGTTTTCATCTCATAATTTTGGTTTGCTATCATCACTGTCGATGGCAACACAGCTCATAATACAAATTTGCATTATTCTCGACAAATCGCTCTGAGGCTGCGTGAAAAGAGAAGAACAATGTCTAAACGCCATGGAGCTACACTGCTTTGAAGCATACATCGAAAAAAAGAGGACCGCGATAGTAGCACAGCTCCTACATCCTTGGCTATTCGCCGCATCTAGTTACGACGACCGAAACGATCATAGTTGAACAGCCGTCCACTATTTGATCTACCATCATCCCCACCACCACGCGCACCGCCACCACCGTACGGGTGCTGAGGAGCATAATACTGACGCTGTCGAGGGTCTTCGTCGGGGTCCGACTCATCATCGTAGTAGGCTTGCTGTGGTGGTTGGTGACGGGACGAACCATGACTACGTGGGTACTCTTCGTACCGCGAAGCGTACTGGGGACCCTCACGGCCCATGTGTGGGTAGCTAGACTCCTCTCGTGCAGACGCATTGTATCCACCAGCTGGATTGCTGCCAACTTGACGGCGGAAGGGATTGTCTGCGCGTGTTAGGCCAGAGAACATGAAGCCTCTACCGCCACCCTCACTGCGTGGTGCTCGTTGGTGGCTATACCCGTTTTGCGCATTATCGCCGAAAGGCTCATAATGTTCCTGATACTGTTGACCTTCTGGACGCGAGGAATCGTAGGAGGAGAAAGATGAGTAGCCCCCTCGGCGAGAGTTGCCACGGCTCATCCCACCCATCGGACCCATAGGACCTCCACGTCCCATCTCACCACCACCCATCGGCCCCCTCATCGCGCTACCCATGCCACCCATACCTCCCATCAGGCCTCCCATTGGGCCACCGCGTCCCATGCCGCCACCCATACCACCAAAGAAGTCGCTGCCACCACCACCACCACCACCACCACCAAAGAAATCGTCACCGCTTGAGCCGCCGAAGGGATACATCTTACCGAGTATTGAAAAGGTTTAGATTGGGAAAGATTTCGTTGTCGACGAGTTCAAAGCGTAAGAATGTCGTTGTGCTCGTCTTTTTCCTCGACTTGACTGTTGTAGGTCGTGCGTTGAGCTGACCTACTGTGTGTGTGGTAGATGAGAGTGTAGGAGTAGGCAAGGCATAGCTGATATAGTATGAGAGCAGCAGTATTCAAGTGTGAAGGGAGCTTGCTGCGATGCTTTACAGGGAGACCAGGCATGCTGGCAGTTGGAGGGTGAAACAGAGCGAATCGTGGTCAAACGCACATGTGATCGATGAAGATACAGTTCGGTTTAGTGAATGCATTTGCGCCTTGAGCGCAAGGCGGATGCTGAGAGACATTAGCATAGTGCAGAGTAGAGGCGGCGTCAAAGCATCAATTCAAGACGCCTGGTTAAAGCGGAGCTTGGTATTCGATCACGCTCATATTCTTGATTGCAGTCTTAGGTAAAAGGTTTCGCGTGTACAAGGTAGATTGAAGAGTCGTGGATATGGTTGACTTAAGTTTCGGGCGCTTGTTTTAGCGTGGGAAAACTTGTGGGCTAGGCTCATGCGACTGAGGTGCATCGTCCCCTTTGTCAACGCTGCAGCGGTGGTGATATACCCCTCACGTCGTCCGAGCTACCATCTCCGGGTCTGTTCCAACCACAGGAGGGTCTCTGCCTATATCGAGGTGTTATTAACTGACATCCTGGTGAATACCGAGTGAGAATGCAAGATCACCGAACACGGCACGGACACCGAGGCATGATCCCACAACCGCCCGATTGTAAAATCTGGGGAAATCCCTCAGCATAATACCTGCGATAGACGACTCGTGTCTCGGGCGAAGGCGCGTATATATCTCTGTAAGGAAAGCCCGGACGGAAACATCATAGTCTATGCAGCTGTCCAGGTGAGTACATGGCACATAGGCCTAATCACATAGTAATACCTAGGTAGCCATAATCGTAAGAGCGCGTCATTGCATTTGCTCGAAGGAGCTGATTATCTACGCAGGTAGCTCTCAAAATAATGCGCCCCAGTTTTGGAACGCCTAGAAATCACCCTTGTTCGTGCAAACGTCGGTACCGCTTCTCGGCATTGCATCTAGGAGTAAACAGCGCGGTTCATCCCGTCCCTTGTCAGCGATGCCGTAGTATCGTGAAAGAACCATCGTTTCACGACTTCATCACAACTTCCAAAAATCTAGCTGTTCTCTCAAATTTCCTACAGGCAATCTGATGTTCCATCGCAGCGTTGCACCAAGTTTTGCTGAGTCCGTTCTAGCCTTCCGGGGATGCATACATTATCCTTACGCTTAACAGGCAGACTAACCAGCATCACGCTGGCTGCCCGTCACGGGAATACATGCAGCCCAATCCCACCAACTATCTCCCGGTCCTTATTACCTCAACCCACCGGGGATAGACGGTGCCAACCGCGATTGTGCATGGATGTACTGTGACACCGCCCCAGCGGCTCAACCTGCAACAGAATTCTGCCTCGGCATCAGAGTACCTATCATGCTACTACCATATAGGAACTTCTTCGGCATCACCGTATGGAGATATCTCGGCAGAGCTCAGCGAATGACGTCTTCGAGGCCGTTACGTAGCTCCATACTTCTTCTCTACCCTGTGCTTTGTACCAGCTTATGCTTTGTGCTGATCACAAGCTAGCGCAGTGGAGGAACGTCTGAATCAAGATGTGTGGAGAACATAAAACCTATGGGGCCCCAATCTTCCCCGCCATCTCTCCACACTTTTTGATCGCCAGTGGTTCGCCCCATGGTACTAACGAGACATCAGAACACGCCTTTTCAGAACCACAGGTGGATATCGGCTGTCGCCAGTACGTCAAGATGGCAGATTCTTCTGCGGTTGCGGTTGCGCAACCTCGCTTCATGGGAATGCGAGGTAGAGCGCTGGACATAACAGTTTCCATCATTGCGACAACTGGTTTCCTGCTTTTTGGATATGACCGTGGGTGCAAGACTCGACTACTAGGCGATTGAATGTGCTAACATTCGTACTACAGAGGGCGTTATGTCTGGCATCATTTCAGCGGACCCATTCATGAATTACTTCCCAGAAACTCTGCACAACTCGACTTGGCAAGGGTTCGTAACCGCGGTGAGTAATTGCAATAGCTCTCGTTCTAGATCGAAATCACACTGACGTTGTTAAATCTTGAACCCAACAGATCTACGAGATTGGCTGCTTGTTCGGAGCCATAACAATGCTCATTTTTGGTGACGCGCTCGGGCGACGGAAAGGAATCATGATAGGCGCTGCGACTATGATCATTGGTACCATTATACAAGTGACTGCTTTCAAGGGCCATAATGCCACTGCACAGTTCATCATCGGACGCGTTGTCACTGGTGTTGGCAACGGCATGAACACTGCTACAATTCCGACATACCAAGCCGAATGCTCCAGGACGAAAAATCATGGTCTCTTGATCTGTATCGAGGGCGGAGTCATTGCCTTTGGTACGCTCATCGCGTACTGGGTGGATTATGGATGCTCGTACGGAAGCGACAACTTCACATGGCGCTTCCCTATCGCTTTCCAGATCGTTTTCTGTATTATTCTCTTGGCTGGCATGACCTGGCTTCCAGAGTTAGTATACTCTCATATCCACTGCGAGAAACATACTGACCCCCTCCACCCATTCTAGGTCGCCACGTTGGCTTTTGACCAAGGATCGGCACGAGGACGCAGCCAAAGTGATTGCAGCGCTCCGTGGGCATGCCATCGATGACAGTGAGACGCGCTTCGAAGCCCACATCATTATGGACAGTATCCGCGCGTCTGGCCACAAAGGAGGAATTACACCATTCAGCGCCCTCTTCACAAACGGAAAAACACAGCATTTCCGACGGATGATGCTCGGCGCTTCATCGCAGCTCATGCAGCAGATTGGTGGATGCAATGCGGTCATTTACTACTTTCCTCTCCTCTTCGAGAACTCAATCGGCGCTTCGCACGATCTGTCGCTGTTGCTCGGAGGTATCAACATGATTGTCTACTCGATCTTTGCGACTACATCTTGGTTCATCATAGAACGCACTGGTCGCCGCAAGCTCTTCCTGATCGGCACCTGGGGTCAAGGCTTGTCCATGGTGTTGGTGTTCGGCGCCCTCATTCCGGGTACGCAAACTGCAGCGAAAGGCGCAGCTGTGGGCCTATTCACATATATTGCATTTTTCGCAGCAACATGGGTAAGTCCTCGATGTACGAAATCCTATGTGAGACATGCACTGACTTACACCACCTTTACAGCTTCCACTTCCATGGCTATACCCAGCAGAAGTAAACCCTGTAAAGACACGTGGCAAAGCAAACGCTATCTCGACATGCACCAACTGGCTATCAAACTTCATCGTCGTCATGATCACGCCTATCATGATTGATAACATTGGGTGGGGCACCTACGTTTTCTTTGCAGCGATGAATGCGTGCTTCTTGCCCTTTATCCATATCTTCTATCCTGAGACCAAGCAGCGAAGCTTGGAGGAGATTGACCTTATCTTTGCCAAGGGCTTTCTGGAGAACATGAGTTATGTGAAGGCTGCGAAGGAGCTGCCGTTTTTGGATCCTGTTGGCATTGAGCAAATGCAGAGAGAGTACGGTTTCTTTGATGACGACACTCTTGAGGGTGGAAAGGATGTTGGAGGGTTGGAAAAGGGTGAGGAAGCGACTGTTACTGAGACTCCACGTATTTGAACATACCGCCTCTGCCAGAACAAGCACTAGCAATATCGGTTGAGTTTGGACTTGGTCTCGAGGTTTTCTGGCTTCGCCAAGGTGTCTGACGATACTCAATCACAAAAAGATCAAAGCCATAAAGACATCGCGAAATTGCAAAATTTGAAACAAAAAGATGAAGAAGTAGTCTTTTATTCACTCTTCGTCCTTCTCTGCCCATCTCCTCTTCTCCGTATGTAACTAAAAGGGTATATACATTGTTGATAAATGATGTAAATGGACCAGCCTTTGATTTCTCGCGCGTTTTGCGTCCAACCTCGATCGGTTATGTAGCATTCACTGTGCTTGCTCTTCCTTCATACATTATCAATCGCTTAGCTCAAGAACTTGAGAGCACGCTTGATCCTGTTGCCGCCACGGTTGCCTTGGCCCTGGTTCTGGCCCTGGTTTCCACGACCGTTGCCTTGACCGTTGCCTTGGCCCTGACCTTGACCATTCTGAGCTGCGCCTTGGTTCTGCTGGCCTTGGCCCTGGTTCTGGTTCTGACCTTGACCCTGACCTTGGTTGCCGTTCTGGTTGCCGTTCTGGTTGCCGTTCTGATTGCCGTTCTGATTGCCCTGGTTGCCGTTCTGATTGCCCTGGTTGCCATTGCCTCCCTGGTTGCCGCCGTTGTTACCGCCATTGTTGTTGCCGTTTCCAGCATTGGGAGTCTGAGTCGCATCAGGGACAAGAGCTGAAAGAGATGTTAGTTCCAAGTTCGTTACGATAGAAATGCGACGGATGAAAAATCAACGCACCGGAAATGGCACTGGCACCCTCATTACCGCCCGCAGCACCAGCAGCCTGGTTCGCCGCGATAGCAGCAGGAAGATCCTTCTGGTTTTGCAGGATTTGTGCAGAGATACCCTCAAGTGTCTGAGCAGTGTCGACAGCTAGCGGCAGTGAGTATGGATACAGGATAGGGCAAATGCTTTGTAATAACGGAAAATGTGAAACTTACCAGAAGCGCTCTCGTTGGTACGACCAGTTCCGTCAGTCTGCTGGACGGCGAAGCATCCACCGAAGGGACCGGCGATGGCGTTGTTGCGGCATCGAACAGTGCAGATGTTGCCAGTTGAGGCACCAAGACAGTTGAAGTTGTCGGGCATCTGGACGTTGATAACAAAGTCCTTTTCCTTTGCCTGAGAGAGACCGAAGCTACCAGGAATGTTGTTGGATACCTTCAAGGGTGTGAAGGTGGTCACGGCGTTGCTAGTCTCGTCCATGTCACACTCGAACGGACCGGCGCCATCTGCATTAACTTGATGGATGGTGACAGCCAACATGGAGCCAGAAGACACTTGAGCCATACGGCCAGCAGCAAGCTCGTTCTCGGTTTGCTCACCGATGTCGATGTTGCCCGCAATCTCAGTTCTTCCGCAGGCGTTAACAATGTTCTGCGTGATCTCCGAGTCGCGAATGATGGTAGCATCTTGTTGGCAAGGAGAGATGGTAGTGCAGTTGCGGGCAATCGCAGGATCGACCAAGAAACCTTGACTCTCGCCAGAGTCTCCAACAGCGGCCAAGATGGCTGCGTGCGAGTGCACGGTGGAGACGAAGGTGGCAAGTGCAAAGGAAGTGGCAGTGAAGTACATCATGATTGGAGTTAAAATAAAGTTGGCGCTCAGCGCTGAGAATAGAATAGAATGTGGAGTAAAGAAGGACTAGCGTCGAGCTGTGAAGAAGTGAAAGACCGTTGATGGAGATAGATTACAAGCAGTGGAACTCAAAGTAATCTATATACTGAGGGATCGTGACAGGGCATACCGCCGTATCGTGAAATTTCTTACTCGAGATCCATGGTGGGTGTCCACTTCCATGAGACGTGCATCGGTATAGGTAAGGGTTGTGTATATGCTGGTGCTGGCCTAGGCGCCTCAGTCGATGCTTGGCAATGAGAGAGTGGAGTACCAAATGTTGCCAAGACAGGAATAAGCACCCCTGGGTAGACTTCGCAGGAGCTTGTGGCGTCCCTTTGAAGGGAACACCTAGCCTGTCAGGGACGTAACGGCGCTGTGGTGAGGCGAATCCACCAGCTTCAAACTTTGAGAACCTGTACGAGATCATGCTCTCCGTCACTTAGCGCTCATTGAACCTGTAATCCAGCCTCCGTTTTACCGTAGTACGCTAGTGATGAGGCATGGGAGGTTTCGAGGACCGTAAAGTCAAGTTTCGAATCAGAACGTAGCACGCCACCACGAAACATGACGGCTTGGTACAGCCGACATCGTATGTCCGGCTCAATTCCGGAAGCTATGCTTGTGCAGATGACAGCAGAGAGCGAATGGTCTGTCCACAAGATGGGAGAGCCGCGGAAAGCTGGTGTTTCGAAATCAGGCGCCCGGAAAAGCGGGTATCTCCCGTTACATGCCTGTGGGGCTACCCGTTGGAGGCTGAACACCGCGCCTCGGCAGATACGCCGCGGTGTCTCTCGCGTAGAGATTCGTCTTTTCGTCACTCTCAACAATGCCTGAGCGAAAGGGGCTCAAAGTCGCGATAGCGCAGACACAGATGATGCATCTGTCATTTCCGCACTCCTGAGGCATTTCTGCCGTATTGTGCCGCTTTGCCGCGATCCATCATCCAGCGAGCAGTGAAGGATTCAATCGTACACTGTAAGTGTTGGACAGCATATTTCCGGTGGCTTTCATCTCGTGGTTGGTATCGCTGCCATCCGTAAGAAGAAGTTCCGAGTGTCTTGAAAGCCTTGCCCAGCTTTACGACCAAGCATTACGGTATGACTTGAAGATGTCGCTGTATCTGTTTCGGGCTCGAAAACCTGCATGGTGCCAGTATGAATACAGTCAATCGGTTCGATAAGGGACGTCTCTTGCATTCGCTGTGATATGCAACAGGCGCAGAATAGGATGTGGTGTCTTGGAGAACATGCAAGTGGAGAGGTTACATCGCAGTATATGTGAGTGTAAGTCGATGTCGCGCCATCAAGATCAGCCTCCTAGGTCAGCGAGCGCGTGAATGGCGGCGATACATGGTTTTGGATGAGTGGAGGCAGAGAAAAGACCAAGCAGTAGAGTTGTTGTTCACTTGCTAGTTCGTTCATCCCCGCGGCGGCGAACCCTGGTCTAATCGCCGAATAATCGCCGTCAGCCTTACAACAATCAGACCACTTTCATCATCCATCGCACAGAAAGAAACTTGTGAGCTGTCGCAAAGCCACAACGAGCTTCCCAACACAACAATTCACATCGCAAACCGACTATCCGCTACTCATCATGAACACAGTAAGCTCAAGCGGTGCTCCTAGACCTGTGCCCTGTACTAACCGTCAGATAGATCAAATCGGTATAGTACGTCACGCATACTCCTCCAGAGCTCTACCGATCATATGCATATATCCACCACTCCGTCAGGGCCACGAACCCCCAGCACCAGGCACCTCGGCAACATGCCATGAAGCATATAATGAATGCGGTCTGACATGCGCACAGCTACGGCTGGGCAACCTTAATAGTAGCAGGCGGCGGCGCCTACTTCTTCGCCAAACGCAGCATCAACGCTGACCGCGCCGCAAAAGCCGAAGCCGACCGCCAAAAGCGCATCCGCCTTTACGAACTTGAGCACGGCCTGAAGAACTCGGCCCCTGCCACGACACCGCTGAACCCCACGGCGAAACCAGGATCTACACAGTCAGCGCCGCAAAGCGTGACAAGCGAGTTAGGCCGGCTGAGGAGTGAGGGCGGAGGTAATGGTGGGATGGGGGGTGAGGGTAATCCAAGTCTACAGGCTAGCCAAGATCCAGCGCCCACAAGGCATGCACCCGAGAGTGAGGGGCAGAGGGTAGGAGAGAAGAGCAAGTACGAGGCGAATGAAGTGTACCGAAGTCGAAAGGGCGATCGGTTCTCATGAACCGGAGACTGAGAGTAATTTAACGAAAGAACGATTGGTTAGTAGGAAGGGATTATGTATATAAGTCATGGCCGTCGGAAGATTGGATAATGGTTCCGCGCTCACTCAACGGCGTTATGGCATGGAAGGTTTCCACTCTTTGTATTATCGTACACGAGCGGGTTGGCGGCTCTAATACCCGCTCCAAGCTATGCTAAACAAGAACCATGATCCAAAACGCCTACGCGATATATCAGGGTATAAAGCGACATGTTGCCGTTTAGTCTCTCCTACATCAATCGTCATGACGAGTCCTCACATGAACATACTGCTCTTTGGGCTGTCTCTCCTCTTCTCATACAGCCACTTGTTGTTCAACCCAACACTCGCCTTACCGGTGGAGGGAGTGGGGGTGCCTGGCGTCATGCTGCTCGAGCTATCACCAAATAAGCTGCCGCTCATCGAGCTACCATAGCTCATGCGCTTTATTGCTGAGCCACTGAGGGACCTATCAAAACTTCCACCATTGTTTGGTGAGAAGGGCGAGCCTGAGCCAGACCTCCCAAAATTTGGGCGCGGGCTAGGCGAATGCGAGCCGTGATCTTGAGCGCTGAAGCTGTTGCTGCGTGGTGTTGATCGTTGGTATCTGGGGGGAGTCACGTAGTTGGGCGATGCGTATGCGGAGCCTGGAGTCGGAGGCGCCTGGACACCAGCCTTCAACCCCATCGAGGCGCGTTGTGAGGGGGTGAGAGGTATATCGACAATCTCATCGGGGTAGTAGCGGCGGACAAGAGGCAGGAAGGCGATGACGATGTTTGCCGCGAAGACGACGCGGACTAGGAGTATAGCCCAGTTGCTGTAGGGAACAGCTCTTACAACAGCGTTAATCGGTGTCCTAGTGAAATGTCAGCATGCTGCGTCAGGACAAGATGACATGGGCACTCACGCAGCATATTCTAGCAGCTTGACCTTTTCGGTGACGCGATTGCCGTAGACTGAAAGGAACAAGAAGCCGGCGTTGAGGACAATGGCCCTGACGTTGCGCTCGTCAAAAGTGGTAGCGTACTGGCGGCGCGCAATCTCATCAAACTTGGGATGTCGCCAGGACCCATTGGGCGTGTATGACTGTTCCGTCTGGGCAGATGGTGTCGCCGGCGTTTGCGGGGTTGCCGGCTGCGCGTATCTGGTTGCAGACATGTTGTTTGAAGCTTTTAGCTATCCGCGTTGATTGTTTGTTTGGCCGAAGGGGTGTCGCAAGAGATGGCTCGGCTCACGTGCCCGGGAACACTTTCACTGCTGCTGCTGCTGGGTTAGTAGTTAGTTTTGGACAGAAGCTCGAGGCTACAGGAACATTATGTACGCTCAAGGGTGCGGCGATGGTGAATGTCAGAGTGGTTGTGCAGCAACCATGTTTTGGCAAGGGCGCTCGGAGGACGGGCATTCTACTGGTAGCTTTGACAGGGGTCCTTCCTCACTAGCGACCCTCACCCCCGCCGTCATCCCGCAGCTGCCAGCCAAACCTCGTGCGCTCTGCTTCCGCCTTCACTCTCTCCATGTACCTTCAGCCATGGCGGGACTTCTAGAGCAGCTCGACGGGTCCATCTCCGAGATACTGGCAGCCTGGAACATTTACACCACCCTCATCGCCTTCTCCATCGTCGGCTTCCTGGCCTTCATCATCTACGACAGCGCCGATGCCGACACGCACCCGCTGCTGCTCGCGAGACAAGCAGTAGCTTCCTATGTGAGGCAACCGGGAGAATCGGCCATCTTCAGGTCTCCCGAGACTCCTCATGGTTGTATGTACGCCTCCCTCTATGCTGCTGCAGTCACTACTAACTTGAGATAGACCCTCTTCGTACCGGACTTGCCGTCAGACCTCCGGGCGCTCCCATGTACTCGGCCGGAAAGGATGGTGACCTTCGAGACATCTGGCGACGAGTCACAGGTGACATCCCTCTCGAGAAGGGCGCCAAATCCAGCGGCACGGCAAACATCATGACCGTCTTCGGCAAGGAAGGCGTGACTGAGCACCAGGTCCAAGACGTTACCAAAGAGATTGCTATTCTTGGAAAACACCTGCAAGAGCGTGGCGCGAAGAGAGTCGCCATCTACCTACCTAACAGCCTCGAATTCCTGGCCGCGCTCTTCGCTGGCGCCTTCTACGGCTTCACGCCCATCCTGATACCATACAACCAGCCACACCAGACTCTGGTCGACCTTCTTCGCCAGACAGGAGCCGACGCTATGATCGCCGAGGCCGGCTCCGTTCCTCTTTCTGAAGTTGGCCAGGGTGTGTCTAGCCTGCGTTCCGTCATCTGGACCGTAGAGAAGACAAGCAGGCACATGGACTGGAGCGAGGTGCCCGAAGGTATCGGTGGAAAAACCGACGTTGCCGTCTGGCATGAGCTTGTACAGGAACAGAAAAGCGCTCCAACAGCACTGCCTTCCACTTCCGAGAAGCCACCGAATGTTGTCTTCCTCTGGCAAGAAGCGGTTGGAAAGTCAGCAGAGGTCGTCGAGTTCACGCAGCAGGTATGACAAGACGGAGTCTTGGTATATGCGCCTACTAACAACAACAACAGAATCTGACTGCTGCCATTGGCGCACTGATCACATCTCTTCCTGCCTCGCACCGTCTAAACCCCTCGGACACATTCCTCCCTGCCGACGCCTTCACGCACTCTTACAGTCTGTGCCTAACGTTGGCTGCTCTATTCTCTCATGCGACAGTCATCATCCAGTCCGTCGCTGGCCCTGGTGTCGACCTTGAACTGGCTACACGCTCTATCGCTCCCACAGTCACAGTCATCTCAGCCGAAACAGCTGCGAAGCTTCACAACTCTACCAAGACCTCAATAACTGGTGGCCCACAGAAGTTGGCACACTACCTCGAGACGCGCATGTTGACTGCTGGCCGCCTACCTACCGATAACCTTCTCATGAAGCTCAATGCGCCCGCTAGAGCGGCCATCGGTACAACACCTGGGAAACTGCGTCTGGTCTTTGTGTCTGAGAGACAGGGCCTGAACACACCGCCACTTAGCTCAGAAGACTTATCTGATCTGCGTATCTTCACCAAAGCGCGTGTAGTATACGCCTTGACCACTGCTAAAGTAGCTGGAGCTATTGCGCAGACGAACATCTACGACTATCGGAGAGGGGAAACCCCGTCTAACAAGCACAGCCACTTCGGCGTACCTCTCAGCTGCGTGGAGATCAAGTTGAAAGACACGCCACAGCACAAAACAACGGACGACCAGACTGCTGGAGAGCTTGTTGTCAATGGTTCATCTGTCGTAGGTGGCGAGGTTCACCTAGGCGTGAATGCCACCATTCGAGACGATCATACTTTGGCCTATGTATAGCTAGGGTGCGTACAGCGACATTGAATATATGCCAGTCTCGAGGAACGTATCGCCACGAAGCATGTGCAATGTGACACAAACTCACCTTAGAGCTCGCGCATTCCCCTAATACGCGATCTGCTCAACAATAATTCTTGTGTGCATGCAGACACGCGACTGACCATGCATCTAGACCAATTTGTGCGGCATGCATCCCAAGTGCCGACACATGGCTTGCTTCCTTGCCGTGTACCACTGACCATCCCGAACAACGGTATCTCAATCAGGTGCAGTAATCCGCAAAGTTCCCGTCTTTCATACCATCTACGTTATACTTGTGGAGAACATATCGTTCCTATCTTGTCGCGTGGGGATCGTCCCTCTGGGGTAATCTGAGCCGAAGCGCCACCGAAGCTAAACCTCAACCGACTGGGGTGCTTATCTGCACCTGCACGAGCGTCGAATGACAGCCTGCACGATCTAGCGACCGTCGCATTTTCCCAAGGACCGAGACCGTGGAATACAGCCGCTAATCATGACAGCTTCTGGTGTGAGTGGTCCTACGCTGAGCATAGGGCTGCGAGGAAGTGTTCAAGGCGTTCGCCTAGCTCAGCTGAACCCCTCCCCGGCTTGTCTCTATGCCATGGGTTGAACACAATGGTCGGGATTGTGGCGCTTATCTTATCGGGTTCTTGCCAGAGATATCGACGTAACGTCAATCCAGAATGGCCGCAGTTCGGAGATCTGCACCAAGACTGTGCATCATGCTAGAGGATAAAGAGGCGCTCGTGTCCGTCGCGCGAGAGGACTTCATTTCTACATCCACCCCACCCTTGATCGTCGGCACACGGCAGGCTCCAAGATGCCGTTCATCGAGAAGCCGCATTGGACGCTTCGGGTTGAGCAACCTGAGAGTACATTTGCGATAGGAAATTCGCGATGGTAAGTTCGAGTTCGGTCCGGAGATGCGCAATCATGAACATATGTACTAATTGATGCTACACAGGACAAACAAAGATCTTGACCCTGTCCCGAGGCATGCTAGGAAGTGGGGTGTTACAAGCTTCATCTCGTATTGGGTCTCGGATGCCTTCAAGTACGTATCCTCAAGAATATTGAACCCGACAACACATCAGATGCTAATACAACCCCCAGTGCTGCGACATGGCAATTTGCATCCAGTATCATTGCAATTGGTATTTCTCCCTACTCTACAGTCTTGAGCTACCAATCAAACGTCTGTTAACACTAATAAGGTCTTACATGGCGCGAATCCCTCGGCATAGTCGCCCTCGCCTTCTTCATCATCTCCTTCGTCATTGCTCTTAACGGTGCAATCGGTGTTCTCCACCATGTCCCTTTTCCAGTCATTGCTCGCGCCTCCTGGGGCTTCTGGGGTTCTTACATCGCCATTATCTCCCGCGCCATCCTCGCAATCTTCTGGTTCGCAATCCAAAACATGAACGGTGCAAACTCTGTTCGTGTCATGATTGGCGCCATCTGGCCGTCTTTCCTCACACTGCACAATGGCATTCCGGCGAGCCAAGGCATCGACACGGCGACTATGATCAGTTTCTTCATCTTCTGGTTGGGAAGCGTACCATTTTTGGTCATGCATCCGAACGAGCTGAGATGGCTGTTTATGGCTAAAAGCATCATTGTGCCGATTGCGTGGATTGCCATCCTGATCTGGGCTTTCGTGAGCACAGAGGGCGGCGGTGACATGTGGGATCAGAAGGCTACATTGACGGGAAGCGCGTATTCCTGGGGCTTCTTGTCATCACTCACGAGTGTCATTGGAAACTATGCTACGTTGTCTGTCAACCAGGTAAGTCCTGCCATGGTCTTTTGATTACTACCGAAAGGACTCTACATGGTCTTGAAATACTGACATAAGACTACAGTCTGACTTCTCCCGCTACTCACGCGTTTCCGTAAAATGGCAATGCATCTACGTCCCCTTTTTGCCCATAGTCTTCACCTTCATTGCCTTCATCGGAGTCGCCGCCACCTCAGCCGGCGCCGTCAAATACGGCACTGTGGAGTGGGATCCCATGGCCCTTATTTCGCACTGGGACAACCGTGCATGTCGCTTCTTCGCCGCTTTCTCCTTCGCCCTCGCCGCTCTCGGTGTCAACATCTCAGCAAACTCCCTTTCCGCAGCCAACGACCTGACAGCTCTTTTCCCCCGCTACATCAACATCCGTCGTGGCCAATTACTTTGCGCCGTACTCTGCTGGGCACTTGTTCCTTGGAAGATCCTCGCGTCGGCTGGTAGCTTCTTGAACTTCATGGCTGCGTATGCAATTTTCCTGGGACCGATTGCTGCGATTATGGTAGTGGACTTTTGGGTCGTACATCGTGGCAAGTACGACACTCTGGCGTTATATCAGTACCATGGTATCTACCGGTACACTAGCGGCTGCAATTGGCGCGCCATCGTTGCTTTTCTCGTTGGCGTTGCGCCGAACATGCCGGGTTTTATTCAGTCCATCAACCCCAACATTGACGCTGGCGTGGGCGCAAGGCCGTATAGTTTCGGTTGGTTGCTAGGCTTCACTGCGACGGCCCTAGTGTATGTACTTTTGGAGATGGTAGTTGCGCCACCAAAAGAGACGTTCATCGAGAGGGCGGTGTATCCGGATGAGATTTACGATGAAGCAGGTGTTGTGGATGAGGGCGTTAGTGTAGGCAGTGGAGAAGAGAACAGAACTGAGAAGACAGGATGGAAGGCTAAGATGAGTAGAATTTTGTAGATAGCAAAGCCTTGTGAAGGTCTGAGAGTTAGATGTGGCTAGTCCTCGTTGCATACGAGTGATATGAGAAACATGCCTTCAGGTAGATTCCCAATCGAACTGTCATTCATTTCGAATGGTAAGTGAGTCAGATTTGACTTTTACCATACAGAATATCATTATATGAGTAAAGAGGGTATACAACATCAAAGAGCGTACTTCGTCTCGTGTGTTCCAACGCCATACCAATGCATGCTTGAACCACGAGTGACAAGTTTACCGACGATAGCCAACACAGCCATCTCATCATATTCGCACATTCTCTCCTTACAAAGCAACGACAACTCCCATAAGCACGACACCAACGACAGCACCAATCTTCACCGTAGCCTTTTCACCAGCTCCTGTACTCGCATCGCCATTGGTACTCGCACTCGCAGCAGCAACTTGCAGTCCGTACGCAGTCGTGGTAGCCGCTGTTCCATTAATCGTCGTGGTAACAACACTCGTTGCCGTCGTCGAAGCTGAACATCCACTCCAGCTCGTCCATGGCGCAGAACTACTCCAGGGTCCAGCTGTCCAACCGGGCCAGTCTGATGGGGGGCATGCGCTGCCTCCCCACCATGCCGTCCAAGGGCCGTTGCGCCAGTCTGAACGAGTGGACCAGTCGCTGTATGGACCCCAGTTTGAGGAGCCCCACGGGCCGGGGCCGTCAGGACCTAGACAATGGATTAGCAACTGATCTTAGGTTTAGATTGACGAGGTATTTACCTCCCCAGTGTCCGGGTCCTCCAGGACCACCTGGGCCGTGCGGTCCTCCTGGTCCCCAGGGCCCTTGACCAGGACCATAACTGCCGGTCGGCCAAGGCGCCGCAGTGAGGGTCGATGGGATCTTGCCTTCGGAAAGAAGTGATTGGTAGATTGAAGACCATTTTGCCGGATCAGAAGAAGCCCATGGTGGACCGGAACCGTACCAAGGGTCGGTCGATGTAGGGGCAGGTGTTGTGCTCTGCGCAACGATAGGCGCGACAAGCGCTGTGATGGCGGTCAAGGTGAACTTCATTCTGTTGGAATCGGTACCCGAGGGTTTGCTTTTCGTGTCCAAGGTAATGTTTTTGTTATGTTGTGAGAGCGCGGTGGTAATCCAGAATATGTAGTGACTCGCTTTTGTGCAACGATACTAAGCCTTGTCACATCAAAGTCGCACCTGTCTTTCTAGCTCTGGAAAACGCTTCCACACGCGACACACCAATGTTCAAATACCCCAAGGCACGACATACGCGGCCCATGAGCTCATTGGATGCTGTCGTAGCTTACCATCCCCCTCCGTCGTAGAGAAAGCGTCCGGAGGGGGCCCGCGAGGCTCAGCTGAGGATAGTCCACCAACTCCACACGCCTACACAGGATCGCCAGACTAAGACGAGCTGCGAAGAAGCGTATGATCATCAGAGATGACAAGCAACAACGCTTACAGGGCTTACGCGTCTGAAAAGCGTATGCGTGTGTGGTCTCGGCAGTCTTGCAGGTACGCAAGCGTCATTGGCATGGTGGTGATGCAGGGTCAAACCCTCAGCCTTGTGGAGTACGCAAACAGGCAAACAAAGCTTGAAGAAATGACTAGATTGGCCGATGATGGATTGGGAAACATTCGATTGGATAATTGGGATATTGGAGGATGATCCTGTGGCTATAAACAGAAAGGGCGGCGTGAGACATGCGTGCGACGTGCTTCTTCGGAGAATGAGGTGGGGAGAAAACGCGGAGAAAGGTGCTATGGTATCACCGGGCGTGCATATATCGGTTGTTGGCAATGCCTGCTTCGCAGCATCATGAGAGCTTTGTAAGGCAACTGTCTTACAGATTGTTGGTGTCGCTGGTTTTTATGAGTTGCGTATCTGATAATGTAGTGTACGATTGGAAATCGAGGTTGAGGGAGGACCATACTCAGACGTACGTTGTAGGAAGCTCGGCCGTCGATCGTCGGCATAAACGGAGACGCGAGCACCGATGCGATGCTTACCCTGACAACACCATCACTACTCGATTACACATAAGTACAAGTCGTGTGCGATGGTATACGCGTCCTGTTGATTCTAGAAGTGAGTGCGTCGTAGTCGCGCTGACTCAGGATCCGCCAAGTGCAAACTTGCATGTTACATGCCGGGCATCACATAACGATCCACGCAATTCCTTCATCTCGCTACAATCTACTGCGCTGATACAAAGTAGATATTGGAAGACATGTCGGTATTCGATGAACCTGAGCGCGACAATGTACCGAACTGCACATGCACGGCTACTTTCTTCTTGAGCAAAGTCGTCTTTGTCGCATGTAACGAATATTGCTCGCGTACCGTATGAGCGCAAGGCTTCTGCATACGTGGCCTTGCGGACATTTCCAGTAAATCGCTACTTCACATTGCAGTAATCCTGATCTGTTGTCGCGGTTCACATGTCTCTAAAGAGCACACTTTTTACAAGTCAGGGCACGGACAATATGTGTTCCATGATCGTATTGGTATATTCTTCGGACCAAGCTTTGCACGTCCACTTAGTTCACGTCGGGTAACCGCACAGCGATGTCACCCGATTGTGTAATGTATCGTACCCACGGCAGCGATGGGTATTGCAGCTGAATGCATGTCAGTGATCGTGCTTTTGGTTGCAAAATGGCTTACACTCACCTTAGGCTCAATGATCTTGAGATACCGCACTTGGATACCTGACGTGGTAAAGTACGGAATCTCGAACTTGACGTTGATGGGTCTCTTCGCCTTTCCGCCACCAACACCACCCATGCTGCCTCCGAAGCCTCCCATCATACCACCGCCCTTCTCGTCGTCACCACGTACTGATGGCAGACCAAGCTCGGCGCGCATGAGGAATTCCTTGCCGCCACCAAACTGTTTGATCTTCCATACTATGGATGAGGTCTCAGGCGCATAGTGCACGGTACCGATATTTGTTCGGAAGCGAGGTGTGTCTGCGTCCTCGGGGACGGGTATCGAGATCTGCACGTTGTTCGCGGTGCTTCGTCGCTTAAACTGGGCTCGTGCCTACAAAATGTCAGCCTACTAAATGCCGAATTCCAGCTGTTGGCCTACCTTCAACATGTACTCGATCCTGCTGCCTGAATGACTCTCCACTATACACTCTACCCAGATGAGGGGCTTGACTTGTGTGTTGAGTCGGTAGCTCATAAGCTCGAACTCGCCATCTGGCGGGATGAAGCTGATTGTCCGGTCGTTCTCGAATCTCGATAATCGCACACATTGGTGGAACTTGACATCCTCCATTTCAACGGCCTTTCCTCGTGTAGCCCTACCGGTGGTCTCGAACATGGCTTTGTCGTTCAGACCTAGTCGCAGCTCAGGCATACCAGATAGGTAGCACTTCATCTTAACAGCACCCAGAATCTCGGATCGTAGCACGCTGCCGGTCGCGGAGACGAGAAGGTTGAGTGATTCGATGACGTCGAGGAAGACTTCGTTTTTGCGGTATCGAATACCTTCGCTTCGCCAGCTGACGGCATTTGTGACTGCAATAGGTGGCCGTGCGATCTCGAGCTTGTGCGACTCTTGTGTAATGTATCTGCGCACACATGGTGTTAGTTGAAATCCATGCGAGGGATTGGAAACAGAGCATACTCTTGTAAAATCTTAGTCTCAGTGGTTTGTGGGTAGCCAAAGTCCATCATCTCATCGAGCAACTCGTAGATGACGACAAAGTTGTCTCTTATACTCTCTTCCTCAAGCTCCTTGAAGTATTCAGTGAAGACCTCGACGATCTTGTGGAGGAACAGGAGAATCTCGGCAGCATTGGTGTTTCGTTTGGTAAGGGCGAGGAGGTAGAGGTTGTTGTGGCGGATGTAGAGGTAGTTGATGCCTTCGCTGGAGAAGCATGGTGGGACTGCCGAGCTCTCGTCTTCGGCCTCGCTCAGCAGAATGGGGAATTTCTCGACGGCTGACATGGGGATGTCTCCCCGGTAGTTGCGCGCCAGAAGGGTCTAAGCAATAGTCAGTATGTAGCCTCTTCAGCGACTTGACCGCCATACCTTGCCCTTCAGGTCTAGAAAGAAGACCGCCGACGCCATTATGAGGGATTGTGGGTGCTGTAAAGGGTACAAGAAGAGTAATCAGCTATCGGGTCATGGTGCGCAAGGAAAAGGCGATCGAGGGGTATACGTGCTATGTCCTTGTCGCGTCTCGGTGATGCCAGAGTAATCGCGGCTCTTCCCGCCCCGCCAAGACCCTCCCGCCCACTAGGTCTTTCCGCTGCCCAACACCACCTTCATTCCTATGCAACTTCTACGAATCCATTCAACCACTAGTCTTCTACAATAATCACCTATACAGCACGTCGTCGAGGACCACATGGGCGACTTCCGTATCATCCGTGGGCAATTGGTGTTCTGCTGGATTTTGACCTTGACCAGGAGCTTCACGCCATCAAGACAGGCATTCATAAGTAACATCATGGAATTCAAGAACCATTTTCCGACTTCTTGGAGCTGCAATGAGTCGGCCCGAAGATATCTGTCACCCAGTTTTCAACAAAGACAGAGAGCCCGAACGAGATGGAGTCCACGATCTTTGACAGTGAGCTCAGTTTGGACGATTTACTGACTGTTTCATGTCTTCACCTACTGTTATGAATATCATTGATTCCGAATTCACGCAGCTCAGGAGGTTAGCTATACGTGTCTATACTGTCGAACCGAGCTATTTCCTAAGCCCCGATATCTTCCCAAGTGAATCGACGGCGCACGCAACTATGAAGAAAAGATATATCGTCCTGAGTCGCTTATGCTCTGGAGAGCTTGTATTGAGAAGTCTACGTGTTGGCTCCAGGCAGAATTGGCGTTGCAGTTGTTGTATCAATCAGAGACGCGTGGCTCAGTACTGGCTGTGAATTAAGTCAACATATTGTTTCCTCTTGGATGGGCCCACTAAGCCTTTCTACTAGCTAGTCACCTATATGCTTGATTCAGACGGCAATTCAATATTCTGAAGCGCAACAGGCACCAATCGCGTGCGGGGTGCAAACGGGCTGCCCCACTCACTCCCGAGGTCGCTTCTATACTTGCAGTGTAGCAAACGCTGTGACACTGGTCAACCTTCATTTCTGAACTTTTCAACTCCATTCCACTCTCCGAACAACTGATAGCGTTACGTCGCAAACCAATCTTGCGAGTACGCAATCATGGCGTCTGAATCAGATGATTCGGTGCCACTGATAAGCCATGCGCCGGCAAGTGCAGCAGGTACGTTATAAGAAGGAGCTCGTTTTCTCCAAGTTGTTCTCCTCTGGAACTGCGCTGTCGAGAGCGCCCTGAGGCTATTCGCTGTACTCCCCGTTGCTATAGTTGCACAATCTTACAAGTGCATGACTTGGAAGCACCATTTCGAGCATAAGGGAACAACTCGATGTGCCCTTGTCCCAAAAGACGCATTACCTAGTGCACCCTAGGTTTCCAATTTCTCGGCGTTTCGCTAACGATCGCAGTATATCGAGACGTTTGTTCACGGATCCGTAGCCTGCGAGACTTGCGCAAGTTCGGGCAGGGTCAAAAGAGCTCAGAGAGCGCATTTCCTCAAGGGCCTGTAGAACTTCGCAAGCTTGAACAACAACATTTTCCGAGTCCGCTTCATGCTTCTCGTCTCGCAAGCATGAGTGATGTGGAGACTGATAAAGAAGCAGAAGCTGCACGAATATGGCTATTGGGTATGCTGGAATCTCAGAACAGGTTCATGAGCCGTCAGCACGAGCTAGGGATGTTCAGACGCGCTATAGAAAAGCAGTTGAAAGGCCGGCAAGAGGAGTGGTCTGATCTGGAACGCCTCTACATGGCACTTACAGACCGTGATTTTGCGTCACCATTGGAGCGATTGCGTGCAGCATTCATGGTCGTGTTCCACCTCAACTATGTTGAACGTCAAGGAGATGTCATTGGAGCAGGCGCGAAACTGACCGAGCGTCTTCAGCATGCATCTGGCATGGATGCTGAATTGTTTGAGACGCGCGAGGGTATCTTTGAGAGGACTCAGTTCATGGAAGTCGACCATTTTGCATGCGCCATTCCCCTTTCTCTACTTACCAGAACGGCTGACAACACTTCCATTGTCGACGATAACGCTGGCTGCTGTCCAATCTGCCAAACCTCATACACTTCCCTTGCAGATCGCCCAATCGAAGAGCTGCTAACCGACTATCCTGTACGAATCAAGCACTGTGGCCACATTGTTGGCAAAGCTTGTCTCGAGCAGTGGATGAGAACACCAAAGATTGAAGAGGCGAAATACCCATATCGCACGTGTCCGCATTGCCGTATCAAAATCGAAGGCGTGAAACCGCCTCCGGTGCCTGAGGGATTGTTGGATCATCTGAAGACCAACCGACGAGCCATGGAAACAGGAAGAGAACTAATGTACGGGTATGATATGAATCCCGAGGAGCGTCTCAGCGCTGTCACCGCTTGTATGAGCGAAGAGATCTCCTGCATACAGCTGTTATCCAAGCTCGAGTGGACAGAGGACCAAAGGAAGGACAAGCGTATCTTAGAAGACAAGCTGGCGGGCCTGAGGAATGAGAGGTGGGCTTGGGGTTTCAGAGGAGACAATATCTGGGCCAAGCTGAGAGCGGAGTGGATGGACAGCGGTGTCATCCGGAAGGGCTGAGGAGAACCATGATAGCGCGTCTGCACGTCGCCGAGCGTTCTTCGTTCCTTCGCTCCTGCTTACACTAACGTTCAGCGGAAGACATCAGTATGGACTCGGACGAAAATATAAGGATTTCGTGGGTGTCACGAAAGGGCCGAACTAGCTGCCCGTATTTGCTAGCTCTTAGCTTTTGAGGCAGTGCAAGTTGATGAGGCATTTTCTATCAACACATCTCAGCCTTTTCAAGCATCTATCAGGTTTCACGAGGAAGCCCGCTCGACTGCCAAGCATTGATAGATCGACGTACCAAATGTTAAAAACAACGCATCACGAGGGCGGACTTCCCCGCCTGCTCGAATATCGTGCATGGATCCGGGGCTGTCAAGCGTAGCTTGGTTGAAAACGGAGGTCTCGTGAAGACGCAACAACAAACCAGTTTACAGGTACACAATTGCTTGTTCATATAAAACTTCTGGGCCGAACGCGTTCTACATGCAGGTCACGACGTCACGTGCCCCACCATGACCCTTCTTTTCTCCACGCTCCCCACGCTCTAGACTGCTCAACAGTTGCACGTTTGCGCATCACAATGATCTAGGCAATTGAGGCTGAGTGCATAAACCAATAAAATGTGGCGCGGGCGGTCCCTTGATTGGTTTCAGTTCATGCACGTCGAGAGGGCAGATGACGTAGTGGCTGTGATGGTCGCGTGTGCCGCCGCTTATGGCCACCTTAGGTGTTGCTGGGCATTGCTTGGCCTATGACGAGGTACAATTGATGTAAAAACAAACACGGGGCACTCAACTATCATTACCACATCCCACGCGGAAATCCATTCATTCAAGAAAAATAACTAACAATGAGCGTTAACATTATCGACGTTGGTGTCAGCAGGGTGCGTGGTGTGTCCCTTGCATACTCCCGCCTTCTAGATGCCGCTTGTCCCGAGCAGCGACCGAGACTCTCCGCTAACATCTTCCTTCCCCACAGATTCTGGGGGCGCGAGAAGACCAAGAAGATCGGTACATTACCCTCACACCAGGTTCAATCAAGTCACGGAAAGATCTCGCTCTCTTTGCCGTGTACGATGGCCAGTAAGTGCTGCCGCGTACCACGAGGTAATGACTTCAGACTAACTTTGGGATCACAGTGGCGGTACAGCGACTGTTAACCACGTTGCGGAGCATCTCCATACACATCTCGAACACCATCTTAGCAACCCCAAGGCATCAAATACAGCCGAGTACAAACATGCCATTCAGCTGGCCCTCAAAGCCGTAGATCGCGAACTCGACCGCGACAACCTCGACGGAGGCTCAACCGTCTCTCTTGTTCTCGTCGACACGAAGCAAAACTTGCTCATACAAGCCAATCTAGGCGACAGCCATGTCTTCTTCGCAGATCACGAACCACAATCTCCACAATCCTTATCGCCGCAATCCCCCTCACGGGCTGACTCCGGCACAAGTTCTTTGGGGTGGAACGTGGAGGCTCTAAGCGTGGAGCATGCGCCAGACAGCCCATTGGAGAAGAGAAGGATAGAAGACGCAGGTGGCGAGATCAACTACCGATCCGGTATCGCACGCATCGGCGGCGTGAGCATGTCGCGCGCTCTGGGAGATTTGGATTACAAGAAGCCTCGCGTCAACCGTCTAGCAGGTCACGACCTTTCAGATCTGGCTGGCGTAGAAACAGGTCTTGCTCCAGGAAGGACTGCAATACACGATCTCGTATCGAACAAAGCGCATTTCACCGTTCGCACTCTCCATGGTCAGTCTCTTATACTGCTCGCTTCAGACGGCGTTGGTTCAGCGAAAGAGGCAGAGGAATGCACACGGCTAGCAGTCGACGGATGGCAGTCTGGGAAGGAGGCCAAGCAGATTGCTGACGAGCTGACTTCAAGGGAGGGCAACATGAAGGGTGCAGACAACTGTACCGTTCTCGTGGTCGTGCTGGATACAGAGAGCAAAGGACGCAGGAGTATAGATGGCGGAAGGAGGAGCATGGATGTCGGCGTGGAGGGCAGCGGATCAAGAAGAAGGAGACGATCAAGTATTGCCAGTCTGAAGGACTGGATACGAGACCGCTAGGTGTTCGGCATGATCCTGAAACTTCGCGCAGGAACTGGAAAAATCTTCAATTCGCTTAAAAGAAGCTCGAGTACCTAGGCCCGATTGGCCTGATATCATGTAGCAAAGGCGTTCTGGCTAAAATATAGCGGGCTCCATATCGTTCGATCACTATGACACCAGAATATCAATACCATCAGTAGTACGCTGAGCATTGAGCAGCAGTACACGATCTTGAAACGCCGCAAATAATCATCCAAGTTGCTTCCAATACCATCCGCCCATGTTGACCAGTTACACTCTCCGTTTACCAGAATATCACAATATAGAACCTGCCGTCCGCCATGCCGTTGCATTGCTTCCCCGACCTCATCGCTGTTCGCATCACACTTCCTCCTGGTCCCAGCCTCCCCAAAAAGAGCCTCCAACGAAACCTCAGCTTTATCCTTCCTTTCATATTTACTATGCTCAAGAGCTTCGTATGCTTCTACAAGACGGTTGCTGCTTTTGCTGCGTTGGAAGTGGCACCAAGAGGTAAAGTTTGTTGTCTCGATCATAGCTCGCAGTATTATGGGTAAACGAAGTGTAGGGTTGAGGTCCTGACGTAGCAGTAGATACAGCTGTCAATGGTACGAGTGGTGAAGCAAGGCCTGACCGCACGAACAGCATTGTGTTGACACTCTCGATCCACAGCGAAGCCTACCCTTGCAGCTCTCGCCCTCATACGAGAAAGCGCCTTCACAAAAAACCTTTCTCTTTCACTTTTCCATATAATCCTCTCTCCGTTACTTCCTAAGCCACACACTATCTGTTTCTACTCTAGGATGGCAAAGGACCAAGACTATGAGGCAGCCGTCGAGAAGGGCACTAAGCTGTTGCAAATGTTGATTAAGAAGACCAAAAAGTCCACTGAAAGCGCATTCAAGCACACGAAAGAACTAGCCCAGCATGGCTATTACCTGGAGACCAACCAGACTAGCTTCGAAATCGAATATACTGCCAAAGCGCTTCGCGACCTGAACGTCAACCACAAGATGATGTACGATGGAGGAGAGAACGTCAGGACACATCATCAATATGGAGTTTATACAGCAGAAACAGATGGGTACACAGTACCTCAGACAATACGTGGATACTTCTCTCAAGTCAGCAACCCGAGCGCTGGCGTTCTCATTGCGGATACCAATCTTTCACCGTCCCATGCAACAGCTTTCGACGGTGCTGAAGACGAGGAAGATATTGATCTACCGTTACTGCGCCACTCGTCAGACGTAGCTTTCCTGCAATACCTCTCCTCTTTTCACTCTCCACTTGTCCAGCCCATCTCGCTTAACTATATCTTCCGCATTCAGATTCAGAACTCCGGGACGTTCTTAGTGCTCAATAAAATTATCATGATGCATGGTCGTAGCATGTACGAACTTTGGCCCGGTATTACAATCGATATACAAAGTGAAGAAGGAAAGGCTATCCTCGGAACTCCACATGGGAGTGGCGTTGCATGGATGCTCATCCAACACAGCATAGCATAAAGAGAGAGGATGATTAAAAAGGTAACGATCTTCTATGCTCCAAAGAAGGATGATTTGTTTAGATGGCCAAGCTTGCTATTTTAGATCGTGTATAGTTGGGGTCAGGTAAGGATAGGTAGTGCGCCTTCAATCCCCTTCTACTGAGCTGCCTAGGTTGGAGTTTAAATGGTGCGGTACTATGCTTTTGTTATTCTCACTTGACGGCCAAATTCGCGTGGTTGCCGATGTTGATGAAGAGGGACAAATGAAGGACGCTTTGTTGTTCCGCCTAATGAACTCTGGCGAGGCTTGCTGGTGGCAGGGGACCGAAGCGAGACGCACCCCGCAAAATCCCGCGTCACCCTTACAGTAGTGGGAGAGCTTCACACCTCTTTTCTCTTCGAAACTTGCCTCTTCGTGCATTTTTCACATCTAGATATTTACAACTTACTTGCTGCTATAATCAAATGAAAGTTTCTATGTCTCCAGCAAGCAATGCATGGTGACACCAATTTCAACGGCGCGAGCTGCGCACCACCCTCAATCTAAATGCATACACGGGATGGCTATGACGCCCTAACGTTCCCTAGCTGCGGAGCTGAGCTGTATGCCTCGGCCCCGCGTAGTAAAAAGCATACTTGTTTGGACAAAATCCTCATGGATGCTGCAGCGTAATGCACGCCAAGCTCGACATGGCTTGCAACGAAAGTGACTACCATTTTGACCTCGGGCTCGCGCCTACTAGCCATCAAGTTAAGTATAAAGAGCATGGGAGGCTGATTTGTGGTAGTAGTAGGGACTTCATAACATCAGCATGTTTTTGTCTTCTGCGTCCAGCCTCGTTGGCCTCGTGCTTATTTCTCTTAGTCCAACTGCAACTTGGGCAGACTATACCTCCGACAGTGAGGTACCATCAGCGACTATCGATACCGGAGTGATAATCGGAAAATCTACCTCACTGCCATACGCACTTGGGCCAGTGCATCAATATCTTGGTGTCCCATTTGCATCACCACCTGAAAGGTTCTCTCCACCACAAGCTGCCGTACCTTTTCAAGAACCGGTCAACGCCACAGAATTCAAGCCAGCATGTATCCAACAGTTTCGATGTATGGGAGATTGATGCAACTTACTGAGATACGCTAATATCCTTAGACCCTTTATCGAGCTCACAGTTCACACAAGCTGTCTTCAACAACCCACCACCTGAGGAATCGGAGGATTGCCTATACCTCAATGTCTATGCCCCAGCGACTCCGCGAGGTGGTACTGGGCGAGCTGTGATGTTTTGGATTTATGGCGGCTCACTCCAATTTGGTAATGCTGGTCAAGATACATACGATGGAAGCAGTTTTGCTGCCTATGAAGATGTCATCGTAGTGACAACTAACTACAGAACGAATGGTAAGATGCTACCAAAGCTTTGAAAACGCCTTCTCCCCTTTCTAACAACATACAGTGTTCGGCTTTCCTGCTTCACCGGAACTGCCATTAGCGGCACGCAATCTCGGCTTTCTAGACCAACGTTTTGCTCTCGACTGGGTTCAGCGGAACATCCACGCTTTCGGTGGCGATGCTTCCAAAGTGACCATTTTTGGAGAAAGTGCGGGTGCTTTCTCGATTGATGCTTTACTGACCAGCTTTCCGAAGGGTGGTTCGCCGCCGTTCCGGGCTGCCATTCTCCAGAGTGGGCAATATAGCTATCGCGTGGCTCCTCAAACCTCAAGCATACCTGCTTGGAATAATCTGACAGCGACACTCGGGTGCCCGGGTACATATGGAAGCAACTTGACTTGTGTACGGGCCGCGAATGCAACGACTGTTCGCAACATCATCAATCAGAACTCTCTCGTGTTTAATCCAGTTGCTGATAACACCACGTTGGTATCAAATCCAGCAGCACGTCGCCTGAGTGGAGATATTGCACACATACCAGTATTGGGAGGCACGAATGCACAGGAAGGACGCGTCTTCCAAGTTGGACAAACAAATCTTACTGCCTACCTCCAGGCGACCTTTGGAATCCTCGCCCCAGCACTCATTCCTGAGATTGAAGCTGCATACCCAATTGGAAGTAATGGCCTTACCAACGACTATGATGTGATCTCACAGATCTCTACTGAGATCACATTCCAGTGTCCACAAGCACTATGGGCTAACGCGACAGCCTCCGTTGGCATTCCTGCCTGGCGCTATTACTATAACGCTTCTTTTATCAATACGCAAGCCTACCCACAGCTCGGCGCATACCACGCTTCTGAGATCCCTCTTGTGTTCCGTACGTACGAACGCGCAAATACAACGACGCAGGAATACGCTCTCGCACAGTTCATGCAGAGCACCTGGGCCAGATTCGCGAAGAACCCGTACGCTGGGCCAGGATGGAATGCGATCGGTACTGGAGCTGAGGGTAGTGTTCTGGTCGGCGCCTATGATCTCGTCATGGGTGGACTATACCAAGACCAGAATGCTACTGTGATAGAAGGGGATTGGAGTTTGGGTGTCCTTGGCGACGTTGGGAATGTACGAGGAAGTGGTGTTACTGTGTTGCCACAGTCTGGTCTCGATTACAGATGCAGCCTCTTCAGGCCAATCTTTGAGGCTATTGTAGGTGCACAAGGCATACCTAATCTCTAAGAAAGAGCCTGTACCTTGAGTCTAACGAAACATGCAAGCCAACCAGACGCCTGTATTTGACCACCTATCGTCCAGTACTGACTTGCCCGACATCTACTCCACTTCGATCTGCCTCATCGCCCTCGTGTACGCTCTTCTCTATACTATCAATCAAACTTTCGCTTCCTGTCTTTTGTCCCACACTGCTGCTCCCCTCGTACTCTTGCTTAGTGTTCTGCGTCACGTCTTCTCCGCGGCGTTGCTCCGAAGTGCCTGAGGCGTTTTGCTGGCCTGGTGCAGACTACGATTGTAAGTATCCTGTTGATAGAATATTGTTCTTCATGCGGGACATACGTGATAAGAGATGGCATAATGGGTGGAAAGCTTACCTTATCCGCTGAAACGCTCAAGCCAGCAGGGTCTGTTGACCCACCCGTCTTGAATGGAACGCTTGAATCACCTTTGAAAGTTCCGGCAGTGTCTTCACCAGAGTTGACTGGGTTTCGAGGTTGAGTGTTGGAAGATTCTTGGCCTGTCAAGGAAGACATGATGGTGGTCTTCTAAATGAGGTTCGTAAAAAAGGGTGTATCATGCAATATAGCTCTCTAACAAACGAATTCGTGAATCTAATCCAGGGTCGAAGCGTTGGATATTCGACTGACTGTGGTAGTTGGGCGAGAAGTAATTTCGTAGGATAGGGCACCTGGTGATCATGGGGTGGATTCGACGTCATCGTGACTCAAGATGGGGATGTTGGTGTCCATAGTGGCGACAGGGTCTCTAGTTTCAACACGAAACCTACGCGTGTAGGTCAGCAATCTAGCGAAACTGCTTTCTGCCGTGCACCATGCCATGACTCGATAACCACGCTACTGCAGGGCTTGGGTATGCGTAGATATGCACTTTGAGACTGCTGGGGAAATAATTGTGTTCCATGCGGAGGAGGCTTCCTTCAATTAAATATTCTATACAGTCTAACATTTCTATAGCTTGCTCTTGCCGATGCCCCATACCTCAGCCTGAGGGTTGTTCGACTTCTTGTTTATCGAAGCGCCTTCAGCGACAGGCTTCTCTCCGTCCTCAATGAAGAGCGTTTGGTTCTGCTTCATTGTCTCGACAGCTTCTCGTTCGATACGGTTGAGGAGCTCTTCGTTGGTGGGGATGTCGTGGATAAGGCCGATTACTTGGCCAGCGGTCCATACCTAGGTTTATCAGTTAGCCAAACTTTGGAGGAGAATTGTAGCACTTACACCAAAGTCCTTGTCTCCGTTCAGGAATACTTGACGTCCTCGCTTTCCGCTTACAAACTCAGCGACCTCCTCGAACTTGCCGGTTGTGCTGGTCTTCTCGACGTCGACGGCTTGGAGCGCGACCTTGTTTGCGAAAAGTCGCGATGTGTTCTTCCAACGCCGAAGGACAAGAGCGGTGTCAGTTTCTTGTGCGTCGACGATGGCCTGCTTGATGTTGTGGTGGATGGGTGCTTCGACAGTGCACATGAAGCGCGTACCCATGTTGATACCACAGGCACCGAGAGCCAGCGCGGCGGCCAAACCCTGACCGTCTGCGAAACCTCCCGACGCGATGAATGGAATACCACCCAGCGACTGCCTGGCTCTGCTGAGCAGGATGAAGTTGGTAATGTCTGTCTCGCCAACATGTCCAGCGCATTCGAAGCCGTCAATGGACAGGAAGTCAACGCCAAGCTTGACCGCAGACTGTGCGTGTCTGATGGTAGTGCACTTGTGCAGGATGATAGTGCCAGCAGCCTTGAGCTGCTTGATGACTGGTCCAGGGCTGTTTCCCGCCGTCTCAACAATGTTGATCTTCTCCTCGATGATAACGCGGGCGTAGGCGGCATAGTCCGGAGGCACCATGGCAGGGAGGAGGGTCAGGTTTACGCCAAAAGGCTTGTTGGTCATCGTTCTGCATCGTCGGATCTCTTTGCGCAGGTCTTCGGGTGTGGGTTGGGTGAGAGCGGTAAGCTATGCTATCGTGAGACTGTGTTCGAATGGGTAATGAGGTGGCAGACGTACTATGCCCAGTCCTCCAGCGTTGCTGACAGCGGAAGCAAGCTCAGCGTATCCGACCCATTGCATACCACCCTGAACAACGGGCACTATCTAAGTGTCAGCTACTCGCTCTCCATGTTGCGCCAGTCGAGTTACCTCTGATGCCGAGGGCCCTGGTGAGCTCAGTGTTGAAAGGCATCTTGACTATAGTCTATGGGAAAACGGCTATCTAGAGGTGAATGTACGAGTGAGAGCTACGCCTAGAACTCGAGATGAGAATATATCTGACACTCGGACGCGCGACGTTGCGGCCGTTCGCGCCGGCTGGGGCATGTTATTCGTGTGGGGAAGCCATGTGCCTCGGTAACTCCAGAGCCGCGACACCAAACACAGCTGCGCGTCGGTCGGCTGATTAGTCTTGCACAGACCCTTTCGCCGAATGATTCGGTGTCGCCGAGTCGCTCGTGATTGTCTGCGACAATGTTGATGTACGCGGAGCTGTTCGTCTGTCATGCAAAGGCGACGAGGGGGAAGCTTGGTACCGCAACGGGACTTGCCGTTCCCCAGCCATTTTCACATGTGTCTTGGCAGTCAACGGTTACTTCAACACCACTGTCCACCCATCTGTCCACGCATTCTTTCGTCAGAGGAAAAACATCAGCACATGGATCGTGACTCATTCGTGTATGTTTTGAATGCATCATCGGGTATCGCAGAAGCCCCTACTTCGTATTTTCACCAAGGAAAGAGTACATCGCAGTCCGTCAGTTTGTTCATTCATATTTGGCGACTGCTATCGTTTGCAATAGATTGAATTCTAGCTGACGAGCATTGCTAAATCGCGACGACTCTAAGCATGATGTCGACAATGAAACGATCATTCTCAAGAGCAGCGAGGTGTGAAGCTTCAATCATCTTGCATCGCTTCACGACGTACATCACGTCACCATGTTCCCAACCACTGTCGAGCCTCAGTCCAAGCTATCATCGACATGTTCAAGCCACTTCGCGCTCATGGTAGGCTTTTTTCTTGACAGTAGCGACATGCCAGTGCGTATTAAGCCTGCAGATTTAACGGGATACCCATCACGCAATACGATCGGCTGTTACACCTACTGGCCTGTGCAGGATAGCACAGTACAAGCTATCGTTTTCTTCCGAGTATCCTGAGATGGTGAGCAAGTGATAAAAGAGCAGAGAAAATGGACGAGTTTATGGGTACTTGGTCTGCTTCCAGACCATGTGGTTCCTGGTTAAGACTATTGGAAATCTTCTAGCACATCTTCCAACGAGCCTATGGGAGCTAAGCACCGCCGTCCATATGGCGGCGTTAGGTACGACTTGTACATTCTCCATCCAGAGCTTGCTCAGTGACAGTATCGTACCGAACGCATCATGATCGATATTCAGCTTTCCTCCAGAGGGGTGAGCTCGAGAAGAGTACATGATAGGGTTGTTGATCCCGATAATTAGGCAAGCCTAAGCTTGGCAATGACGTAACGAGCCAATGACATATCTTGCGATCCACTGCATGCACACAACTCGCTACGGAGGTTTTGGGAGGCCTACTTTCTCGGGGTCTCCACATACCCCAGATATATAGACCGTGATGCCGCGCCAGGGGCACCCGAGTTGAGTTTCATGTTCCGGTCCCTATGACGCATCATGTTTTGGTTATCTATTCTCGCTGCTCTAGCCATTCGCGCTGACTGCGCATCCGAGACATACGATTATGTTATAGTTGGGGGAGGTCCAGCAGGCCTGCTTGTGGCAAACAGACTATCCGCCGACCCCGATGTTACTGTTGCAGTCATTGAAGCTGGAGATTCCGCATACAACAATCCAAACGTCTCCTACGTGCCAAAGTCGATTTTAGAGTATGGCCTTTTCATAGGTACATCCATTGACTGGAAGTATATGACTGCGCCTCAAAAATATGCTGGGAACAACAGCTTGAATTACTGGGCAGGGAAGGCGTTGGGAGGTAGCACTACGATCAATGGAATGACATATCTGCGCGCCGAGAAGGACCAGATTGATGCGTGGGAAGAACTGGGAAACGAGGGTTGGAACTGGGATGGTATGCTGGAGTATTTCTTGAAGCAAGAGGGATTTGAAGAGCCAAGTGAGGCATTAAAGAAGAAAGGCGCGATCTACAAAGATGATGCACATGGAAAAGATGGAGAGCTTGCCGTGGGCTTCACCCCTTACCTCATTGGCCAAGGATTCGTCGATATACTTAAAGAGACTTCTGAAGCCCTCGGTTATCCTTACAACACGGATGCAAATGACGGTAACATGCGTGGTTTCAACACCTGGCCTATGACGCTGAACAGTACCGGACCAATAAGGGCAGATGGAGCAAGGTCTTTCTACTTTCCTATCGCATCACGGCCTAATCTCCAAGTCTTTTTCAACACCACAGCCGCACGCATCATCTGGGATGAAGAACAGTCAGCGACGTCTGAAATGGTTGCTTCAGGTGTTGAGGTGATTGATGCTAAAATCGTCACCCATACCATTAGCGCTTCGAAGGAAGTCGTTGTTGCAGCTGGTTCGATTAGATCACCAGCATTTCTTGAACACTCTGGCGTTGGTAACCCTGCCGTACTTGATCCGCTCGGTATTAAGATAGTCAACCCACTTCACTCCGTTGGATCGAATCTGCCAGATCAACCACAGAATGGGATAGTGTATAACTCGTCCACAAACTGGACAGGTTACCCTACCTTCGTTACGTACCCAACAGCTTCCGATCTGTTCGGAGACGAACTACCAGCTCTCGTGGATGAAATCCGGGCCAATCTCAGTGCATATGCAGAAGCAATCGTCGCAGACTACGCGCCCAACACCATCTCCGTCGAGACCCAGAAACAGCTCTTAGAGCACCAAGTAGACTTGGTATTTGATCCAGCAAGCACGGTTCCGTTAGCAGAGATCCTATGGGCCCCAACAGACCACCAGATTATCGCACAGCTCTGGAATCTCATACCACTTTCTCGAGGCTCAATACACATCCAATCAACAGATGCAAACTCGCCGCCAAGTATCGATCCAAATTTTCTGCAGTTGCCCATCGACATGTATGTGCAAGCTGCTGCTGCGATCAGTATACGCAAACATTTCGCAACCTTACCGCTCGCGGAGCACACTATAGGTGAAATCTCGCCCGGTTTCCAAGCAGTACCTGAGCATGCAAGCTGGAGGGATGCAGCATGGGATACTTGGATCAAGAAGTCTTTGGGTGGTAATTCGCATCCTGTGAGTACTTGCGCAATGTTGAGCAAGAACTTGGGTGGTGTCGTAGATACGGAAGGCAAAGTCTACGGAACGCACAATGTCAGGGTTGTCGATGCCAGTGTCTTTCCGACGCAAATTTCGGGACACCTCAGTGCCAGCGTTTACGCCATTGCTGGAAAGCTCGCCGATACGATTATCAGGGCGCAGTCAGGTAGATAGAGAACGACTTCCATAAAAGCAATGTATCTTTACAGCGCCTGCATATTCCAGGTACCAGGCGTTATCCGCACGCGATCGAGTGTGCTGCTGCGCCCTACATTTCTATCTCGGGCAGCCGTGCCGTAGTACTGTCCACCGTAGGCAAGGGTTGTGCTGAAGGAGTACTTTTACCAAAAAACGGGCCTACTAGACACACCTCTGATTCTCGCTTTCTGTTACGTGGCTTCACTCTCCGAGCTGCTCACCACCCAAAGTCCAAGCAACTAGCTTTTTCAGTACATTCAACACGCAATCGTTGACTGAATTCCAAGTTGAGCGTTTACTACCACTGACTGATCGGCAAGTTTCGAGAAATGAGCCCGAATAGGCAATCCGAACAGATGACGCTAATTGCACTAAGTAACAAGCGGCTAGTATACTCAAGGACTCAGCCGCATTGGCATGGTGATCTACAGTGCTTTGAGCTTGATAGTGCTTGGTTATGCCCGCGTGCTTATGTGCCTGAGAGGCTGAGTCTCGAGAAATGGGCTCTTTTGGGCTACAGTCAGGGCCTCGAGCAACGCACGATGCACCTCGCTGCGGCTCATCCCGTATCGAGCGTGAGGCTCTGAATACTTATAGTCTTTGCTAGACTCTTGAACGGACAGCAGTAACCACGCCATGCAGTCTCAATATAATAATACCATGATGCCATGGGATCCTCCTTCTTACCAAAGCCATTCTTTCGAGAGGCCACACCAAGCACTCGCAGTATACGAAGCCGCATCGCCGCCGAACATTGTATCCCGATCCGACAACGAACTTTTACATCTAGCAACAGATTGGATTCCTGGGTCATCAAGCACAGTTCAGCCAAGAACTCAAGCCCTCCAAGTGAGCCATTATGTCAACAGCAATGGCGAACGCAACTTACGGAATCGTGCAGAAACCCGTCGTGATACCGAGGCTCGATGTAAGCGGTTTACTGGGAACGCCGTTCCCATTCATACGAGCGTACAGTTCTGATCTTCTTTCCTTCAACATTCATGAAAAGGATTTTGTCGCATTCCTCGATAATCTCAGTATCGCTCAGGCCCCACCAGTTCCGCTCCAGGCGTTGGATACAGCAAGCCATGTCGTAGGCATTGTGTATGTTGATATCTCTTTCGAATCCTAGACATAATCTTACAGAACTGTTAGACCGCACCATTGGGCAATGATTGCTGGTACCAGCATGAACATGGTAGCCGGAATTGGAACAGCTGCAACGACGAGAACGCAAACCAGCCGGTTTTTGGAGACAGCAAATCGAGAATACTTTGCGCCTCGCGGGCTGAAAGTTTCGACTTACAAGGAAAGACAATTGGCAGAGAGGCTTCATTATGATCTAAACATGCCTCCACTGGCGTGAGTACAAACCTGCCGCGTTTCTTGTCCACTCCTGACTTCGTCAAGACCCCTTGGTAGCAGCTCTTTGCCCCAAACAGTAGGACACCGCCGATTACAAGTGCTCATGCCTTACATAGCACCATTGTCGTTCAATGTATCCCCACCAATGGAGCAACGCAATGCTCTCGATAGATTGGCCGCAAAGCAGATCGAGCGTCGTATCAGAAAGAAAGAACAAGACAGCTACAGCTCTGACTCGAGCATGAGCTCTGTATCTAGTGTTTCTAGCATTAGCTCCACCGAAAATTTCGTGTCAAAACCACGCGCTGAGCTCAACAGTAGAGAAAGAAGGAAAGCAGACAAGGCGGAGCGCAAACGACAAAAGAAGGAGGAGAAGAGAAGGCGGAGAGAAAGGAAACGCTCCAGGAAGCAAGATAGGAGAGACACCAAAGCGCATGGCCAACCAGACAAAAGCATGGAAAAAGACCAAAAGACAGTTGCGAAGATGGAGTATATTGTCGTGGAGTCATTACATGCGTTAGCGTAATAAATGAGACAGAACTTACCCATATGCGTCTGTGATCAGTAACGTCATAAGGCAGCGTGACTACCCCTTCGTTTGACGCTACTTCATCTCCCGATTTCAAGAAGACTTTTTGCCGATCTCCACAGCCCCTGTTTCCCGGCCGATATATCATGTATGACAGACTGTAACCATGCGCCTACTGTAGGTTCCTCTTCGCTGAGACCGTCGTACGCCATACGCAGAGGGAAGAGCAAAGCGAAACTGCCCTGCTCACCCCACAGCTCTTGCTGATGATATTCAACGCTACGGCATATGGAAAGCGCTGCTTCTGACATACGCCTTTTTCGGATGTGGCGCTCAAAAGGTGACTCTGAACCCACATGAATGCTGTCGGAAAACCGAAGAGCCAGTATGGTAGTAGCATTGTACATAGCCATAGCGTTGGCGTGATAGAGGGATCGGTACCGAAAAACAGTAGACCAGGCAGAACGCAAGGTTCCGCCCTCATCCTCTGTTATTGGTGTTGTTCGGACCGCAGGAATCTCGACAGGAGTATGAGACGGATCAGATGCGAATCGCTCCCCCCAACTATCCAGACTGGCGACCACTCGCTGAAATTCTTCAGAGAGACTTCGAGCTGCAGTCATCCTTGTCTCTTCATCAGGATACGACGATAACTTATCGCGCAGGACGAAAAGTGAAGGGCAGTCTGCGAGAATGTCAAACATAAGCTTGAGCGAGTCAACGCGTTCTGGGTGCAAGCACCATGGATCACGTTTCCACTCAATATTCGACATTATCGTCGGCTTGCGCAAAATAAGTCCAGCAAAGATAAGTGAAGGGCGCGTCCTTTCCAAGATCATAAGGCACGGAAGTGATGCCATGGCTTCTGGTCCCCGCATTTCGAACAGTCTTTCCAGTCCTCGAGCATGATTTATCCAACCGTTTTCGCGGTCTGAGACAAGGGACTGGTCGTTGTGAGAAACAGTATGCGCTGAAGAAACATAGGACGCACCTCGATAAGTGACATGACCATGATCGCTTCAAGCAAATCAAAGGTAGGCGAAGATATAGACTCTTCCAGAGCCGAATGTACGGCACCAAGTGCATCACTGTACCGCTTGAGCCCAAACTGGGTAATGGCGCTATCCTGGCGCTTGATACCAAAATACGTGGTAGCAAGCCTAGATGTAGGTATATGAAGTTAATACATGTCTCACGTGCAGTTCGTAGATGAAGATGACTTACGCAAGGAATGATTTTGTCGTTATCGTCCCAGGGGCAACGCCCAGAACACCCGAAGTCGGCAGAAAGTGTAAAAGGGTGAATGCAGTGAATGTTTCATCTTGAGAGAGCGAAAGTCCTGGGTGTATTTCAGGAACAGGCTGCTGGATGTTCGCCGGCGCGGTGGCGATGGTCTCGAGCGCAGAGGAACGCGCAGGATCAGAATCATCAGATTGAGTAGTTATGCCCCGACCATATTGGATGATTGCAATGCCACGAGGGCCACCACACTGTAATCGCGCCTTGATGCATCTTGCGCATTGCGGCTTCGAAAGGTCTTATGACGTCAACACACGCGTTAGGGCTGCGTAGAGCAGCTGGGGCAGACCTACCGCATTTTACGCGTCGCCTTTTGCAATTGTCGCAAGCCTTGGAACGTCCACCCACTCCAACCATGTGCAAGTTACATACCAAGATTGATAACGTGATGCATGCGCGATGTTGGAAGATGGCGAGTCACCCTGGGGATGGTTCGTGCGCGACGCTATGCATGCCCCTCATTCGAAAACGAGGGCACCTTTGGAGGCATACGTGGCCACTCACGCGTGATCGGTGCAGGTACATCACGATCAATTCGATATACTTCTTGGTCGTAGAAACGTCAACATTCGCTGCGACTACCTCAACGCCATAGAATTCAAACACCTCGTCCCACGAAGAGAGCATTAAGAGTTGCTGGTTGCCTGATCCAGCCAAAGGTCGTTGTAGAGTTAATTTGAATGAGAATGCCAATTCCTCATCCTTCAAAAAGAACCATTGAAGTCGCCGAATGACCTTGCGCTACTTAGCATTCTAAGGGACTTCGTCATTCGGCAGGAATTTGCTCTACCAACATCAAGCGCCGTGTCTTTTCGTTCACCAACGCGTATAAGATACGCAAACAATCGTGAAATCACGGAACCGTGATGGACACAAAATGAACAGTAATCCTTATACATTCAAAAAAAAAGCCATCTATATCTATCGACCATCGGGCCAAAAAATCTGTCAACCAAGTGACAATGCGTGTAAAAAACGCTGATGCCATATATAGTTCCCAAAGCGCCAAGTAAATGTCCAGCAAATGCCAATGATCCCTACGATGAAGCCCAGCAGACTATTAAAGTCTGGTAACAGAAAGAAAAACATGAAGAGGTATCAGTGGAGAAAGCAAAACGTGAGGCAGGTTGATGCTCCGCCCATGCTTTTGGTATGAAAGAAGTCGCAATAGAATAGCGCTCGCCCCCCCTTCTATACACCGCAGAAATGTCAGTGTTCAGATATACTCGTGTCAACACGCAGTTTGATAATCATTGGTCGTGTGAGACCTTGCGTTGCGTTTCGTCGTCTCGCTCAAGGCTTTTCCTTGTACTTGGCCATCCTCTTTACAGGGTGAAGTAGCATACCCGGTATGCACATTCTCTTCTGCTCCAGCTCACCGTCAGAGCCTGGTCCACCATCGATCTTTTCTGATTCTCCCCAATTTTGCTGCACGATAGGCCAGTTGAGCCATCTCCGGTATAGGTTGCGAGGGAAGCGTGATGCGTAGTACCAACTCCAGCCTTGGAAGTTGAACTCACGGTCATGGTTGTATGGCGAGTCGGCTTCTTCGGTCCAGGCGCCCTGGCGAGGTTCCAATGCTTCGCCAGTATCCTCGTCTACGGTCGATGCGGTATCGAAGATGGCTTCAGTGTAAGCAGCGGGCCAGTGGCGGTCGTTGAAGATAGGGTGAGGTGCATACACGGCCTTGAGACCATGTTGGAGTGCGACTGTAGACGGCCACATCTCGGCTTGCATGCTGCGTCCAACCAAGTTCTCCTCGTGCATAGCCTGCAGCATCTTCTTACTGAATCGCACAACAGTGTTGATGAAAGTCCGGCGATCAATCTGCTCGAAGACGGGATGCGTGAACCAATCAGCTTGACCATCTTCCGGAGTGAAGATTGGTCGGATGTGTGGCAGGTAGTTCCAGATCTTGTCCTTGTAAGACCAGGTCGTGTTCCTTGGATCCCACATCGGAAGAAGGGTGATGAAGTCTGCAGGCTCAGCAACACCCCATTCAAAGTTGTCTTCCTCCATGGTTGTTGGTGGTGTAGGGCCCAGTGGCTTCTGTGGTGGTATGGCAAGTTTCCATGGGCGTGGTCCCCAAACAGGAGGTGGGATGAGTGAGTTTGCGGATGCATTTAGGACATCCTTGTGGGTCTGCTCGACGAATGACTGGTAATCGCCATGTACACTCGGAAGATAGTAGCGTTTGTTGCGCTCCCACAATAGCTTCCTGGGTTGCTTGTCTGCAAACTCGCTAATCTTCTCGAAGAAATGATAATGATGTCCAGTGTACCTCGCGTCCGTTTCCCAGTTCCAGACATAATCAAACTCGGGATGGGTAAGACTGAACCATTGCAGACACATGAATTGTTGCCAGTAGACCTGCCAGTCCATAACTTTGGGATACCATTTCGGAAAGATGGACTCTGACCATAGGATAGCGATATCGCGTAATTCCTCGGGTACGTTTTCTTTTAGGATGCGGTCATACTCATACTGGCTGTCAAAGATGGGCGCATCTCTGTCCTTTACATGGACATAAAGGTACACTTGGTATTCACCGCCGGACTGAAGAGAGAGCTCGGAGACCATCGCGCGAATAGCAGTAATGTCGTTCTCCTCGTAGTTGTAGCCGGTCCAAGCACGGATAAGGATGGCGGTGCGGTGGTGGTACTTCTTCTCTCCCTCGTCGCGGTTCTCCAAGTTGCTTCGGCTTGTGTCTGTGGGAATTGCAAACGCTGAGGATGCCACCGCGGGTTCAGGGAGGACGGTGCTGGGAATCTTCACGATTGGCGATCGAGCCTTTGGTCGGTAACGCTCCTTATTGCGCTCGAGACAATCGTCCTGGAGCGCACCCCAATTTACTTGAGGCCACTCTGGAACTGTTTCTGGCGCCTTCCAGTCCTTGACCTCCTCCGGGAACTCATCGTCGCCATAACCGTACGGGCCGTATCGCGAGTATCGGTCGAAGCAGACATCATCGTCCAATCCAATGACATCATATCCGCCAGCGTACACCGGAGGGAAGTCTTCGGGGATGCCCTTATAAACCTGAACTTCATCGTCGGTGCTCTCATTGAGCATCCTGCCTCGTGGACCTAGACAAGCCACATGTTCACCGTGCCATTTCTTCTTCCAGTCCGGGGTGTTGTACTTGGGGAACGGTTTGTATGCGATTGGATCAGAGGCAATCGTGTCATTGAGCTTGTTATGGCTAGACTCGTAGATGCGGTAGTCCCTACACATGGTTAGAAACATTCATGTGGTGCGCGCAAGATACAAGACCTTACAAGTCGAATTGCTCCCATCGGTTTGGGTCGTACTTCTTGTCGACGTAGTCACTAAAAGGCGGCCAATGGCCATTCCAGCTGGGTCGCGGCCAATCCAGCATCTTCGTCATGTACTCCTTCCAGTTGGTCGGTTTCGGGGTGGGAGGGATGAATGAGCCAGTCCTCGATGGCGCCGTCACCCATGGTGGGTAGGACTTTGTGGGCTTTGTTGCGTCGACCTCGGGCCCGCGCGTGGCCTCCATTGGCGGCGGAATGACTTGTGCTGCGCCAGTTGCCAATTGCGCATCAGTGGTGCTGGGCTTCGCGCCAGGCACAGGCACGGCATGACCCCATGCATCCTCGGGTTGTGGTTGCGACTCGGCCAGGCCTTCGTTCAGGAGCTCCTGTTCCTGTGGTCTCCTCCCCGAGTTGAAGAGCGGC